ATTTGCTGATGATACTATTTTTCTTATCGGGGATAAAGAGGAGTACTGGTTTAATCTGTTGGACTTATTGGATTTTTTTTGCCTTATCTCTAGCTTGAAAATCATAATCTAAGTGTTCTCTTGTGGGGATTGGGCGCAGTCCTTCTTTCCTCAATCGCCTAGTTGGTGGTTGGGGGTGTGCTGTGGGGGACTGGCCTATGAAGTATTTGGGTCTCCCTCTCAGTGGTAATCCCAGAGCTATTGGTTTTTGGGACCCGGTGCTTGAGAAGATTCAAAGGAGACTTCAAAAGTGGAAAAGAGCATTTCTCTCTAGAGGGGGTAGGTTAAAGTTGATTCAAGCTGTGTTGAGTAGCATCCCTACTTATTATATGTCTCTGTTTAAAATGCCGGCCAGTGTTGTTAACAAATGGAGAAGCTTATGAGATCCTTTTTATGGGAAGGTGTGGAGGAAGGAAAGAGGGATCATTTGGTTAAATGGGAGAGGGTGGCTAATTCTAAGGAGGAAGGTGGGCCTAGTGTGGGTTCTTTGAAGGAAAATAATGAAGCTTTGCGTGCTAAATGGTTATGGCGCTTCCCCATGGAACCTAATTCTCTTTGGGCTATGGTGGTTAAAAGCAAGTATGGGACAGCTACTAATGGGTGGGATGCTAATCCCACTACTACAGTTACCTCTCTTAACCCTTGGAAGGACATTTCGGCGGGTTATCAAACTTTTTTACAGTGCTGCAGATTCGAGGTGGGAAATGGAAATAGGGTCAGGTTTTGGGAGGATAGTTGGGTGAGGGAGGGTTTGTTGAAGGACTCTTTTCTGCGCTTGTTTGCGCTGTCTTCAAAGCATTCCTTAAGCATTGACTGTTTTGTTGATTCTCAGGTTTTTCCTCATAATTCAGATTTTGGGTTTAGGAGAAATCTGAATGAAAGGGAGACTGTCGAGGTGATTAAGTTGCTGGAAATTCTGGAAGGCTTCAGATTGTGTGCTTCTAAAAGGGATAGGAGAAGGTGGGAACTTGAGGAGTCTGGATCTTTCACTTGCAAGTCCTTTCAGTCCTTTTTGCGCAACAAGGGGAGGGTTGTGACCTTTCCTCCTTTCTCTCTTGTGTGGAAGGCCAAGTCTCCCCCTAAGGTCAAAGTCTTTGTTTGGTTGGTGGCGCTTGGGAAAGTTAACACTTCGGATCTTGTCCAAAGGAAAAGACCATTTATGTATCTGTCTCCTCAATGGTGTGTGTTATGTAAGCATTGTGAGGAGAGTGTGGACCACCTTTTCTTACATTGCCCTTTTTCCTTAAGTCTTTGGGGGCTCTTGTGGAGGGAGGTTGGGACTGTTTGGGTGATTCCGAAAGGGTGCTCTGATTTCCTTTGTTCTGACTTTGTGGTTTGGGGATCGGGGAAGCGCGCTTCAACCTTATGGGGCTGTTTGGTCCACTCTGTATTCTAGAACATTTGGATGGAGCGTAATAGGAGAATTTTTGAAGACTATAAGGGAGTGGGAGTGAGTGATCTTTGGGATAGAGTTAAGTACTGGGCAGCTTTGTGGGCTTCTGTAACAAAAGATTTTAAAGACTACTCTTATTCCACTATTATGAGGGATATGGCAGCTGTGGTTAATTGAGGGTTGGGGGGTGTGTTGTTCTGTGGTTTTTCGGTTTTGTTCCTCCCTGTTAGTTTGGGAGGGGTGGGTGCTGTTTGTTTCTTTCTGTGTTGTTTTTGTTCTTCGGTTGTGGTTGCCTTATCCACATCCGTGTTCTTTTGCTAATAAATTTCGTTTCTTCTCAAAAAAAGAAAAGAAAGAGAAACAGTATTCTATTAAAGAGCTTAAAATTGAAATACAAAACTTAGTGAATCTGATAAAACAATACAAAACAATATTTCATTTGATGACCTTTCTGCCATCGGATATCTTATCCAATGGACGAGCTCTTCTCGATTTTGACATTCAATTGAGCTCCAGTTCATGGCATTTTTGTTTAAACTACGTATGGTGGCCTTATTGTTCCCTTGATTGTTGCTCACTAAGGGCTTCCTTGTGAAATTTTAATTGAATTTGAACTTATACTGTGGACTCACTATTCTATTTCTTTTATCAGGTTCAGAGAGTTGGGATGGTTATGTTCTTGCAATATCCTTGGGCCTCGTATCTATCTTTAAGTAAGAATTCTGATTCTTGAACTCTAATGTCCTTTTATTTTTTATGTGTTTTCCATAGCTGCATACCTCTTTTATCCAAAGGAACCTTTTTTGTGTGGTCCTTTTCTTTTATATAACATATATTTTAATTTTGCAAATCTGTATTTATTTTGCAGTACATGTCAAAAACAGTAAAATTTGTTGAATAAATTTCCCAATTTTGTAGGTCGTTTTTGGATACACAATATAGTTTTCATCTTTCGAGACTGAAGCTAAAGCTACGATCTAGTATCATAACTGTTATCTATCAGAAGGTATATTTTTTCTATATCCATTTCATTTAAGTGTTTGGACATGAAATTATGTACCTGAGTGAAAATGAAATAATTGTGGACTGTTATTGTAATTTGTAACATATGATTTGAGAGAACATATTGTCTGTTACTTTATCTTTCTTGAGATGACCTTGAGGACATTGCTATGTAGGATTTGTTTGTGATTTCTATGAACTGCTGACTTTTGCAGTTATGAGTATCGAAAATATGAAAAGAGTTTCTGTTTAATTTTTTTAATTTTATCTTCTGGTCTGGGTTGGCTTAATAAAGAAAAATTAATGAAAGTGAAAAATCAACTAAAAGATAGGTTCATTGCTGTTACCAACAATGATTGCCATTTACAAGAAAACAGTCAAGGAAAGTACTGAACAGAAAATGCCCCTTCAAGATGGAGCCAACAGTGCTGATGAAAGAAGAGGATATAACAGGCCAGTATAGAAGCTCTATGCCATTTTGGTTCTTCCAGATATTCTGGAAAGAAAAATGTTTCATTGCATTGTCTAGCTTGCCCTTGTTCAAGTAGCAATATATTGCTGTCTGTCAACTGACATTTATAATTATGCTTCGGATTGTAAATTTCTTGCATGCATGCTGATTGGTTACTTTGAAATAAGCTCCTCCTACGTATCAAGGTATTGATTTCTGTATTATGGGAAAGGATTGTTGGAACTTGCAATTAAATATTCAGCTGGCAAACTCAATGTGCATGTATCTGTGGGATTTCTTTTTTCCTCTGTTTTCTAAGGGTAGGCCATTTGTCTACTTTAAAAGAACTCCCATTGCTTTATCTTAAGTTTGCTCTTGCCAGTGCCTATATATCAATCTAGCAGAGCGATCAAAATTTACCGAGGGGGAAATCCAGACATTCATGGCAATAGATTCTGATCGTACTGTCAACTTGTGTAACAGTTTCCATGATATGTGGAGGTAACGTTTCGTTTTACACCAACACCCGTATTTTTTCCTTTCTGGAGCTACTAATGTTAAATTGAGTGTAAAACCATTCATAACCTAAGGCCCCTTTTTTCTATTGCATTATACCCTTGCTGCTAAGGTATAACTAATTTAAGAAATAATTGTTTTATTGTTTAGTACTCTTTTTATTTGTTGTTTACTGTAGAATTTTTTTGTCATATTCTCATCTGATAAAGTTGGAGGCTTCACGAATGGAAGATACCACTTTCGTTAAAATAAATAGCTTTCTCCATTCTAAAGAATTCCATCACATTAATTGACACTTCCGTTAGTGAGATCAGTGTCAATGAAATCTAATGGAGTATTGAACGAGTCCTCTTGTCAACTAGAAGGAACAAGATTTACAGAATGGTTAGGGAGGTGATTTGAATATACTAAGACATACTAATTCAACCATACATGGGCTTTGGTACCGTGCTCCAAACAAAGATGAGAATTGGTATTGGCGGTTAGTTAGGGAGGCAGGGCTAATTAGGTTATTCCTTAGTCACCTTTCAAACATTCTTTATGAAAAGTATGGTCTTTTGGTGGTGGAAGGAAGGCAAGAATTTTGTCACATTGCGCTGTGTTATCTGTCTCTTGGGTAATTTGCTTGGAGAAATAGAATATTTTTTAAAACTACATATAGAGGAGAGTTCTTGGGATAAATAAAGTCAGGTTTGGGGCTTCCTTATGGTCTTCTCTCTCTCTCTCCTCTCTCTCTCCAGCCTTTGGGGGTCTTTCATTTCTGTAAATTTATTTCATTGGGGAGCAGTTTTAGGATAGTTTTTAGAATTGTATTAAAACAATGTAAAAAGGTATATTTGGGATCTATTTTTGAGGGTTGCATCATTTTTAGGTGGACCTCTGGTTCACTAAGTTTTGTAATCTGACTTTAAGCTCTTAGATAAAATATTGTTTCGCATAGAAAAAATATGTTTCATGGGCTCTGGCTCCATGTTTCATCGATCCTCATATGATTCCTTCTTTTATGTGTGTTCTTATCAGTTTAATATTTTACCCTATCAATGTTTCTTTGGATCCCATTCATTTTGTTTTTGTTCTATTTATGATGACGATTCTCATTTCTGTAAATCATAAGGTTGGATAATTAATTTAATTTTTAATTCTTTGTTAGCATGGGTCATGCCATTAACTGTTCTTTTTGAGATCAGAAAACTAGCTCATTATGTTTCCCACCACTCTTCTGAACATTAAGCAATCCATGGCGTTATCTTAGGAGTATGATTTTCTGATCAACCCTATTTTTTTAATGAATGTTTCAGCTTACCCTTACAAATTGGGGTGGCTTTGTTCCTTCTGTATACACAAGTCAAATTTGCATTTGTTGCTGGGATTGCAATTACCATCTCCCTGATACCAGGTACCTCTCAATATCCTAATTCTTACACGGCATTTGGGAAAAACGGAGCAGCCTTGTTCTTATTTTATTTTATGCAATTATATTTATTGTAAGATGTGAAGATGATGCAAAACATTTATGACATCTATTGAAAGTCAAAGATTTTGTTCAATCAAATATTAATTAAAGGGTGGCAATACTTTACTTAGAAGTGTGTAAAGAGTATGCTGATTCCCCTTGAGGTGAGAGTTGGTTGCATGGATGACTTTGGGCGTGACTTGGAATTGTATTTGAATTCGGGTACATTTGGGTATGGGTTTGTAATCTCCATCATATAGTGGGTTTAGGATGACTGTTTTTGGAATGCCAGTAAGAGCTCCCATATTTGTTTTGGTACCGTCATTGTTAAATTAGAGATGGAATTTTTCTAGGTTCATTTATGTACCCACTTATATATTGATAAAGTATATCATAAAGTAAATTGATAAAATATGCTTTCAATATATATCAGAATGAAACTCTTTTTTCTCCTTATAGTGAATAAATGGATATCTACATTGATTGCAAGTGCTACAGTGAAAATGATGAAGCAGAAAGATGAGAGGTATATGTACTTTTTATCTCATTATATTGTGCAGTATTTAAGTTTGCTCCAAACATAGTGATTGTATTTTGTTGTATATCAAGCCTAACAGAAGGTGCATACATACTAACACTCCCAGTCATGTCGAGGATTGAAATTGCTTGTATCCTGAGACACAAAATAAAATCAGTATCAAAAAATTGAACAAAATATTCACCAACCTTTTTCATCTTGGAATTCTTGAATTTTGAAACTCTTCCACATCTGTTTGAAATAGCTCCATTGAGTGCCAACAGGTCACACCCGGACCCAACAAATATTGGAAATAATCCAATTAATAACTTAAAACAGAGCCAACAGGCCATGTATTGCTCGAAAATTAAAGTATAGGGTATTCTACTGTGGGAATTTAGGAGATAACAAGAATGACTATAGTTTCAGTTATATGTTTATTTAAATCTAAAAATTATTTTCTGTCATGAGATGACAGATTTCTCTGTTTAAAATCATTACTCTAGCCATGTGACTCTTATTTTTGTCTGGATCAGCAATTTTTATTATTATTATTTATTTCATGTCTATTTACTGGTGTATTTCTCCACGCTAATGATTTATTTTGGAAATCGGTATTTTAACAGTAGTAGTAAGTGCTATATTAAGACCGAAAAAAAACTGCAGAGTAGTGTTATGTTTTCTCAATATTTATATTCAGTAACTGTGCTCCTTGGCAGGATAAGGAGGACAGGAGAACTGTTGACATATATCCGCACTTTGAAGATGCATGGGTGGGAGCTTCTGTTTTCTAGCTGGTTGATGGAGACAAGATCATTAGAAGTTATGCACTTAACTGTACGACTCTACTTTTATGCTTGGCATACCCAAGAGCAATCAATTGATTAGATATCTTTACTTTTCTTCCAGTGCTCCAGTTAGCTGCATAGAATAATGTTGATTTATCTACATTGATTAGACGCGGAAATACTTGGATGCCTGGTGTGTATTTTTTTGGGCTACAACACCAACTCTTTTTTCCCTGTTCACATTTGGACTTTTCACATTGATGGGGCATCAACTTGATGCTGCAACGGTACCCACTGTTCCCTGAGCATAATGATTTTAATTCATATTGTTCAGACAATGAAGCAATTTCCAAGAAAAACTTACCTCTCTAAAACCCCAAATGCAGGTCTTCACTTGTCTTGCTCTGTTTAATACTTTGATATCTCCTCTAAATTCATTTCCATGGGTCATTAATGGATTAATTGATGTAAGTTTTCCTTGTTCCGTGGGTTTGAAGTACAGTCTTTTCATACTTCTCTAATTATTGATTGAAATGCATGTACTCTCCTTACTCTATCCCAGGCCATCATATCTATCAAGCGGTTGAGCAGGTTTCTATCTTGCTCTCAGCCCAAATCAAAACTGGAAACAACAGCTGGTTCATCTTCACCATATTTCTCAAATGACAAATCTGAAATTTTCCATGAAGATAGGCTGTTGTATTCGATGATTCATGTTGTGCTTGGTCAAGCAGCGATGAAAAGACTTGGATTTGGTGCTGAAACATGTAACTCTAGGCATTCCAAAGGGTTCCTTCGTTACAGTGATTGGAGAGGTCAGTTATGTGAAGATTAAAATATGCTCATTATCATTTCATATCTGATACCTTTTATCTGCAATTTTGGATGCAGAACCGAATTTCTTAGCTTATTTGTTAGATTGTTTATGAATGGAAAATAGTTTCACAAAAGTTCCCTATTTTGAGCAAGACATGATTATTTCTAATGCTGTTCAGATTTTCTTCCCATCATTTGTTAGATGTTATCAAAGCAAAACAATTTAACATTGTAGTTCTAAACCAAAAAAAAAAAAAAGAAAAAAAAAGATAGACAATCTGTAATGGAACTTAAATATTACTGTTAGGCGATGATGGGACTCTGTAGTGCATGAAATTGGGGCTTTGGTGAAGCCAATAAAATTCCATGTAAAGTTTTTTCAAGAATGTTATTATAAGCAAAAGTTTTGTAACTAGATATATCAAATTTGGTTTACTACTAGAATATGTGATATAGTTCTTTTTCGTGATGGGGGAATTAATTTGACATCTGCTGCATTCACCATTCAGTGTGTTTGTTGAATTCTCTCAGGTTGGTTCAGGTAAATCATCCTTGTTGAATTCAATTTTGGGGGAAATGCGACTTGTCCATGGATCAGTATATTCATGTGGTTCTATAGCATATGTACCACAGGTTTGTGATTAGTTTAGTGTGGTTTCTATAGCTACGCTCTTATGAAATAGAATTTATCGACTGTCCTTCGCATTTTGAAATGTTAGGTCCCCTGGATTCTATCTGGAACAATACGTGACAACATACTGTTTGGAAAGCATTATGATCCCAAAAGGTGTGGTCCTTTTCCAATGATGAAGTAGTCTGATTTAATATTAATTTTTCAATTTTGTGTTTTACTGTGAATGTGCTAGTTTCATAGTAAACACATCCTGCTCCTCTTTATGAAATGAAGGGGGCCAGTTACAAAGAGATCATATATTGCATGTCAGGACTGCCTGAGCTGCTCCCAATATAAGGGGCCCTGATGTAGTACAGCCCGTAGGTATTAGATTAAGCACTCAAACAATAGAACATAGAAGAATATAAGAGATCGAGGAGATGAAAATATAGATCGAAAAGACGAAAGAAAGGGCAGAACAGCAGAACAAGAAGAATATCGGAGGTCGAGGAGACGAAAATATAGATCGAAGGGACGAAAGAAAGGACCGAAATCAGAGAACTGAGAAGGAAGGACAGAAATCACATAGTTTTAAGAGAAGGTTTACTCAATATCCAAATCTGAATTTTAAAGAACTACATGGGGTTATTTATAGCAAACTAAAACCCAGACATAATAGGATAAAAATCCCTTGCTTAAACAGAAATCCTAACCTCAATAAAATAGGATACTTAAAACTAGAAATCTGGAAATTTGGAAAAGTAGAAATCCTACTAGAATTTGGAAAACTAGAGAATCTAGGAAACTAAAAAATATATTAGGAAACTAATAAATTTAGGTCCTACGCGTCTTGCATCAGGCCCGTTTCTGGATAGTTTAGAATTAAGAACAGGACTGAACCTGAGTTTTTTGGGCCTAGGGCCACAACAAGCAATGGGGTTCTTTAGTACATATCCACGGTCTCACACAAGAATTATTTTCCCTAATGGTTAGAAGACGTTACATATATAATAAATAATAAGCTTAAGGCAGCCCTGGTTTAGTTTAATGCTTGCAAAATAAATACACAGCTCTTAGGGCTCACGGGTTTTACAGTAGATGCCGTTGATTGGATGGTGGATAGCACCCGAAGTCCAGCCAACTTTTATCATGAGTTTGAACTTAGAAAGTAACCACTCCATGAGTACTGACAGGGCAGTCAGGTGGAGGGTTCTGAAGAACCTCATCTTTTCAGACACATGTGCATATGTACATAGTCAGCTTCAGTTGAGGGATCCCTTAAATAGGATTATTTAAGAGACACATTATGGGCCCCACTCTGCATTGTAGTTCAATGTTTCAAACCTTATTTAAAGGAAAAACTATATCTTAGTGCCCATAAAATAATGTAGCATATGCAGGCTTATGGCATCTATCATGATATGAAATAAGTTTAAGAAGTATATTCGAAATTCAAATTTTCGAATGACCCAATGCAACTAGAGTAATTCCAAAAGTTTGACTTTGGTTGTATGATATCTCTTTACATATTATACGTTTTTGGCCTCTCTCTAAAAGAAAAAGGGCCCCTGTACGTATACAATTTTTTGGGGTGCTTGTATTTTTATTTTTTTTTACCATACATATAGATTAATTTTTTCCAGCCCTCTGATGTGGGGGCGTAAAGAGGTCACCCACTGTGTCCTTACTTTGGGCCGACCCTGGTTATGAATGAGTTTTCTCCAGTTTTTGTGCAAGTGGATCCTTTTCTTATCTTGGAGGGGAATGTTCTCCCCAATTTTCTTATTGTGATTTTCCTCTTTGTTGGTAGATACTCGGATACTTTAGAGGCAAGTGCTCTAGACCTTGATATTTCATTAATGGTTGGAGGTGACATGGCTTACATTGGAGAAAAAGGAATCAACTTGTCAGGTGGACAGAGAGCTAGAATTGCTTTGGCAAGGTTACATCTTCTCTCTATACCCACCATGGCTAGCTATGAATGGGCCTCAATTCTTTCTTCTATTTTTTTTCCTTGAATCTGATCAAGTTTCTTGTAACTTTGTGCAATTGCAGGGCCATGTATAATGGCTCCGATATGTTTATTCTTGATGATGTCCTAAGTGCAGTTGATGCACAAGTTGCTCGGTGTATTTTGTATAACGCCATTTTGGGTCCGCTTATGAAACAACAGACTCGTGTACTTTGTACCCACAATGTTCAGGTTATACCTGTTTCCCCAGAGTGTTTTTTGTTTTTTTGTTTTTGTTGAGGACATCTTTGTCAAACCCATTAGGGTTTACAAAAGAAAGAGATGGAAGAGGAAGTCATTTAATTTGGTCTTTAAATCTGGCAATTTTTTATTCCTGCGATTAGTTTCTAACTTGTTCTTTAAGTTTTCCAGATTTTAGTAAGATTTTTAAGTTTTCCAGATTTTAGTAGGATTTCTAAGTTTCCTATTTTATTTAGGTTAGATTTTCTGTTTTAGCTAGGGATTTTTTTATCCTATTGTCTCTAGGTTTTAGTTTGCTATAAATACCTCTCTCATGTAATTCATTATGGAGTTGAGATTTGAGATATTAAGAAAAGTCTACTTTCCAGAGATTGGAGACTCGTTGGTGTGAAGCCAAGGCGTCTTTTACCACCTATTTTCTGTTTTTCCATTGTTTTTGCTTCCGCTAAATTACCCAAATACTCAATTCACCCATATCCTACATCAATTTTGACTTAAACAGAATTCAGTTTATCACCAGAACAACATTTTCTATGAATTTGTTCGGAATTTCTTACATTGAATGGATTTTGATGCATGATTGCTTGTCATCATACAATTTTTTTCATATTATTAAAATATATTTTGTTTCAGTTGGCGAAGTTGTTATCATCTTGCAAAATTTTCTGGTTTATGAGAAACTATAAAGCACTTCAAGTCATAGAAAACTGTTCCACATATAATTCCAATCTCCAGTTCTTTTGCAAATGATTCCATCTGTTACTGCACAGGCAATATCTTCAGCCGATACAATTGTTGTTATGGACAAAGGACATGTCAAGTGGGTAGGAAGATCGGCTGATTGCCCTGTTTCTTCGTATTCAACATTCTCTCCACTGAATAAATTGATATATGTTTAAACAATGAAAGCCAAGAATGCAGTGCAGTCGAAGATATTCATGTTGAAAGCCAACAAAATCTTGTGCTAGAAAAAGATACTGTGCCTGCTTCAGATAGAACACAAGAGATCATTGAAGTTGAGGCACGAAAAGAGGGCAGAGTAGAACTTACCATCTACAAGTGAGCATCACACTCCACTGCATTGAAAACCGATATCAATTTTGTTCCGTTGATTTATTTTGCTGACTTCATAGTTTAATATATCGTTTCTCTTCAAAAAAAAATTGCCGACTTCATAGTTCATATCTTTTACAGGAAAGTTTATGATTTAACATTTCACTGCATGCAAGAGACAAGAATTTTGTATTGGCTGTGGATATAGTTGGGGTTTCCATTATCTATTCTGCAGGATTAATATTAATTATGATTGCAGGAATTATGCCACATTTTCTGGTTGGTTCATTTCAGTTGTAATATGCCTGTCAGCAATCCTAATGCAAGCTTCTCGTAATGGGAATGATCTGTGGCTGTCAAATTGGGTTGATGCAACAAGAAGCAGTCGGAAAGAATATTCCACATCCTTTTATCTGGTAAACAACTTCCACAGTTTTCCATATTATGGCATGATTTTTTGTTTTAAAATAAACTTTGATGAATTAAAAGGTTACCAAGAGTCCTGATTCTCTCAATGGTAGAAGCCTTCAGAAAGCCCAAAAATTGCAGATTTTTACAAGAGGTTTACATTATGGTAGCTCCAAATTATGCATTCAAATTTGATAATCAGATCGTCAAAATATGAAGACTTAAATGTAATATGTTATAAATAGATAGTTCTTCATACTCTCTATTTGTTTATTTTTGAGTTCTGATAGTTGGAATAAAATTACATTATGATTATGATTCCAGGAAGATTTGGTTTGAATCAGGGCTGTGATCCGGTTTTCGGATTTGGTTGTAGGGTTGTAAGTTGTACCCTATCGTAAACCTTACAGCCCTATTCAGAATAGGAAACTACTTTATGATATACAACCAATTAGGAAACAACAAAATATAGAGCACGCCCTTAAACAAGGGATTCCAAGAATTGGAATCCTAATTATTTACTATTCTGTCCCTATTTTCTAACACTAATTTTAGAATCCCTTGTACGGTTAAAATATAAGAAGGGAAAAGTTGTCATTCTTGTTTTTTTTTGGGGGTTATAAATTTGGTTTGAACTTTGAAGTGATCTATCTATACTGTGTACTGCAATCGATAAACATACCAGCTTATGAATCTTTTACTTTTGTTGCTGAAATTATGAATTTAGCTTATAGACAGCTTCATGTTGTAAGAAGGTCAATGATATTTTATTTTTTCCAAAAAATGAAAAGAAAAGGAAATGCCCTTAGTTTTTATTAAGACGTTTGTTTCTGTTTTTGTTGGATTAGTGCAGGTTATACTCTGCATCTTTTGCATTGTAAATTCAATTCTTACATTAGTGAGGGCTTTCTCATTTGCATTTGGTGGCTTACGAGCTGCTGTTAAGGTGCATGATACACTGCTGAAAAGGCTTATCAATGCACCAGTACAATTCTTTGATCAGACACCTGGCGGAAGAATACTAAACAGGTTATTATAAGATTCCTTCCCAATATCTTCCTGATTTTATTAGCTATAATTTGTTAAATTCTACATATTTGTTTTCCCTGTAGGTTTTCTTCAGATCTATATACAATTGATGATTCTCTCCCCTTCATTCTTAACATTCTCCTAGCCAATTTTGTTGGCCTGCTAGGAATTGCAATAGTTTTGTCATACGTACAGGTATCCAAAGTTTGTGAGGCATTTTTCTGGAATTCCAAACTTTTGGCCATCCTCATTCATTGAAATGTTGTTCTAAAGGTTTATGCTTGTCTCTAGGTCTTCTTCTTGCTTTTGCTATTGCCATTCTGGTATATCTACAGCAAACTTCAGGTATTCTTCGTGCCCTATTTTTCATTTTTTTTGTCTGAGCCATAGTTCAGATATGAACTGTTCAAACCACTGAGAACTTTGGGAATGTTCATTAATATATGAAACTTGCGACTGGGCGCATGGAAAGTTTTATTATACTTGTTTTTTCATAAAATAGGTTGGGAAATCGAGTTATGGAAAATGCAATGTTCTAAGAGACTAGGGCAAATTATTAATCCTACATAGAGTTACGATAGATTTCCCCCTTTTTATAGGGTAAGCCGGTTCTTTTTTCATATGAAATTTTACTTGTAATATTACCTTTTTTCCCTGTCTAACAAAGATGTAAAATATTTCCATGTTTTGGATCATTTTCAAGCATATGTTAACAGAGGAATTTAGGACTGAATATCTTGTTTTCATGAAAATGATAAGTGTGATTTTTAAACAAAGCAAGTGGAGGACTCATGATACTTCAAAGTTCAAACACCATTGGAACCTAGAATTTTAAAGAAATATGGGACAAAGCCTTTATATTACATTGAAACTGCCACGTGTTAGACCTGCACAACTCTTCAGGGATAGTGTACACCAGATATGGGAGGAGATGGTTAGAATACAACATAATTTGGGATCACATCAAAACAGAATGTGATTTGACCCTAAGAATGTGGCAGATGATATCTTTCAACGTTATGGTCTATCCATTGCTTAGAAAATTTATTTTATATATAAAAAAAGAAGAATAATCTGATTGGTGAAGAATTATACAGTTCTTCTACAGATCAACATCTCGGGAATTGCGAAGGCTGGACAGTGTTTCTCGATCACCCATCTATACATCCTTCACAGAGACACTTGATGGCTCATCAACTATTCGAGCATTCAAGTCTGAGGTACATATTTTGTAAAAGATTGACTGCCAAGTGATGACGATCATTATTTATATGATGATATCATGGGGAAGAATGTATAATTGCTTCAAAGGTCCTTGATACTCATGGGATACATATGCATGAACAAAGGTGCACCATGACATTCGTAAATGAGTTGTATGTGCAGTAAATATAGTATACAGCCTCAAAATTTTCAAAATGTATGAAAATATCTGCTTCTTCTGTTTTCTGCAGTTAATAGGTGGTATGTTGGTCCTCAAATTGTGAAATGAAGTTTAGAAACTACTGCTACTTTTAAATGTTCCATTCCCCTTTCAAAGCGAGTGTATATTGGGAATACTTATGTTCTGTAGTAGCATCACTTTTCCCAGTTGCACCAGTCACATTAAATAACTTGTGAAAGATGTTATTAGAGGATTGCTCTCATTTATCCAATTGGTAAAAAACAAAAGAACATTCATAATTTCATATAACAAATGAATCTGTTTGGATCATAGGATGAAGCAAAAAATGAGCATGGTTATAAATTTTGAAATTCTTTAGGGACATATTTAAAGGGATAGTTCAGGAAAAAAATGTTGAGACAGCTCATAATGGGCTTAGTAGAAGTGGTATGAGGTGCACGAGATTTAAGTATTATTGTGTTCTGATTTCTTGGATTCATAGCTTAGTATCCTTTATTTGACACTCTTATTAGGACAATTACAATCAGGATCACTCCAACCAGAAGAAATGAAGCCCAACTAAACAAGAAACATAGCTTAGTATCATTGAAATTATAGTTACCCATCAGGATGATAGAGTTTATTTTAGTGCTTTAGTAAAAATAGCTTGAGTGAAATAGTACATATCTGCTTTTATTTATTTGTGTATTGGTATTATTTTATGTACAAGCTGGCTTGTTTGTTGCATTTATTCTCACTGGTCTTGGTGATGATTTTTGCTTATACTAAAATTGATAGACATATTGCAACCAATCAATTCCGGTTGTGGACAGGACCTCTTTTTCGCCAGATTCACTGACCAGGTCAAATTGTATCAACAAACTTCTTACACAGAGTTAACAGCAAGTTTGTGGCTTTCCCTGCGTCTTCAGGTATATCTCAGTATTTAACAACCTCCCTATTAGTCAATTTTAGTTACTAGTACACATTTATACTCTGGAGCTTTGTTCATCATAAGAACAAAATAATCTGAAGCAAGTGGGGTACAAGTTAGTTGTGAAGTGAACTTTCTAAGCATAATTTCTTCTTAACAGTAAGACTATATGCTTGGATTTTAAGGCTTTAAATTGTATGGTTAGAAGGAGGGAACATAAGTTTTATAGTTTAGGAGAAAAAAGTATAACCTGTTAGAATATAAAAAACTTGTAAGCCCGCATCCTGACAGCTTAATATTTTGCAAATTGCAGTTAATCCTACAAGTTTTTATCATGGTTATCAGAACTGGCAATCCTAAGTTCAAATCCTTGCAATTGAAGCCTTTTAGTATTAGTTGAGTTTTGTCGGTTGGGATCTAGATCAAGTAGTAGAGCTACATGTAAGGCAGAGTGTTTTAGAATATAAATAACTGCTAGAAGTTATGGCAAACCAGAAAAGTTTTTCATAGCCTGCTCTGACAATCTGGCAATGATCTTCTTTCAGTTGTTAGCAGCGTTTATCATCTCATTTGTTGCTGTCATGGCTGTTATTGGATCTCATGGCAGTTTACCAATCAATTTTAGTACTCCAGGGTTGGTAAGTTCTGTAGAACTTCATCTATCTTCAACCTATTACAATTAAATTTCATTTTTGAGATTTGAGTCAAAGTTGAAGTCTTTTATCCATTTCCATGTGTTGTCAAATTAGAGATATAGAGTTAAAGGATGTGCATTCTTTTACAGGTAGGATTGGCTCTGTCTTATGCAGCTCCAGTTGTGTCTTTACTGGGAAGCTTTTTGACAAGTTTCACTGAAACGGAGAAGGAAATGGTTTCTGTTGAAAGAGCTCTTGAGGTACAAAGATGGATCTTTGTCTGATATAGATTGCTACAAATTACTTATGTCTGATTTTATGCTTCACAGTATATGGACGTTCCACAAGAAGAACTGCATGGATCCCAATCCTTACATCCCAGTTGGCCCCATCAAGGACAGATTGAATTCCAGAATGTGACCTTGAGATATAAGCCATCTTTACCAGCTGCACTCCGTGATATTAGTTTTACTATCGAGGGAGGGATGCAGGTTGGTACATACTCAGCCTGATGTTAAAGGTTAGAACTTATGTGATAATGCTCATTTATTATTTCCCCTTGATTGTTAATTAGGTCGGATTTATTGGAAGGACAGGAGCTGGAAAGTCTAGTGTCTTGAATGCCCTTTTCCGCCTCACACCAATCTGTAAAGGATGTATTCTTGTGGATAGCATAAACATAGCTAGTGCACCTATCAGAGATCTTCGTGGACATTTCTCTGTTGTTCCTCAGACTCCTTTTTTATTTGAAGGATCATTAAGGTACTCTATTAAGTCCTCATCGTTGTGGTATATTTTCTTTATGGTATATTCTTTTGATGTTAACTTTTTAGATCTCATACTTTCTATTTCCCCTGTAACCTTTAATATTGGTCAGATGACCTACTTTAATTAATAAGTAGATTTTCATGCATTTCTTCCAAATTTCTAGGGACAATCTAGATCCATTCCGGCTGAGTGATGACTTAAAAATTTGGAAGGCTTTGGAGAGATGCCATGTCAAAGAGGAAGTAGAAGCAGCAGGAGGGCTAGATATTCACCTGAAAGAATCAGGGATGTCATTTTCTGTTGGGCAACGACAGCTTCTTTGCCTTGCACGTGCACTTCTGAAGTCTTCAAAGGTACAGTGATAAATACTTCAGGGACAGCACAATGAACAAACCATTTGCCGAAATTGCAATATTTGTGAAATATGAACTTCAGTAAGTTTCTTGATTATTCAATTGTATAAAAATTTCCAAGGATCCATTTAACATCACTCAACAGAACGTGCCAGTTGTGTTTGCAACCATTTCAATCTGGTTAAAGTGATTGCTTTGGATGAATTACTGGATTTCGGCTATATTCCTTTTATGCCACTTTTTTCAAGTTTTCAGCCATGTTCTTGTCAAACTCAAATTCTGTTAGTTTCTTTTTCTTTTTTGATCAAATTCTTTGGTAATATGTACCTCTATTTATGTCTATATGTCTCTCCTGTTATTTCTGAGAAATTTAATGGATTATGCTTCCAGTACAATTTCAAAATTCTATATGATCTATTTAGTCAATTTACAATTAATAAATAAAAAACAAGAAATAGATGGAAAAGTAAACATTTCCACCTTGAAATTAAAATTAAGTGTACATATGTATGGCTGTTCTGTACAGGGATTTGTTGCATTGCATGGATCATTTGGGGAAGGGGTATTTTACGTTATTAACAGATAAAGACTGATCATATTGAAAACCTTCAGGTCCTGTGTTTGGATGAATGCACGGCTAATGTTGATACGCAAACAGCATCAATAATACAAAAAACTATATCTAGTGATTGCAGAGGGATGACAGTTATCACAATTGCTCACCGTATTTCCACAGTCTTAAATATGGACAGTGTCTTGGTCCTTGACCATGGTATCCTGGTATGTCATGCTTTCCCGTGTATCTACCTGTGTGTTTTCCTGTGTTCCTTATATCTTTTTTGTTATTATTTGATTTCTATGATTTGCATCCAGAAATAACGTTTGTTTGTAAGAAAAGTGAAGACATCTTTAAAATGTTAGATTATATTGGTTGCAAAGGCCAATATCACAGCACCTATAAAGATTAAATATAGCTTCAACAGAATAAATCGGCTGCGAAGTCTTCCAGATTGCTGATTAAATGTCAACCTCATTGTCATTACATTACTAGATTGTCATCTACAGTTGCAGTACTGACTGAGTGGCTAAAATGTTTCCTTGCCTTCTGAAATCACCAACTTGATAAAACCGATTATCTTGTTCTCTGCACCTATGCAGGTTGAACAAGGAAATCCGCAGGCTCTCCTAGAAAATGAGTCCTCCAGATTTTCAAGTTTTGCTAAAGCTTCTACAATGTGATTTCCGAACCAGTATTGCTGTGCTCATTGCTGACTTCTCGCAATCTGCAAGTTTGATGTGCAATAGAGGTCATAGTTTATTGTAAGTTTGTAGCCTAAGTTGTCAATACTGTAAGGTCACTGTTAAATACAAGCTATATAGCCAAGTAGTGTTTAACATGCGATAATGAATCTCTAATTGACCTTAACTGGTCGGCTGCCCGGGAAATGTAAGACCCAAAGCCACCCATTAATAGTTATGTTAAAATCCATAGACTTTCCCTTCACAGAGGTCCAGAAGAAGCATGAAGTTCTCTTAGTAATAACATCTACAGTGGTATAAAGATTTCCATGGTCATCTGAACCAAGGATCCTGAGCTGATGTAGATCATTCCAGGGAATAGTTATTTGGGTGAACTATCAGTTGGCCAAATGTGAGACTACGGATAAAATTATCTTACAAACAGAGCCTTTCCATTAAAAAAGGAAAAAAAGAAGCAGAAAACTGCTGAAGGTGCATTTTAGCTATATTTTAAAACACATTTCTTTACAGAAAAACTTGTATATCACGGGGATATAATTGTTCTGCCATCCCAACTAATCATGTTCCGCCAAGCGTGATGACTTTTTGACATGACGAAATGTGATAGGTGATTAGTGTTTTTCTGTTTTTTGTTTTTTTTTGTTTTTTTTGTTTTTGTGTTTTTGGTTTTGGTGATTAGTTGGGGATAGTAAAACATGGCTATCCTCGTGTCGTGATATACAAGCTCTTCTCCCTTTCTTTATGGTCTGGCTTTCCGACAAAATAACTGATTGAAGTGGGTGTGGGAAGACTTCACCTTCCTCTAAACAATTGAAGATCTATGAGGGTATCAAGAAATAAAAAACGTCTAACATTACAACATAAGAGTCCAAAAAAAAAAGCAAAGAAGCAGAAAGAGAAAGAAGAGGTTCTTTTGTTGGCAATTAAATATAATTAAGGACCATATATTTGTAGGACTGTAGTTACACCACACCTCTAAAACTAGGTCCACTGACTAAAGCAACAGAATCAAGGGCCTAATTACCATTTGTAATTAAATTATAAGATTGTGTTGATGTACCTTTAAAAACCTTTTAACCCATCATTAACGTGCTATTACAGTATAATACAATCTTTGGTCCCCACTGGACACGGGGAAGAAAATGTCTCCAACCCTTTGAAAGGACCAACTTTTAAAAAGTTACGTAAGAATCATAAAATAGAAAAAAGAAGAGATATTTAGTCATATATCCCTTCTTAGTACTAATGATATAAATAAATCATACACAATTTAATTTTTATAAACAAACTCAAAAAATGACAATTGGCCTTTTCAAATTTAATTTTGATTATTAAATTATTTTGATGCTCTATTGAGTGTTTTGAGTTTTTTTTTTTTCATGAGGTTTTGAGATTGGACTTGTTTTAAGAAATCGATGACAGTTTTGTAATTTATAAGAAGTTAAAAGTCTCTTTGTTATGTTGTAAATAGGCTTCGGGTGTGTTTCTAAAGTCCATTTCATATAAGTTTTTTTTTAAAAAAAATAATTATGATATTGGGTATGATAATGAATCTCCAAAAAAAAAAAGTTTGAATTTTAACATAAAAGTACTTAAAACAAAAAATCACAAGAAAAATAATACCCAGAATTTAGCTACATATCCGCTTTAGTCCCTCACAACAAGTGTCGAAGTCCCCAGCTTTTGTTCAACAAAGATTCTGGGACAGCAATTGCGCCCATGGTGGGAATGGCAATTGATCTCTTTATTTCTGATTATTTTATAGTCACCTAAATTGTAGAAGGTTCTTGCTTTTCATTGGTAACATGCTTCTTTTTTCTTTTTATTTCTGAGAACATGTTAATTTCAGTGGATTGGATTATCAATAATAGCCAAAATTTATACCTCAATTTCATATGTCAGTTTTTATAAAAACTTTCAAATATAGCCAAAACCTCATTTAAATTAACACAAATATCCTCAAAATTAAACCAAATAACAAAAAACTTACAAATCAAATAACTCACAACTACGGTGGCCAAGCTTACTCACAACTATGGTGGCCAGTATGGCTATGAACCCTAAACTCTACCTAAAAACTCAAACCCCAATTTTATTTCAAGTTTGATGGACTTACAAATTCAATCGCTTTTCTTTCTTCTCTCACCCTTAAACTAAAATACCATATTTTTCCAATCCTTTATCTGATGTTTAATAAAATGTTTATGCATTGTCGTATGTGATTTTTCCTTTTAATTTCAAACTGTATTAATATAATAATATCTCCCTTGCACTCTCTTAAATTAAATAAAATGAATTGTGTTTGTATTCTTTTGGAACATAAAAACCAACATAAGGCAAATATTGTTGCGATTTTGCTGTGTTTCTCTTGATATGGGTTCCATTGTTTTTGGTTGAAGGTTTTTTATTATTAGAAAGGGGAAGTTTTAGATCTACAAAAGTCGAGCAAAACCAAAATGGGATTTTGAATTTCTTCATGGTCAATATTTGAGGTTCTATGTTTGTGTTTGTGGTGATAATTAAGAAGCAGCATAATTGGGACTTTAGTCTTCGTTTGTGGAAAAAAATTCCTCTTTTTGTTTTGTTGTTTTAGTAATATAGATAATGCGAAGAGGTTGGTTTTATGGGTAATTATATTTTAATTTTGAGGGTATTTGTGTCAATTTAAGTGGATTTTTGACTATATTTGAAAGTTTTTATAAAAATTGACATTATGAAATTGGGGTGTAAATTTTGGCTATTATTGATAAAAACTCTTGGATATAGGGTTATACGTACACTCGCAATTCTATAAGATGTAACTATGAACATGTTTTTTTTTTCCTTCTCTTCTCGACACAAGTGAGTACATGCCTAAAAGTCACGAGGGTCAACAAAAATATGCGACGAAGAAGAAGATGGAGTGTTGGTCCAATCAAACTGATCTGATGATGATCTCTCTCCTCCTTGCTTTGCTTCATCAAGCTTCTTGACGCACCACGTGTCTTCTGCCCATGAAAACTTTCTCCAATGTGGGACCGACTCTCTAACTGGGTCCCTCTGGCCCACCTCAGCCACCACAGCAGCACATCCACGATCATCCCTAGCCATGTTATGCACGAAGTTGCACAAACCCTTCATCAGCCGATTTCCATGCTCCCCTTCCATGTGCAGACCATACATGAAATAAACCCCAAATTGCTTAAAGAAATTAGGAAACGAAGGCAATCTGAGCCATGGAAGCCATGCATCTACAAGCCTTGTACCTACACAGCATGCATATGTTAGGCTTGAAACTCCCTTCACTTGTAACCTGAACACTTCTTTGGTGTTCCAAACACTAAGAATGGCAAAGTTTGGGGTTAGGGTCCACTTTTGTGGGTCCCATTTTGCGAGGGACTTCTCTGGTAGGGCCATGAAAGTGCCCAAGCTGAGGTTGCAGGCTAAAATGGCGTCTATGTCTTTGGGGAAGAATTCTGATGATTGGGAAAAGAGTTGGCGGTAGATTGAGGCTGCTAGGGTTGTGGGGAGCTGAACAATTGCAATATTATTATTGGCTGATGAAGATATTGGCTTGTAGTGAGCGTGGACTGGTTGGACCAAAATGGTGGGTGTACGAAACTTTTTGTATGCACATTTTATAGTGAACAGATTGATTGAGGCCTCGTTGGTGCAGTCTGTGGCCATATATGCATACTCGGCTCCCTTTTCCTTGCACCATTCTTCTAAATGTCTCACTAGTTTCGTGCCAATGCCTAGCCTCCTGCTTGGAAAATTCACAGCAATTACAATCAAAATGTATAACTAGTTAATATTACGTAAGTACCCTAGATCGTCCCAGCGCTAAGATACACAAGTAACAATTTATTCTTGCATGCTTCTTTGACATGCATCCATGGAGGTTTTGTCTAGATACATAGCGACGAAGGAAAAGGATGAAAACATAAGAATAATAAAATAAAGAAAAGCGGGGGGTGGATCATGGAGCACACTGTGTGGATGAGGCAATTTAGTAGCAAATGGTGCATACAATATGATGAGAGAATGGGATGGGGAGGAGTACATTCCATTAAAAGAGATTTGATCTTTTTTTTTCTTTAGCAAAAGTAGCAGTAGGTGGATACATGTGTCGATGACAGGCTAGCTACTTGCATGCTTTTGCTCCTTTCCATGATACCAGGAACATTACGTTTCTCTTTATGCTAGAACCTAATCTCTCTCTCTCTGTCTCTCTCTCTCTCCTCTCTCTCTCCTCTCTCTCTCTCCTCTCTCTCCTCTCTCTCTCTCTCTCTCTGTATGTGGGGTGAGAGTGGGATTAGAATCAAGCTACGATTATTCACATGAGAGAGAGAGAGAGAGAGAGAGGGTTTGTGTTAAGAAATGTAGAGAAGGAAGTACAAAAGCAAGAAAACAGGTTCTCAGTAGTACAAGGAGCAAACTTGGAGTACAAAAGCAAGAGAAGCCAAAAGAATAAAGAAGTTAAAATTAATTACTGTGTTTCTTGCTTTCACTATTACCATCCAGAAAAAACAAAACAGTTTCATGCATAAGAATTACTTAACTATTCAGTGAAAATTATCTTCCTAACATATTTTAGAGCTATAAATATATATGATCTGCATGCTAATGCAGGTAGAACAAAATAATGAATTAATGCCACAAATAAAGTACAAGAAATTAGAGAGAGAGAGAGAGGAACCAGTGCGTGGGAGAGACCCTTAGTCCCAAAATATAAGCCAGCTTTACAAAAACTGAATTTCCTCTTGTGGCCTCTTTTACACAACCTCTTATGACACCCACAATCTCATTTTCTCCATACTCTGCAACCTGTTCACAATTACAATTTATTTTTTGGGTTACCAATTACATTTCTTTAATTCCAGGAAAAACACTCAAATTAAAAATAAATAAAGTATTTTTACTATATATAATATTAATATATGTCGTGCCTAACGTTTTTCTTTCTTCACAAACAAGTCAGTCATTATTAGAATATTAAACAAAATAGGCTTTAGGCAAGAAGCAAAAAGCCCTATGAACCCTCCAAATCAAAATATATCATGCATTTATTTTGTGATTAGGCATGCATGGAGATGAAGAGGTTAATTACCAGCATAACGTGTGTTGGTAAATGGCGAATGCGACATATAGGGTCACCCATGAGATCAGTGACTAGAGAAGGTTTTCCCCGCTGCCCAAGCTCACACCGCCTCTCCATCTCCTCCACCGCCGCCTTATCTATTTCTTTGTCATATTCTCTCACCACCACTTCAAGCGGCAGCACCAGAGATGGCGAATTTTCAGCAGCGACCTTAGTTGGCACCATAGTAGAGAAAGAAATTAGAACTATGATGCTCAAAGTATAGTTGGTATTATCTTTCTAGTGTGTTTCTCTGTGCCTCAATCTCTCTTCTTATTTATAACTAGAGGTGTGCTGATGTGGCACCCCACCAGTGCACATTGCCGTAGGATATGTACTATTCCATTGGGGAATTGACGGGATGTTGTTTCAATTATTGGCTCATAAGGTTGATTTGGTGTTAGGATTTGACTGGCTTTGATAATTCACTATTCAATTTAAGGTATATGTCGAACCAAAAAAATGAAGGTAGATGCTAAATATTTTTCATTTTAAAGGGGTTATTAGCGATACCTTATAAGATGTTGATATTCTACCATTTTGTGAGGATTTCATTGGATAAGTTTCCTTCGTAAATAAACCATCTACCTTCAATTTGGACAACATTTCTTACTTTTCTCCTTCAACATACTTTAAATTTAGTAAGTTATCAAATTCAATTCAATAATGGACACCAAATAAGGTACATGATATCTATGAAGCACACAACATATAATAGAAAATTCAGAGAGAGAGAGAGAGAGAGAGAGAGAGAATAGGATTTATCATGTGGAGGAGTGTGTCAACTGGGGATTTTATGATATAACTATATGACTAATGATGATCATATTTATGACATATGTACCTACGTACTATTTTATGATAGAGGATTCTCTGTGGTCATACATCGATCATTGCACTTTTTATATAGGCAAAATATATAGTGAGGGTATGGTTTTGTTTTGTAAGTATAGTAAAATTCAACAAAATCAGTCAATAAAATAAAATTATGTGGATCACACATCCATTACAGATTTGAGATTCATATGCCTATGTCTATTTCATCTTTTGAAAAATGTAATCAAATGCAACATGAATATAATTGATGTGGTATACTCAAATGTAATCTAGCTAGTTGGATAAATAAATAAAAATATTTTATTAGGTAATCTTTTTTCTCGAGACAAGTAATAATTGGAAGGGGAAATTTTAACGCAATATCTTGGCGTACAGCACAAAAATGAACGCTTTTAATCACCCAAAATTCATATGTAATCCTTGTTTTTCAATAGTTAATTGGAGAACATTTTAATCCAATTATCATATTCTTCTCCTTTTTCTCCTTCCCCAAATTTTTGTGTGCCAGCATTAAGATTACCAAAATGCATAAAATTAAAAACCCATATATTATGACCACATAGGAACCATTCCCAAATCATATAAATATAAACATAATATACTAATTTTGTTTCACCAATTATTGGTGCAGGCAGAGAGAGAGAGAGAGAGGGAAGCATGCGAGCACCACGTAATTGTTAAGCATGTGAAATGGTCCTGTGAGTACATCATCACCACCAAAAGGAATGATGCTTGCTTCTCAGCGCATATATATTGTAATTTGTAAACAAGTGTTGCTTTCTTAGCCTTCTTTAATTGGTAAGTTTTATTAATTGGGTCTTTCTTTCAAGAGCACTTGGCGAGAGACATGTTGTGTACCTGTGTGATTCAATTTTCCTAAACAAAAGCCTATCTTAGGAAAGAATGTTTTATCTCAAGTCTCAACTATATATGGTCGTTTGACGTTTGACGTATTTACCAGGATTGTGATACGAAATTGTAATGAGACATCATCAGCTCACTCAAAAAAAAAAAAAAAAAAAAAAAAAAAAAAAAAAAGAAGGATGTCATGTCAGAAAGGCCAAAAACTAACCTACTGGATAGATTATGACTATCCATGTGTTGGCACGTCAGCCAAACTGTACTTCATTATCCTGTCCCCATTTGACCTCGAGCCCCATACCTCTATACTCATAGGACTCTAATATAATCCCCAAAGAGTAAAACTAAGCTGTACCACACTTCCACTTATGCATTCATGGTTAATTCTTTAACAATTAATGTCTTTAAGGTGGATAAGAGACTTGTAGTTGAAGCAGTTAAGAGGTCTTAGATTCGATTCCTCTTTTTTTCAATATCGCTCATATAATAAAAAATGTCTTCGGGGTCCAAATAATTGTCTAACATGTCATCATACAAGACCAACTGAGTTCACGATGTGACTGCACATGAGGGAGTATGTTAACTTGATATACAATATTGTTAGCATATTTTTAAGAAGCTTTTAAATTTTAATTTAAATCCAGTGTTTAAAACATTGTTTTTATAAAGATGGAATGCAGGCGCATGTGAAACTTATCTATATAATTGGGTTTCGTGAATGAGAGATCCTACCCTCTCCAATGGATTAAATTAGCATTAAGCCGAGAGCCTTTGACAAGGTAAATTTGTATTGCCCATTTGCCTTGTATTGGAGATGCTCACCAAAGAGCATTGTTGATCAATTATCGAACCCTTGGTATATATGGCCATTATCTCCGCAATATGTGCACTCTTTCTAGTTGCATAAAGGTGCATACAAAGATAAATTAGGGTGTTTAATTGTATTATAATTTGGGGCATGCAAGTTTTATTCTTGTTCACTATTGGTATGGCAAAAACAAAGAAAAAAGAAGTGTTGTATGTATCTGCCCTCTTTCTTGTTTTGAGAATATGCCCTCATTTTACAAACATGATCAAAATGACCATGCTTTGCATTATCTTATCCTCATGCTCCTTTTTACTACTAAATAATTTTTATTTATTTAAAAGATCATTCCTATTGAGATGAGCGATAACATACTAAACTCATACACACATAACACAGATGCCAGGACTCGAACCCGGGACCTTTCTTAGAGGGAGCATTTGCTTCAAACTACTACACTAGTGGGTCCTTTGTACCAAAGGAAATATGTAATTGACATAATCCGAGAAATATTTATTTTAAAGTGATCCAATTATTACTACCACCAATTTGTTGATTAATTTTCACATGATTGGTTGAATAATTGTAATAACGAAGTAAACTTTTTGGTCTAAGATTTATTGGCAATTTGGGTTGACTATATTGACGGTAAAAGTTCACAATAATATTCCAGATTAGCTAGAAGCAAAGTGAAACAAATGGTTTATAGGAAATTTGGTTCTAACATTTATTAAATCCTAAAATGTTGAGAATGAAATTTGATATATATATATATATATATATAAATGAACATACAAAGGAAATGCCATGGAATCGATTCAAGTCCCTTGCTTTATAAAGCTGCTTTACATTATGCAATCGCACGGTTTAAGTCCTTGGTTCCAAACGGTATGTATACGTATGGTTTAGAAAAAAAATTCCAAGAGATATAATAGGTATGGTTAGTTTTCAATGCATCAGATATAATTTAGAATTCCTACAACTCTTAAGTATATAAGTCTCCTGTCATTTTCATAACTTCTCATTTTCTTCTTTATTTGTTAAAAAAAAAATATATATATTTTCTCCTATATCGACGTCCAGACGTATATTTTCTTCTTTATCTATTAAACGTCATGAAAAGCACAAAAATTATGCATACCCAGTTGCTCATAAATTCTTGACAAGATTTAGATGATATATTCTTTATAGGTAGAGCCGCTAAAAGAGAAAACTTCTTGTTGGGTTTCCACTTGATCACATTGCCATAGCAGTGTGAAATCATGCAGATATCCATAACGCGTTTTAAAACTTTTCAAATGAATATATGTATGCAATGCAAGGTACATGCATGTCCTGCTTTGGTTAATATTAATTCAACAAAGCAATTGGTATTTATAATCATCCGAAAAAGGGGTAGGCTTTTTCTCTTGGCACCTGGCATCACATGGGACAAGTGGTCCATGATTATCACCTAAAAATAAAAATTCGTGGCGCCGCCTATATGAATCGGAAAGAAGATGGAAAACTATGTGAAGTTGCTCTCATTGACAAGCACCAAGACCTTGTAGGCATTTGGCATCCTCCACTTTTTAAAAAGTTTTAGGTTTCCTGAGAAAGCTGGTAGTTCAAACTTAATTTGAAAGGGTGCGTGTATGTGGTACTCATCATCTGCTAAAAGAAATAAGAGACTGGCTAGTACCTTCTCCTTTTATCTTTCTATTTTATTGTGATACTTCAAGGATTATTTCTATGAAAACAAAAGTGTTTTCTCTATTTATTTCATTACAATTATAGATGAGTAACTAATTTTTTATTTAGATGATTTTTAGGGATAGGGGTGGCCCGACGTGGTTTGATTTATACCTCAAATCGTACAATGAACAAATGCAATATCATAAGGGAGTGAGGTTTCAATTTGGGTTGGTTTGATTATTTCCCTATCATATAAGCAATTAAGCAAATAGTTTATATTCTCTTACATATACCAAAGGGAGCATCATATTGTAAGTTTAATTTAATTTTTAAAAAATATATATATATATTTAATGGTTGATATTGATGTGTAGGATAAAACATAGATGGTTTGGTTTGGTTTGGTTTAGGCAGTTCAGAATAGGCAAAATCGAACTAAAAAAAAATAATTGTAGTTTGGTTGGGTAGAATCCAAGATTAAGTATTTTAATGTGAAAACCGAATCAAATAACAAATTGGTTTGGCTTGATTGGTTTGAACAATTCGTTCGATTTTCTGTGTCGAGAGTGAATCCCACATCAGGAAATTATAGACTTACATAATAGTTAAATGATTTTGAGTCTCTTTACCCAACATTACTGATTGATGCGTTAGATCCTCACATTCTAATATTTTGTCCACTTGTAATCTTAGGTCTCCTTAAGCAATGTCCCTTGATTGCATCATCCATAGCCGGGCCCTTTATGTATGGTTCCCAAAGATGAGATAGCCCAAAGCCTGCTTAACATTGGGCTATGAGAATGGGCCTCTGTACCCGACCATGGTACGGCCCTTGTTCCATTTCGAAATTCACACAAACACACACAATACCTCACCTCAGATTCGCTGCACCGCAGATTTTCGCGAGAGAGTGAGAGAAAATCAGGTGAAAAGAAATGGGGATAGCAGCTGCACTAGGACTGCTTTCACCTTTCCCATTCTACTATTGGCTATGGACTTACCCACAAACATGGGTTGACCTGTGTGGGAAAGGGCGTGACCCATGCACAGTGATGGCTTATGTGTCTCATTTCCTCAAGCTGATTCAGTTCCTCTCTCTCTTCTCAGTCTCCACCTTCACTTGGCCTCCCCTTCTTTACTTCTGGCCCCTCATTGCCTTCGGCCAGTTCCTCAACTTCAGGTCAGTCCAGCTATATTCATTTACACATATTCAGGTGTTTTTAATTGTTGTGTGATTGGAAGCTCACTATATCATGTTCATTTTGCCACTGACAAGATTTTGGGACATGGGTAGTTTTCAGTTTAATTTGGATGTGTTGATGTGGAAAGATTGGAGAGGAGTTGTTTGTTCACTGACGCATGTGCTACTAATATATGGGTTCATTGATTAGGCAGTTTGTGAAGCTCTGTCTTTTAATGGCAGGAATTAATTTACCTGAATTGAATCTTTATGAAACTTGCAGAGGCCTTTACTGTTGTTTGGGCACTGAGGTTCTTGCCCATTTTCTTTTTGTCAAACATATAGGATTGAGAAAATTCCTTTTAATCATCTTTAATTAGTTCTTGTTCTAGAGCTGATGGTTCAGGGCAAATGGTTTTCATGTTGGCCATTGTTATGTGTCATGCTGCACAGCTGCAGCCTATGGCAGGTTGTTTGCTTTTAAAATGAATTCCCTTGATGGGTACTGGTGATGCCTATATTTTTCATGTCTGATGTGGAGGGCAGGGTGCATTTTAGTCCACACCAACAGTGGTTCAGCTCGTATTTGTGATCCTAGAATAGATAAAGTGATGTGAGATCTGTCATCATTTCTACCAACATCCCTTTTCAAATGCTTCCTGAAGGTTATGGCACATTACAGGCCACTCTTTCTTCTTGTGCTTCTATAGACAGCTAATCCTAGTTAATGGGAAAGGAGGCCTTTTTGTGTAAACATCCTGACAGAGAAGAAAGATTCATTGAATTTGTGAAATCATATAATTCATGTGAATGAAATGTTCTGGTATGGCTAGTGAAATATAGTGATTTTCATGAGGGTTGGGAAATGATTTTCCTTGATGGTGTAATGATTCTCCTTAGTAGGCATCGGTTAGAAGAATCAACATGCTAGAACTGGTGTTTGGTTGATGCACCATTATGTTCCTTCATGATGAACATCTGCTTGAACACATTACAAATTTTGTGTGTTATCCCTGTCAGTTAAACTTTTTAAGGTAAAGTTTATGTTCCCCATCCCAAAGAAAACGAGTTTAGACTTGTAGGGTAATGCAAGAAAGAGGGAGATAAGGAGAAGAGAGTACTGAGTAGCATCTTGTGAAGTTATTCTTGCGGCAAGAATCTTGCCCATGAAGAATAAATCCGATTGGAGGAAATTTCCACCCTCTGATGATCCATTCCGCCCCGCTGCTCAAGACAACACAGAGGATGAAGAGTTTGGACGGGGAGTGGTGACCCCTATCAGCCTACTCCACTCGGTAGCTATACTAAGGCATTACTGCATTTACTACTCTTAATAAACTAGTTTGTTCAGTAAATTGAAATTTATCTGCAACAGTCGAAATAGAAGCATATTGAGAATAGTGCAAGGGTCCGTGATAGTAAGATAGGCCTAAAGAGAGGAAGGACTCATTAATTCCGTTGGTTGTTAAAGTACCATGAAAATGTCCTTGATTTGAAATCTCTCTTTGAAGCTCAGTTTGTCTCAACCGTAAGAGGCTATAGCATGGAATGTATAAAAGAAATATGAAATCTCTTAATCATTAAATGTAGCCTGTAATTTATGTCTATCCAAGAGTTCAGCAGCAGGGATTTTAAGCTGCCAAGTAAAGATTGATTATTTCTGTTTCTCTTTGGCCAATTGATTGTTCCAAATATCTATATCTGATTATTTTCCTGTCAATTTTTAGGGTCTATCAGTTGCTCGGCGAATCTGGTACTTATTATGGAGTACGTTTTGGGAAGAACATTCCCTGGGTGACAGAATTTCCATTTGGTTACATAAAAGATCCTCAGTATGTGGGAAGTATTTTAAGTCTTCTCGCATGCCTGTGGTGGGTACCATTTCGATACATTTTGTTGTGGACGTTGGGCTATGTTGTAATGATACTAGTGGAGTCAAAGGAAGATCCTACAACTCGTGCAAAGCCAACATCATAATTCAACATTTTGAATTAGACCAGAGAATCAGTCATGTTTAGAACACCAAAAGTTGTTGAATTGAGATTGCAGTAGGTTTTTCTTCTCTTTTGTCCTGCATCATCCATGTCGAATTTGGGTTCTCGTTGTCTTCTGCCATAACATCTTATGTAATGACATTAATTCATTAATCCTGCGTAAGGTACTATTTATTGAGGTCAAGCTCACCTAAGGACCTAAAAATAAAGTCCTATGAGCAACTATTTAATAAAAACCTTTGGATTAATCTAACGGCAGATGTTGTTAGTAGTTTAAACCCTCGTTCATACTCCTTGTTCTACTCATACAATCCTTCTAACCATTCTAACCCCAAAAAACAAAAACTTAATAATAATAAACTAGGGTTACATGTTTATCCCCGTCCCTTCCTCCCCAGTCATCTTGCTTTCATAGTATTTGTGCCCCTACTGAAGTATCGTTCGACTCCTGTAGAGGGAGTCTCACTCCCATTCTGCTTATTCTTCATAGAGGAATAAGTTTACTTGTTGTCCCCTCCCCTTTCTCATCGCTGTTTCTGAATATAGGTACAAAAGAAAGCATATTCTTGTAGGAGCAAGGCTTATAAAGGTGTATGGCTAGCCAATTCCTATTGTCAACTAAAAAGCATACACGATAAATAAATATTAGAAGAAGATGAAGTGTTTTTGTTAGGGTGGAGAGAAGAAGCTTATGTTGACTCTCAGTTATTTTAATTTCTGGGTTTTGTCTGTGCAAATACAGAGTGGCAGTTTGAGTTGTGGATCGCTGCCGCATGGAGTCCGAGACGTCTCTTATGATTCAATCAAGGTCACAATGATTAGTGTAGAAAAGGTTTATCTTTACTGATTTGAGAAGGATACAAGAATACAATATTTATACAGGGATTTCTAATAACTGAAAACTGTTACAAATCATTGAATTGATCTCATTGATTTGGTGGTAACTGATGTAACTACCTAACACTCCCCTGCAAACTTGACTCCGGGGAGGTGACAAGTTTGGAAACGAGACGATTGAACCAATCCGTGGGTAAACCTTTGGCGAAAACGTCAACCAATTGGTGTGTAGAGGGAATAAATTGAACTTGTTGACTTTCTAAGGGCAAAGCCTTCGCGAACAAAATGATAATCGAGACCAAAAAATTTGTGTGAGAATGAAAGACCGGATTATCTGCTATGTAAGTAGCTGAAAAATTGTCACAATTAAGAATAACCGAACAAGGGAGAGGATACCGAAGTTCACATAAAAGGCCTTGAATCCAAATAGTATCAGCCCTGCATAAGCTAAAGCACGATATTCGACTTTGGCGCTAGATTGAGACATTGTACATTGTTTCTTGGCACTCCATGAAATGAGATTGGGTCCCAAAAAGATACACTACCCTATAGTTGATCGACGAGTGTCTGGACACCTTGCCCAATCGTCATTCGAGTATGCAATAAGTAGAGAAGAATCATTGGAATGGCAAAGGGATAAACCAGGCCATGAGTTCCTTTGAGGTAATGAAGTATTCGTTTCACAGCTTCCAAATGTGTATCACTAGGAGAACTCATGAATTGAGAAACATGTTGAATTGCGTAGGCTATATCGGGGTGAGTTATGGTGAGATATTGAAGACCACTCATGAGTTGGCAATATGGAGTTGGATCAGTAAGGGGAGACCCATCAATGCAAGAAGCAGAGATCCGGGAGGCCATGGGGTCGAGATTGGTTTACACTCTAGGAGATTACTTTTCCGGAGAAGATCGAGTGTATATTTATTTTGTGGAAGGTGAATAGAATCTTTGAGATGTGAGATTTCGATGCCAAGAAAGTAATAAAGCCTGCCAGGATCTTTAACCTTAAATTCAATACTAAGAGCATGAATAAAAGTGGAGAATTGAGAGGGATTACTACCCGTAAGCACGATATCATCGACGTAGAGGAGTAAAATCATGACATGCAAGCAATCATGATACATAAACAAGGACGAATTAGATCAACTTTGGATGAAACCAACCCAAAGTTGAAAAGCGCTAAACCTCTGAAACCAAGCATAGAGGGCTTGCTTGAGACCATATATTGCCTTATGGAATTTTTCAAACATGAGTGGGCCGAAGAGGATCAGCAAAGTAAGAAGGTTGTTGCATAAACATCGCCTCGGAAAGATAACCGTGCAGAAAAGCGTTTTTAACGTCAAGTTGCCATATTCCCCACCCACAAGAAACAACAATGCTCAAAATGGTGCGAATAGTGATCGACTTGACCACTGGACTAAATGTGTCAAAATAATTGATCCCGGAATGTTGATGAAACCCTTTGGCCACAAGAAGTGCTTCAATTGATCTATCAGAGCATCGTTTGATCTTGAATACCCATTTGCAGCCGGCTGCATTTTGATGGGAAGAAGACGGGACAAGAGACCATGTTTCTTGGCGAAGAAGAGCATTGAACTCATCTAGCATGGCCTATCGCCAGTGGGGAGACTTGGACCCTTATGCAAAACAAATGGGTTCAATCTCAGACTCAACCACGGCTATGAGAGCTTGTGGAATTGGAAAACAAGCAGAGAAGTTGGACTGAAATTTCGGGTTGGGTTTGAAGATGCCAAAGCAAGAGTAGGTATGAATTAGGCTGGAGTAACCAATAGGAGGAGGTGGTGCCGGCATTGAAGAAGAGAGAGGCAAGTCTGTGGATGGTGGAGAATGTGGTGGAGCAACAGCCGAGTTTGTGTAGTGTGTGGCAGGGCTCGGTGGAGCAAAAGTAGGTGAAATATGGTTGGGCAACGTGATACAAAACTCGGCTGCAAAGATGAGAGAGTCTAAAGGCGTCACAACATAATAGACATGATAGAAAGATTATTGTTGTAGGCTTGGGCCGATTGAGGGAAGTGGTGAGGAAGGCCTATCAGAGATAGAGTTAATTGGTAGAGGCCCAACAGGAACAAAAATAATTTCGTGAACTGGTGGTGATGAAGAGGTAGCAGCAGCACAAGGAAATGAATCTTCATGAAACACAACATGGCGAGATGTGTAAAGACGGTTTGTGAGAAGATGAAGGCATCAATAGCCAAGATAATGCTCACTGTAACCTACAAAAATACAAGCTAAAGAACAAGGTTGTAATTTGTTAGAAACATAATCCCAAAGGTAGGGAAAGCAGGCATAGCCAAAGGTACGAAGGAGAGAGTAATCAGGTTGTTTGCCATGTAGTTTGAAAAATAGAGAAATCTATTGAAGAGTAGGAGTAGGAAGACGATTGATCAAATAGACAACAGTACAAAGAGCTTTAACCTATAGGTTGAGTGGGACTTGGGTGATTTGAAGGAGAGTGTGACCCATGTCGGCTATATGATGATGTTTTCTTTAAGCAAGGACATTCTATTGTGGGGTATGAGGGCAAGATGACCTATGTAAAATGCCTTTATGTACACAAAAATGCTTGAACATCAAATTATCAAATTCTTTGCTGCCATCACTTTGGAATTGTTTAACAAAGGATGAAAATTGAGTTTGCACATACGTTACAAAGTTTGAGAAATGAGAGAAAACTTCAGATTTCTGGCGCATGTAAAAAATCCATGTGTAACCAGTATAATCATATGTAAAAATAACATAATATTAGCAGCCAAAGACAGATACAGTAGGGGACATCCAAACATCAGAATATATTAAATCAAATGAAACAATGGACCAATGATCATGAGACAAAAAGGAAAGACGAGTAGATTTAGCAAGTGCACGATAAGTACATTTATTGAAAGATACAGAAAAACAAGATCCTAACAAGGATCGAGAAATTAGATTTCCAAGAACACGATCAAAGGGATGTCTGAGATGATGATGCCAGATGGAGGATGGGGAATGGAGATGAGAGCTTGCTTGGAGCCATGGGATGGAGAAGAAGACGGTAAGACATGATAAAGACCATCTTTACATTGGCCCTGAAAAAGAATTTTATCAGAATATAAGTCACAAATAACATAACCCCAAGGATAAAAGATAATACTAACAAGAAGATCATGAGTGAGTTGAGCAATAGACATAAGGTTTTTACAAAGAGAAGGAACATGAAGAACATTAGATAAACGGAAAACAAAATGCCCAGAAGAAAAAGAAATGGTACCGGATTAGGTAATAGGAAGAGAGGCACCATTACTAACAACAACTTGGTTGGAAGAGGCCATGAGATGAAACATAAGGAGTGGCATGAGTCATATGATTGGTGGCTCCCGAGTCCATGTACCAAGCGGAATTAGTAGGTTGAGTGACATGGAGGCCAGCAAATGTGCACGACAAATTCGTAGTGTGTGGACATTGAGCTGCAATATGACCAAATTGTTAATAGTTCTAGTACTGATGAGCCCCACAGGAGGATGGTGCAGGGCCTACAAGCCCATTGGCAGAAGTGGGTGGAGGACGATAAAAATTGGGCCAGTTGGGTATAGAAAAATAGGACCCATGCTAATGAGAAGGCTTGAAATTGGTGGAACGACAAGAAGCAGAGCCACGAGGAGTACCATGAGGTCGTTGAGATGCAACAAAAGCAACGGGCTAAGGTGCAGAGAAAAGTTGAGCCGTCATGGCTTGCTATGCTTCAAATGAGAGCAGACGAGTATGAAGATCCGGGAAGGAAGGAATAGGTGGAAAAAAGAGTGTAGCAATGACAAGCATGATATAGTCAAGTCCCAATCCACGAAGAACATATGTAACCAAATCAGTAAGAGATACATGGTCTTGAATTGCAGTAAGTTGATAAGTAAGGGGTTTGCCTTGGTTGAGATATTCAAAAACAGTCTGCGAACCTTTGGTGAGTGACATTAGGCACATCTTTAACTGAGTAGAGTTGGCAACATAGTGCTGGGAGAAATTTTGAGCCATAGATTCCTAAATAGCATGGGATGTGTCAAGACCAACAACTTGAGATATAACATATTCCGAAAAAATGGCATAAAGTTGACTGACCATGGATTGATCAGTTTGGTACCAAGAGATGTAGGCGGGGTTTGGGAAAGTGGCAGGCGTATCATCAGTAGTTTTGGATGCAAGATCAAGAATGATGGCAATAGGATAGGGATAAGAGCCATCATCGAAACATCAAAGATTCTGTCCAATGAGAAAATGCTTAACTTAGGTTTCCTAGAAAAGATAATTGGTATCACTGAGTTTGATGGATGAGACTAGCAATATTGGGAGTGGAAGAAGAAGAGGAGGAGGAGGACCCCATGAGAGAAAAAAAGAGGACAACAAAGATCGTACTAAGGGTAAAGTTTTGATACCATGTAGAAAAGGTTTATCTTTACTTATTTGAGAATGATACAAGACTACAATATTTATATATGGATTTCTAATATAACAGTCCTATACTAATTACAAAGTAAATTACAAATTAATCTCATAACTGAAAACTATTACAAATCATATTGAATTGATCTCATTGATTTAGTGGTAACTAATGTAACTCCTTAACAATTAGCATTCAATTTCATTAATGTGCAGGTAGCTCACTGTATCCCTAATTTTAAGAAGACTGAGAAAGTGTGATAGCGAAGGGAATGAGAGGGGGCTGGGCAGGATAGGAAGACAGGGATGAACTATATCCCTAATATTTTTTTTAGTGGATTAGAATAGATAGTTGTTTAGGTAGAACAATGAGTATGAATGAGGGTTTAAATACTAACAACATGTGCCGTTAGATTGGGTTTTTATTAAATAGTTGCTCACATGATCTCATTTTTAGGTCCTTAGGTGAGCGGGACTGGTATCCATAGTATTCTTTTGTGAAACAATATTCTTATGTAATTCAATTTAATATTTTTTTACTATATTTTAATGCATAAAATTGTAAAAGGAAAGTGATATTACAAAATCAAATTTAGAAAACTAAAGAAACCAAAACTTGAAAAAGAAAAACAAACCAAGCAAGCAGGGCTCACCCTAGGCCCTCTTCCACCTTCTTCTCTTCTCCCTCTAGTGCACAGGCCTCCTGACTTATCTTTCTCCTCCCCAATGCCTCGTCGTATCTTTTATCAGCACCCATCACCTCAAACATCCTTTCCCATCAATTTTCTCTAACAACCAACTACAAAAATTAGTACAACATAACTCTGCCCAATATGATATTAGGCACAATTAGTGCTTTTAGCCATCTCACCCTATGTCCTTAAGAATACAACATAACTATACCCAATATGATATTGAGCACGGTTAGTGCTTTTAACCACCTCACTTTATCTCCCAACCACACACATAAAAAAACAACCTAGAACTACCGAGCCAAACCCTACCTCAATCTCACACTACACAACCAACCACATACCCCGATCTTGCCCTTACTACTGGACCCTCTCCTCCAAACTCTCTCTCTCTCTCTCTCTCTCTCTCTCTCTCTCTCTCTCTCTCTCTCTTAAAAAGGACCTCACTTGTACCATGCCATGAAGCTTAACATATTTATTGATCGACTTGACAATATGGCGTTAAGTGAGATGCTAGAATCAATTTTTGGTGGAAATGCGAATTAAAGTGACTTTTGAGAGGCAAAGAAAAATAGGGTTATATGATGGGCATGCTAGAATGATTAATTCTTTTGTAAACTAGTTGTTTCCTTATTTTTGGCTGCGTAGTCCAAGGGAATGACTTTTTTGGTCCTTTATTAGGCGTGCCAGCACAAAACAACGAATTTTGCTTGAATGAAATGTGAATAGAAGATGCACCCAAGATTTGATTCTAATCAAACAATTTTTTGGTCAAGCAAGGAACCTCTTCTCATGGCCTAGGTTCTTTCACTGTCTCGGGGTCAATACTTTATGTGAGCAACCAAGTGATGTAGAGTGAATGGAAATGAAGATTACTGACAGAGAAAGTAAAAGGAATTGAAACTATGATTAAACTTAATAGAAAGTGTGAAAAGTAAATTCAATTAAGACAATAATGGAAATTAAAATACATAAAGTAAATAATTTAAAGACAACACTCGGGAGGTGTTGGCCAAAGGTCATCTGACGCCTAAGTTAGTTCGATTAGATCTTGATAAAGTACGAAAATAGCTAAAGTGGATGGAGTTTTCTCTCAAGGGGAGAGTCGGGTGGCCTTAGCCGTGTGTGGTGGCTCGTCGTTGTATGAGGAGAGAGAGAGAGAGAGAGAGAGAGAGAGAGAGAGAGAGAGAGGAGAGAGAGAGAGAGAGAGAGAGAGAGAGAGAGTGAGTGAGTGAGTGTGTGTGTGTGTGTGTGTGTGTGTGTGTGTGTGTGATTTCTCTAGGGTTTTTGAAATTAGAGAGGAATTTAGAATTACCTTGAATGTCTTGTGTAGCCAGGTATTTATAGGCTCCTTATGCACTAGGGTTTTGGGAGAATAATCCATATTTGGTTAGGATTATTCTTACCCAAAAGATAATAGGAATTACTCCAAGAGATTTAGTGGAAATTGGTTCCTTGATTTAGGGAGATGTTCCTATATTAAATCAAAGATAATTTCCCTAATTAAATCATAATTTCCCTAATGAAATTGACCAAAGGAATATTCCTTTTCCATGTGTCGTCTCCTTATTGACCAGGGAAATATGTGTTCCCACAAATGTCCTCAGCTTCTGCATGGCGCTTGTGAGGCATAGAGGAGATGAGAAATATTTATTGTGCTTTAGAACTACATCTGGGCTTTCTTCTTTAAGTTGGGCTCCTTTTGTGAGGTGGGTTCCTAATTGGAGCAGGATTTTGACTTCTTCTTAGAGTTGGGCTCCCAATTGGAATAGGCTTGTGATTCCTCCTTGACCTAGGATGCTTAACCTTTAAAAATTCAAGGCTTCTCTTCACTCCTCTTCAAATTGCAAACTTGTCATCATTTACATTCTAGCTTGTGAGAGAGATCTTAGAGTAGTGTATTGCTTGTTGAGGAGAGGAGTCGCCGTGCACACCAAGGTAGATCACGCTTGGGTTTTTATTTCTCTTCAATTTTTTTCTCGCGGCGAGTATGGCTAGTTGTCGTCGTGGTGTGGAGGCTAGAACAACAAGAATGATGGGATGGTGTCGCGTGGCCGAGGTTGCTACCGCTACTGGCCGTGGTGGCTATGGCCGCTACCCTTTTTTTTTCCTTCAAATGTGCTCTGGCAACTGGACAGTGCTGCAACTCCTATTATTGGCGCCTATAGTCTTTGTCGAATGACGGCTACTGCTGTGACAGTTACTGCCTGTTGCTGATGGCTGTTAGGGTTAGCATTGCCTTCTTCTTCTTTTTTTTTCTTTTTCTAGAGCTAGAATACGCCTTGACCTGATGGGCAAGTTACGGCTCGGCTAGGGCTGAGGGGCTACAACGCCGGCTCTAGCCACGTTGCATTCTCCTTGTTATTTTTTCTTGTGCTACAAGCTAAGGTTCCTCCTTTAAGACTTGAATTGTGATTTTTGACTTGTAATTTGACTTGCACTTTTTCTTCCCTTTTTGTAGCTGTTCATCAACCATGTTGTCTAATGAGGGGAGCCGATCACCCAGTTCGCAAGTGCCTTTGTACTTATGGGGCAATTCCAAGGTGTATAAGAAAATATTTGTGGCTAATCTGTATCGTGTCACGACTGAGACTCACTTCCAGAAGTGGTGCACCACATATGCTATTGCCATACCCAATGATGTGCATGTCAAGCTGGATGCGTCTTTAACTGACGATGTGCCTCGCGTGGATCCGAACGATCCAGACGCCCAAATTATCACATTCTTTACCTTATACTTCTCCTTGGGATTTACATTCCCATTGTCAAGGGTCTCCAGGAAGGTGTTTTATGTCATGGAGTGTGCCCCAATCCAATGTACTCTAAATGTGTACAGGGCGATTATCTATTTTGATCATGTGAACTACTTTTTCAAGCTGGATCTAACAGTGCAAGAGTTCTTTTACTTCTTTGAGGTGAGGCACTACAAGAAGTACACCTAGGTTCATGTATGCAATGCCAAGTTGTTTGACAGTCTCAGCCAAGGAGATCACGTATGGCATGCCGATGTGTTGGAGGTGAGTGAAAGGTGGGAAGGCGAGGTAGGCGACGGTCCACTTGTTCCTATCACCTACTATGATGGTATGTCATACTATATTAATATGCTTCAATTTTATTTGAATTCTTTGATGTGTGACTAACTGACTTCCATCTTCTACTTACAGAGAATGATATTAGCAAGAAACTGGATCTTGAGCCGGACAAAGCTAAGGTGCGCTGGGCCCTGAACATCCCCTTGAGGTTTCTCGAATGGCGTTGGCTGTTGAGGGAGTATCTGAATAAGGCTGGTGATCTGCCCCCTACTAAGAATGTTGAGAGATGAAAGCAGTATGGCCCAGACTTGAATGATCAGCCTGCCAAATGAGAGGAGTCCTCAACCAAAAAGATGAGAAAAAACCTAGAAAAACCTTCCCAGCTGCCACCCCTCAAGAGGTGTGGGTGGCTTTGCTTCCTCCCCTCCCTCCTCTCTCAATCCTTCCCCTCTCTAAACTCTTCTTATTGCTATGTTTCCCCTTTGGCTTATTGTTGATATTTTGCTATTTTGGATAATATTTTGCCCTCTTATTGGTTGTTTTTGTTTGTTTTCTTTTTGAAGATTTGGAGCTCTAGCTTTAGATCCACTTCAGATGTTTGTGGTTCATTTCAACTTGTGATTTGTAGATAGATAATGGTCTTGGGTAACTACCAGTGGTGCTCTCTATCTCAGTTGAAGCGGCGACGTCCACGTCGGTTGGTTTAGCATCAATTGCTACGTTGGTTTGTTTTGTGTTGTTGAAACAGCCACTGCGAAACACCGTTGTCGCCATGATAAGTTGCCGCTTTGGCCCACAAAATCAAAGATTTGGTTGCACTTCAGATTTTGGAGTTACAAAATTGGGAGTTGCCGGATTGTGTGGGTTGGGGTTTAGCCAGTATGGCATTATGAGTCTCTTCGAATGCTAGAGAAGATGTGGAGTGGTGATCTTGTTTCTTTATTTGTTTTAGTTTAATAATTCTCAAGAACTCTTTAGGACTTTGCTTTGTTTTGTTTTTTAGCTTTCGGCTTTCAAAAACCGATTTACCGTTTTTGCCGTTGAGCAGTGGAGCTGTATTGTAAGTTTAAGTACATGTGCTTCTGGCTTCTGAATCCAGGATTTAAGTCATTATGGTTTAGGCATAATTCTCCCCGGATCAAATAAACATGTTGTTGTGTTTCATCAATAATTACTATCTCATCTTCTCGGAAAAAAAAAAAAAAAAAAAAACATGTGCTTTTAAAACCATTAATCCTTTTGAGTAATTTTATCATTCTCTCTTTTCCTGCAAGAGACCTTAAGTAAAAAATGGACCTTCTATTTTGGCGCATAATTGTTTCAATAAAGTAGAGCTAAGGGGTATTATGAAAAAAAATAAAAACTTAAATAAATTATTGAAGAAAATATTATATGAACAAATTTCAGATTTAGGAATTGGAGTCATCAATAGAACAATTCAATCTATCAAAGAACAAAATACTTATGTATATGGGTTAGCACAACGTTGGAGATCTATTTGGAAGGATAGTGGTACACATGCAAGGATGTATAAGTAAAGCAAGCCAAGAAATTCCCAAATGTTGCTCTCTTAGTCGTGGAGCTATAATTTTGACAATGGTTGCCTAGTAAAGTACTCAAATACAAATTTCTTTGGTATAAGTGGTGCATATAATGGCTTTTATGTGGCGAGTACCAATTTCAATGATGATCCAATATTAATCAGATATAAAATTGGTACTTTATTCACTCGATTAAGTTTAAAAGTTGTTGGTGGCTCGTTGTACTTTTAATAAGATTTGTTACGATAGATTTGAATTTTACCAATTTTGATTAGGTGGCATTTGTTTTTGTAAATTGGTTCTTTCAATGTAATCATAAAACAGTTTATATGCATATCCCTATGTTTTATTGTGCAATAATGATAATAAAATGATGTTCCATTTTCAATAATCCCCCTATTTACTATGTTAAACAATTAATTATGCTAGTAGTTTACGAAAATATGGGAGTCGGGATTTGGACAGTTCCTTCGTCTTTCCACTTTGGGCTGTGTCTTGCAAGAAGGCAGACCCGAACAAAAACCAAAAACTGCAGAGGCGCCTCCATTGCCGCCACTGCTGCAGTCGTTGCCGCCGCAATGGAGACAGGGTAAATACCATTGAAGCTCCTGCAACCCAAGAACCTACAACAACAACAAAGAAACCTAAGAAGATGAGGAAAGGGAGAAGGAAAAGGAGAGAGGGAAGGAGAGATACAGAGGGGGTGAGGAGTGGCTTCTTTACAAGAAGGCAACAACTCAAAAGAGTCACCCTCATAAATTCGGACAAAGGAATAGAGAGGGGTTAAAAGGGAAGAGGGAAGAGGAGAAAAGAGGAGGGGCAGAGGGGAGTAGGGGTAGAAACCACCTCCCCCACCCCTACCCCCCTTTTGTTGCGGCGCAGAAAGAAGTTCCAAACCTTCAAGCTAAAGTCCACAAAATCTTCACAGTGCACTGCTTTGCCATACGCAAAGCCACGCCACTATACAGCACCTCACCACTAAACCACCATGCCACCTTGGAATTGAGTTGAAGGCTTTCGGACCACAAAAGGACCTAAAGGCCCTGTAAATGAGCCAAGCATTACATACATTAGCCTAAACTACCACCATTGATCTTAATGCTAAACACAATGCAATTCCACTAATGGTTTCATATGTTTAATGATACTTCAATGAAGTTTTTTGCTCTAATTTAGATCCTTGAGAAACAAACAGGGTATTGGCTGTTTTATTTATTGGTCCTTAGGGCCTGTTTAATAGTAACCAAGTCTAATACATGTTATAAACATCTTGTTCTTTCTTCAACAATTTCTGATCTCTAATCGACCTCTCAATATGGCGGGATTCAAAGCATCATTTTTTTTAAAAGCAAACATACAATAGTCGTATTGTACATGTACGTACATATTTCTAATGTTTTATACACGTGTTTTTTATAAAATTTTCAGTAAGACACAAAATTCACGTAGTATACAAATAATTCTCACATATTATTGAATAAGAATAACATATGTTATAAAAATTATATTAAAATATCATATAATGGAAGATTAATATCTACTTTGGATATGTTGAAACTAGTTAATTAATATCTATAAGGTACAAACTAATGCAACTAGGAGGGTCCTTTTTTATTATTAAATAGAATAGCCGTGCGGCTATACCTTTTACATATAATGTATTTAAATAGTACCGCCGTGCAGCTATACCACGGATTTTTTTTAAAAATGTATATCCGGGTGGCTATACTTATTTTTGACAAGTGGCACCTAATCGATTGAGGATCTTATTTTTTTTATAAAAAAATGTATATATAGAGTACTGTCGCTCTGCTATACTCCGTGTTTTTTATTTTTTTAAAAATAGCCTCTGTGTTGACACGTGGCACTGGCGCCTGATCGCGGGGGTTTCTTTTTTTATAGTATAGCCGTACGGCTATACTCAATTTTTAATTTATTTTTTAAAGGTATCGCCGAACGGCTATACTAGTTTTTTAAAATTGTCTTTAATAAATAGTATAGACAAGCAGCTAGTCTTTTACATATATATATATATATATATGTACGTACGTATTTTTCAATAATATATTCGTGTGCTATACAAGTCTCACGTTTTTTAAAAGGCAAACATACAATAGTCATATAGTATATGTACGTATGTATTTCTAATGTTTTATACATGTATTTTTTACAAAATTTTCAGTAAGACACACAAAATTCACGTATTATACAAATAATTCTCACATATTATTGAATAAGAATAACATGTTATAAAAATTATATTAAAATATCATAGAGTGGAAGATTAATATCTACTTTGGATATGTTGAAACTAGCAAATTAATATCTATAAGGCACAAACTAATACAACTAGGAGGGTCCTTTTTTATATATTATTAAATTGTATAGTCGTGCGGCGATACCTTTTAAATATAATGTATTTAAATAGTATAGCCTTACGACTATACTGTCAGTTTGGCGTTAGATTTGCTGTGAGGGAAAACAATTTGGCGTTTGGTAAACTTTTTGTTAAAAGTGTTTTTTATACTGATTTCTGCATAATCAGAAAATGATTCTCACATAATCATTCAACTCAGCGCATCTTCGAAACTAATTCCTTTCTAATCAGAAAATGAAAGCACCTCATTAGCTACTTTCCCTTATAGCTTTCTCTCACAACAATTTTAATTTTAACAATAAGTGATTTTCTCATACGTTACCAAATGGGCTAGGCTTTCCAATTTTTTTTAAAAATCGCTTATCACCTCAAATAAGTAATATCAAACGGACACTTACACTAAAATGTTGGGACTACCGGGATTCGAACCTGGGATCTCCTGATTTGTGATCATGTTAAACTCTACAGGGATAATTTGTACCCAAATGATTTGGGACTATGTTTAACGTAGAGAATCAATTTTATTAATTGTTATTGTAGCTTAATGATCTGCTATACAAACTGAGGTAAAGAATGCATATAATACAACATTTAAAATAATTTAAAATAAAAAATTAATCAGTTATCAGGATAACCCTCAACCCCATTTAGACTAGAGCTAAGGACACATTGAAAATTTGAAGTGCGCGTTTAACAGCTTCAGTGTCGATATCCTTTAATTGTCTTGTCTTGGATGAAACAATAACACAATTCTTCTTCTCTTCTGCGTTGGGAACAAATAGTTTCCCTTTCTCTTCAGAACCGAATAATGCAATGCTGCAAAACAATGACGTTTTCGAATAAATGAATTCGATGATATGGTGCATGTTTTGGAAGGAAACCGATTTGAAGCTCAAAATTCAATGGCAAATAAATAAGTGAATAACGCAACAGATATGTGTTCAGGCAAGTACTTATGTAATGTTAGCAAACTAGTCTTGCCATATGTGATTTACCAGGGTTTTTCGCGTGCATTTGCAAGTTGGATAGCTGCAGTGTTAGTAGTTATTACACCAGCCGAGTCATTGATAAGGGCAGCTAGCTGAAGCAGAAAACAGAGAAGAAAAAAATGAGTGAAAGTACAGTGAAACCATTAGAATTTGAACATGCTTTGTGCTTTCAAGAGTGTCAATCCTGTCACCTGTCCTGAAACAACCTTAAAAGGAAAAAGTCGAGCGCTACGCCATAAAGTTAGCAACAAAGCACGCTTTGAAATCGCTATTTAAAACACTGCTCTACATGGAGGATGGATTGATATCATGAAACAAATGCGGTTTCATGGGGGCAGTAGGAGAATGAAGTGACAAGATAGGCACAGAAAAATTATTTGTATGACACAGATGGTTCTCCTACCCACCCATATATTCACCATAATCACTCCAAAATTTCTCCCACGTGTGGTTTTTCCAAGTTCGGTTATTTTTGCTCAACAATTGTTTCTTGGGAGATTAGCAAAGTTATCCATACCTGCCCAGGGGTTGTTATGAACACAATGCTGGTATCTTCTCCCACTACTTCCTCCACATTTTCCCTTTCTTTCTCATGTGGAATGACAAAAACTGGCCTAAATTCCCTGTTGCAATATAAAATAACAAATGCAATTCTACATTAATAACTTGCTGTCAACTCCAACCATTGTTACAAAAAAGAGAGTATATAAATATATAATATATAACTATTATGTAAACATGCTAGCTAGTTCAATCTAAAATACCTTAAAAGATCCATAAAATTTCATACCTTATACCACGAGCTATTGTAGCCCACACTTTGATGGGCAGTAAGCTATCAGCATCCCCCTTAGACTGCATTGAGGCTTTCGAATCAGATTCCAACCCATGAATCACAATATATTTTCCTTTACTTACACCTGCATTCTGATATTTGGACTCTACAACCTGCTTTAGCTTCTTTGAGATTGATACTTTAAGTGGAGGCAGAGGTTGCTGTGGCACATCCCGCACCGGTCTACCCAACCAATCAACCATCTGGTGATACCTGAATGGACAAACATGTGTGAATCTTCTAGATACAGAATCTAAAGGAAGTATCAAAATCATATCATAATATTTTTACCAATTCATGTTACTACTATCTTTGCTCCAAAGGAACATTCTCACTATTGTATTCAAGAGGTTTCTATATTTCGCAAGAAGTATCAAAATAATCCGTGATATGTTGTAAACTCACATGTTATATCCGCCTTCAGAGAGATTCATGCTATTTGGTGTAAATGTTTCAGATAGAAACAATCCAGCTCCTGCAGCATTTACATTTGGATAAATATAGCTCACCCGTTCTCGGGCTGTTGTCATGAACAAGAATATTCCGTGTCCGATCCCTGCTAGCTTGGTTGATAAGATCATGTCATAATACCTATTCTGTAAAAACAGAGCAGTGTGTTACAAATTTAAATAAAGTAGGAATATTTATGAACCACTAATACACAATGCCTAACCAAGATTTAGCAGGATTCTTAAATTTATAGTAGGCCTGTAATAATCTGTTTTTAGTGTACTTGTTTATGAAAGCCCCTTTAGTCGATCTTTAATTGGTCCAATGCCGCATTGCAGACAAAAAAGGAAATATCATTCTTGATGATAACCTTATTTTCTTAATTATCTGTGATTCAAGAAGAGAGAATCATTTGGCTGCAAAATATGAAAATCCTATATCTGCTATCCGAGAAGCAAAACCACGTCTCCTTCGAGAAGCTGGATAGAGAAGCTGGAGTTTCTAACACGACACTGTAAGAGAGCATCTCCAAAAAAAGATCTCTTTGGAGAAGCTCCACCAAACAGAAAGAACCATGCCATATAACTACTCTTATAACAAACACAATTTGGCTATATCACCTATAAAAAATTTTAACCCTTGACAAAATCGTGTTGCTGCTGTTTTAGCAAACTGATGAACATCTGCATTTTAGTTCGTCTTAAATGAACTTACATTGAATTGTATTGGTCCCCTTGAGCTCATTACTGAAAACTTTGACGCTCATATGAATCATATCTCTTTTTAGTCAAAACAACTAATTCCTTTTTCATTTTCCATTCATGCAAAGCCATCAATGCTCTCTCTGTCTCCTCTTCTCATTATAGTCCAATACCTCTTGTCCTGTTTTCCACTTCATGTCAACTAAATGCTTGGGGCCACATAACTTACACTAAGCATACCCAACCTATATGGGAGCACCACATTTTCCATTGAAACATGGTATAACTGCAAACAAATAGAAGAAAGACAAAATTTTGGCAAGTATATGCAGAAAGAGCCTTAAACACTGTATATCTTATTCAACATCACCCGGATAACATTCTATTTTCATCAACTGACCCAACAAAGAAATTATCAACTTTTAGATATAAATCAATTACGAAAATAGTTTAAAAGAACAAGAACAAACCAACCTTAAGAAGTCCAACCATGTCAGTGTACTCAGCAGGCTCAGGAAAATGATCATCAGGATCATAGACATCAGCCCATCTCACATTCTTATTCAACTCATAAGCTTGCTTCCCTCTGGCAGACGCCACTACATCCACTTGCACACCCGGGTACCGATCCTTGATAAGCTGGATAACCGGAAAAAACAGCAAGTTCTCATACACACCACCAGAAACCACACAACAACACCTCCTAACATCCCCCCTCACTTTCAAAGCTAATGATGCAATTTCCACACTATACCCCATTGGGAACTTCAAGAACCCGTATGGATTATCTGGGTTTTCGGGCGGTCTATCATCCTCTTCCTGCTTCCCCTCTGCAAAAAGAGAGCCATACCCCATGTCTGGGTCCTCTCCATCATCAAAAGGGTCACGCCAGGGGTTCTTCTTTTTGGCATGTGTCTGAAGGTTTTGCCTTTTTGTGCAATGGGGGTGGTCTGATGGGCTGAAACATGAGAGCTTGGTGAAATGTGTTGAAGGGAATGAAGGTGTGTTGGTGAGAAATGGTGAGGGGGGTTTGGGAAGCAGAGATGTTGTAGTGGCCATGAATTGTGGCTGCCAAGTTTCTCTTTTTCTTTCTTTTTTGAATTATTGTTATGGGGAATTAGCAGGACATAAAAAAACTTATGATTTTGTTGTGTGGAAGGTAGTTGGATAAGTTGGGTCCACTAGTTGGATATGGGGGGGTGTGATTCTTTCTTTTGGCCCCTCTCTGGACTGGAATGTGTTCTGAAGTTGTTGGAATTTTCTCGGAAAATTTCGGATTTCCCCGGAAACTTCACAAATTCTTCGAACAACACTGATTTCTTATACTCTACATAATTTCTTCTCTGATTCAAAAATTAGCAGAGCATCTCTTTCTGGTATGTTATTTCTCTTTTTTCTCTTTGGGTTTACTTTTATGTTATGTTATGCCACTTCCAATACCTACTTTGATGAAGTAACACAAGCCCAAGATTTGCAATATGGATTCTCTTAGGCCCCATTTGTTTCGCGAAAAGATTTGATGAGAAATAATTTCTCATGTCTTTCCCAAGGGATGGAAAATGGAGGATTCATTTATCATATTTGGTAATCCTATGAAAATAACTAGGAAATACCACTTTATTTCCTTTCACATATTTGGTTTGTGTAGGAATATAAAACAAAGTTTGTTCAATTTTCCAATTATACCCATATAAAAAAAATTTTAAAATTCATTTAATGCTATATTGTAATTCTAAATTGTTAATTTGGACAAAATGGTCATGAAAAATGTACATTTAATGTTTGCTCATTTTCCCAAACTTTCATATGAGGAGAAAAACAAAACCTGATGGGAGAGGAGGGCTTCACTTTCCCCCATACTTTCCCATGTGCTAGGCAACCATTTCCCATGTATGGACTTACTAAACATGGGAAAGCAAAATGCATGGACTTACCAAACATGAGAAATCAATTAATTTCTCATTCCCAAGCTTTCTTTCCCATGAACCAATTAGTTGTTTTGCATTATAGTTTGCTGGATCCTCGATATAAAATGGACTGTGTGACGTGTACAGAGGATATTTGGATGCTGAAGAGAAGAAAACTGAACAAGAGGATGCTTTTGTTGACAGGTTTAAAAGTTTGATGTCATGTCTTTATCTCCATTACTTTTTGGATAATAAAGGGACCAAAAGTTCCAAGAAAGGAATTTTTTTTTTAGGGATTGAATGAAAAGGAAGAAGCTTCGAATGATCTGCACAAGTACTTGGGTGAAAGGACAGAGGATGATACTCCTCAATTCAATGTCTTAGATAATCTGCACGATGCTTACATGTATTAGTTAATCCAAAGTGATGATAATACTTGCTCAAATCACCACCTGAGGCCAATTACATTCACTCAAGTTTGCCATGGAGCTGGTGGACTAACAAATGATCATCTCACTGGATCCTTCCCTTTTCAAGAGTGCCGTGGCAGAAGCACGGGAAAAAGATCGCTGTTTCGAGTAACCGAAGAGAAAATGCTGGAGGAAGGATCCAACTTAGGACTAGAAATCTATGAATAATTTGTTTTTCACAACGATAACTAATGAGGTCATTACATGTAAATTACTCCATTAGACTGGGCTAGCTCTTGTTCCTTATAGAAAATATATATTTGGGTCAGTTTTGTTTGCTCACAATTTATTAATGCAGTTGATTTTGTTTTCTTCCTCTCTTTTTTTCCCAGTTTCGCTCAACTGCCTCATTGTTTTCCCTGTTTCTTTTTGACTCAACGCAATGGTAGGTTCTATCAAAGACAATGTTCTCTTTGAAAGCCTCCTCTGTCTAACATTGACCGAGAAACAAACACCGACTGTCGTAGATTTCAATGGGCAAAAGAATCTCACAGTAGTTGAGATCCTTTATCAGCTTTTTGCTTTTTTGGTCGAAAAAGACCTTTATGAGCTTAGTCGCACATCAACTATCTACACTCAATTCCTTTTTGGCAACTGAGCATCCTCTTTAGAGTGGATGCCAAATTTGGTAGGACATGTAAAAGAGAAGCACAGCATTTGCAATAATTTTTTTAGAGAAAAACTGTTCTATATTGCAGCTCAAATAAGTACATAATACAGTGTGTCACAGCTACATGATCTAGGAGTTGTCTAATATATTTTCTTGGCCATGCTTGACGCGAGAATGAAATGATCGAAGCTACAAAAGCCGGTTTGGCTGAAATCAAAGGCCGGTTTCCAGATCAATGCCTAGCTGAATCGATAGCCAGGCACTGCAGGTTTATATAAGCTGAAACTTGGGAGTCCAAGAATGGAAGAAATCTAGGCCCTCATCGAAGTGAATTCAGAAGTTGTGTCCTACTGTTGTATTTACACACACCTAATCTTCAAAAACCAGTCTGACCAAGTGAAAACCAATTCTCTTAATTGACTTCCACCATTCCTTTTCAGTAAGAATTATGTTGAAGTATTCTTCCTGAAATGGCTGCTGCTAGTGCTTTCGTGAAATCGGGATCTTTTGTCAAGGAAGAAGCCATCTGCTCCACCAAAAACTTTCGAACTTCCGGTGTTTCGGTTCTTGTTTTTGTACTTTTGGTATCAGCACTGGACTTGGATTTGGTCAAGTCAAGAGTGATGGTAGGTCCGGATGAGGCAAGGGAGGTTGAGCAGGGGACTGATCCTAAGGTCATGCTGCGGCTTGAGCCTGATGTTGCTTCAATTTGAGAAGGGTGGGAATGATTGTGTTCACCTTCATAAGTTGCCACCAGAATAGATTGATCTTCAACACTTCTCTGCACCTGAAGAGCAAAAACCATGGACAAGAAGCACCTTTAATAAATATGGCACTTAAGAGGGGGAAAAAACTGAACAGAAATCCTGCTCCTAAAACCAATTAATTCTTCCGTTTACATAATAAGTTTTGAAGCATTAAGGGGGGGGGAAGTTTTGAACTTGGGCTCACCTTCTTTTTGACAGGGCAGCTTGGAGCAAAAGAGCATTTGAAGTAAGCTCTAGGACAAGGATTATCTCTAGTAACTTTTTGGCCATATTTTCTCCATTGATATCCATCCTTCACAACCTATAAATACACATAAAATTTCTCAATACAAATCTTAAATTATTAACTAAACCAACAAGAACATTCCTCAAGGACTAATTACTTACCAGGCTTGTTGTATCTGATGCTTCGGTACGAACATAAGCCCTTGAAATCTTTGCCTTGATGGTCTCTTCCCTTGGTTTCTTGCAAGATTCTCCATCACTGGAGCTGCTCTCAGAGTTTCCATTCACTGCTCCATTGATGTTATTGTTGCTGTTGGTGTTGGTGTTGTTGTTGTTACTGCTTTCAGACTTTCTTTTCCTTGAAATTGGGCTAAGCTCCTTCTCTGGGTTCTTGCTCATGTAATCCAGCAACTGGTTTCTTAAAGAATTGTAGCTCTCACCCATCACCGTCAACATTTCGGTTAGCTTCTTGTTCTCTGCACTCACCCGTTGCAATTCCTCCAATAGAGCACCACTCTGAGAACAAAACAAACTCTTTAGACATGCAATCCAATAGTTAATAAATCATTTGATATTTCATGTTTCATATTTAGTACTTTAATCATCCTAATTTGTAAGACGTCTGTCGAAGATTTACGCGCTTTCGATCCAATATGATAATAGCTTGAAAAATATGCTCCTAGACACATTAAATCCTAGTTCAAGGCCTTCATTGATATAGCCACAAAACAGAAGATAGAGAAGCTAAGGTGGAGAAAGAATTGAAAACAAACCTCTTCATTTGGTGAAAGCTGCCTCCCAAAGCCAATCAATATTTTGCTTTGCACCTCTTTCTTGATCTGAAAACAACCAATCAACTTCTGTAAGTTCAAAGATTACTAGCTAGTAGAGAGAGAGAGAGAGAGAGAGAGAGAGAGAGAGAGAGAGCTTAGATCTCTACTAAAAGTTCAGATACATAAAGTTTGCACCTACCGGAGTATCATCGAAAGTCGGAGAGGCTTGGTATTCAGATCCAAAGAAGTATCATCATATGCAGCAGATGAGTAGTCCATATCCTTATGAAAACAAGACTTGAATTCTTCTTTTCCAGAAATCCTCAACAGCAAGCAGGCAAATCTCTCACCACCAAGTATATTCTATATATACCTCCTGAATTTGACTTTGAAGAAGAAGAAGAAGAAATAATAAAATCACAAGGCAGAAGACTCCTTCACCAAAATCTTGACCAAGTTGTGTAAACTTGGGTGGATGAAGCAAATATATAGAACCAGAAAGGAAGCTGGGAAGAAAGAGAATGAAAGATAAAGATATAAACGAGTAGTCTCAGTGAAGAGCTGGCATGAGCTTTGAGTTCCATATATATACTAATATATATTTATTATAATAATAATATGGTGCCAAGAGACTACTTGGAGTTGGTGTGCTATCTGTATATAGAGGAATATTATAAAGACTGCAAGTTGTACGACATGTCGGTCGTGAGGGTTGAATTTCTGGGGTAGAAGATGTGCAAAGTCAAGCACGCCATATCAAATTAAATAAATAAAATCATTTGAATTGTGTTATGGATTTTAATTTCTTTTTCAGCAAATCAAAGAATAGAATGGGGAACATATAGAAGTTCTATATTGACCCGATGCTGTCTCTGTCATGTGTTTTTTTTTTTTTTTTTTTTTTTTTTTATAGTGGGTAATTGGTTGGGTGTTGGGAGGGGGCCTTTGCTTTACTTTTCTGTCACGTTTTCAAGTTTGAAACATTTTCCACGTTCCATGAAATGAAAACCATGTATTATTTTTACATTGGATAACAATGTATATTCTATGTTTTGTTTCCCAAGTCCAAAGCTGTCAACGCGGCTGTAGAATTCCCAGATGAATGATATGACAGATACGAACTACATTCATCACTACATTAGATGTATTGGATTTACAGTATTTTCTTTCTGGGAATGATTTTTATCGTGCCATTTTGACGATGGATGCGTTTTAATATTGAAAAGAGAAATATTAGTAAATTACACGTTACTTGATTAACAGTATTATATTCATTAAAAAGGAAATTTGTTAGGTTCTAGTTAAGTTTTGGCTTTCCTTGCCCCACTTGTTAGGTTCTAGTTAAGTTGAAGAGCAGAGAAGGTTCATTCATTGAGGATGTATTTCACCATGGGCTAAGCTGCAATTCATGATCAACAAAGGTAAATCACTCACAAATATTGCATGGCATCATGTTTTTGAATATTCAGGGCTTTTTTTTGGGTACCTAGTTGATTAGTTTGGTCGACTAGTCAAGTCTCCTCAAATTTATTGGATTTATTGGTTGGACTAATGATCCCCAATTTTTCCCCGTGGTGGATTTATGGGTAAACTTTTTTTCTGGTGTTGACTGTGTTTGTAGTGTTCTTCATTCTCTGCTTGTTTGGTGATATTGAATGAATGCACACAACCTGCATAATGTAGTTGTTTCTAGCACTCGGGCGTCCTAAATTGACATATCCTTTTGAGTATCTAAATTGTCACTTATAATTCTTCTAGACTTGCAAATTAAATTGATTGTTTGATTGGAGATATGATTATTGTGTAGTGGCGCTCTTGAATCTATGACTCGTTGTTGACTAGTCATATGGTAACTAGGTGTTGTTTATTATTACATATAGTTAATGTTCAAAAAATCTAAAGTTCATTTTAAAATTAATACACATTTCTAATTGCTACTAAAAATTCCATTTCAAAATTTTTAAAATAAAATAAATGATTTTTTTTCATTTTAAAAAAATATATAAAAATTAAAAATTAAAAAAAATTAAAAAACCACCATCTGCCTACCCAACCCGACCGATCCCTTCACACGAGCCCCACCCACCTTTACCGCCGCTCCCACCCACCTTTACCGCCGCCCCCACCCAGTAGCTACCTACCTTCCCAATAGCGCCCCTCGTTGCAACAATGTGATCTCCTCTCCACCGATTCGATCCCCAACTATCAGATCACCTATTCTTTCTATCTCCTAATGCCGCATATCTCTTCCCAAATTAATAAAATAAAAATAAAAAATTAATTATTAATTTTATAAAAGTTTATGACATTTTAAAATGTGATTGTACGGAATGTGCAACATAAGCTAATAGAGGAAAAACACACTATGACCTCCAACGTAAGCTAACAGAGGAAAAATACACTATGACCATTTTGACATTTATGCACATAAATTTTTCTCTCCCGCACCCTTTTTCTCTTCCTATAGTAACTTCCCTAACTTGTACGTGCTCATGCGATGCATGGCGGCTAGTGTTAACATATAAAAGTTTCCCTGGTGACATTACATGCCATTTTAGTCATCACATCCTTTTATAAAATGATTTATTAATCGTATTAAGATGTATAATAAATACTTTTAAGGTTAAAAAGTTAATGTCAAAGTTGGCTGCTAGCTCAACTCAAACTCATGTTTGCAAAGAGATGGTAGGAGTGTACAACTATCAACTTGGCATGCATATACACAAAAGCATATGCTAATCTGTATGGAAAATTCTTGAAATACATACCAAGGATTTTATCCAAAATTTTGACTTCCATATTGTACTGCAACTCAAACGAGACTCTTCTTAATCGTACCCATAGAATTAATTAAATCGCATAATGACGATTATGTGCTGATAAAATTAATTAAATCGCATAATGACGATTAAGGAATATTATATATATAATTCATATATTTATGATGAGTGTTAAAGCATTCCCAACAAGTATATGGAATTGCCTTTCTTTATTTTTATTTTTATTCCTTTACTCGTTTTTTTCTCTTTTATGAGCTCTTCTTTCTCAAATGAGTGCATCTTTTGTGGACTTCACAAATGAGATTATTCCCTTCTCTCCCTCCCCCTTTATAAATTTTCAAGGCTTCAATTGACTTGCTATCTAGGCTAAAATCTAATTTCACCTAACGATGGGGGACAATAATAAAGTGACATTATTTTATGTATGGTTATTTATTATTATTATTATTATTATTAAATAGAGATGTTATTGACACTTCAAAATAAGCACCACATGTCCAACTACAAGAACAATCACCATGGACGACAAGACCGGTAAGACATGCTCAGCGCAAACCACCGAACTCATCTAGCTAAGGACCCGACCACCTCAGTCCCTTACGGTGTTGTTGTGAGCTTCAAAAAGGCCAAGGGTTTCTGAAAATTTTGACGCCTTTTTCGACAATCGTAGTAGCCATTTTCATTGATTCAGGCATGTATCTTCATCCCCTCCTCATGCTCTGGCTATTGGTGCAAGTGGTTGGTGTTGATTTAAACACCCACGACAACCGCGAGTTTTGGGGGAGTGTCCGGCCAAACTGACCATCTAGTGTCATCGAGACTAGAACAAAAGTTGTTCCTCTTGTCGTTCCAAACATTTTGGTATGGGCCTTCCCCGGTGATGTTGAGTTTTTCCTTCATCGGAAACTACCCTCGAAACACCATCATCGATGGTGGCACGGGAGCTGGTTGTTGGTGACCTATTTTAGACCTAGAATTAACACAACGTCATCCCGAGCATGACGGTATGCTTCGATTGGTAAGAGTTTATCTCTTGATCGACAATTGCAGGTTTTGCTATAATGTATTGTTTGATCTGGAATGATTAGACCGTTGCATGGATCCCATTATGAGATATGTTGCTCCTCAAATTTCCATGAGTGTGTAGGAACTTACGGATCTAGAATCAAAGTTCAAATCTTCAGAATTGACGATTCTAAGATTAGGTTAATCGATCGCTGCCCGATTGTGCAATCAATGACGATCTGACCTTTGGATCGTGACCAAACCTCTTGAATGTGTTTAGTTGACCAATCAGAACCTTTAGGAACTTTTAGATCGAAAATCATAGGTCATAACTAGATGATGGGCCCCACTGGCTTGGTTGACCGGATGTCATCCGAGGCCTCCTTAACCTTAGAGTACGTCTTACGACATCTTGTGGACAAATGGAAACCTATGAAAAAGACCTAGTATACTATAACTGAAGACATGTTAAGTATTTAGAGTTCTCATTCTAGTAATTGGTAGCGGATGGTCGAGCGAACTCTGTTTTCTAAATGAGGTTCTACCAATATGAGTTGTATATGAATGTTTGCATTTCATGACTATTGAGATTTCCTTGTTTTGAAGTGAAAATTCTTTGATATTTATGTGATAACATTTCATTGTTTCTATTGGTGATTTCTCTAAGTATGAGTTAATTTGAGAATGCTTTGAAAAGCTTACTAAGGTTCATCGTTATGAGACTGCATTCTCGATATATACAAAGAAAGCTTTTGAAGGATCTCTCAAATAAACTTAATTAAGGGACACCCTTGTAAGGCCCACTCTATATTATATTTCACTGATCCAAACATTCTGTTTTGTATATATTCATTCAAATATCATCTCTACTAAAATTTACTTGAATTCAATATTATTTGATCATTCAATTAAATTATTGAAAGTTAAGTACTTTATTGAAGCACTGTGTCTATTGATTTTGTTGGTCTCAATTAAATGCCTTAATAATTTTCAATTTGTCTGATTTTTTGTAAGGATGATCTATGAATGAAGACTTGAAAAATAAACTATTTGGATCGTTGAAAAAAATTCGTAAAATACCCTAAAGGGTATCCCTCAAATAAAATTATTTGATGAATCTCTCAATGAAATGGATTTATAACTTATGTGTTGAGTTGTGGGAAGGATTAGAAAAATGTGTTAAAAGGGTTTATAAAAGGATTTGCCATTGGAATTTTATGTACTTATGTTGAGTTTGGAGGGTACTTATGGGGAGATGGGGAGGAGTAGAGGGATGGATGCCACTGACTCCCACTGGGGCGACAACTAGAACTTTTCTCACCTTATGGTTTTCTCTCTTAGTTTTTTTTTATAGAGTAAATTTACTCATCACTCTGCACCTGAATTCAAAACTTCCTCATATTACATTAAAGTAGAATATCATTTGTATATAAAAAATAAAAAAAATCAAATGAAGTATTCAAAGTGGATTTAAACTGGTTGATTGGGGCGAATAATTTAGATCAAAAGTGGTTAAAGTTACTTTCATATTGTTGAATTGGACGGTGGGGTACGTCAGACAATGAGGTCATGAGCTTCATCAGATTGGGCACAAAAAGTCAAATACCTAATCCTTAAGAAGTACAACAAGACTCAAGTTCCATGGAGACCATGACCAAATTATTAAAGGAAATTTTTACTGTAGACTAATAGTATAATATTTCTCTCTCCTTTGTTTTTCCCCAACATGTCCCAATAGGTCAGTCCATTGAATAGAACCTTTACAAATTGTCCACGCACGTTCTCATTCATGAATGGGAGTTTATTTTTTTTCACGTACGTCCATATCCATTTAATTTCAAGACTTTTAATATTGGAATTCAAATGCTGTGGTCTTACTTCCAACCACGTGTTTGGGACTAATGAACTCCCCCAGTTCAACTTGCAAGATTGATTGGGGAGGCTCAACTACTTAAAGTACATAGGACCCCACCAATTATAAACAGAGTTTTATGGTTTTTTTTTTGGTTTTTTTTGTTCGAAGCAAGAATTAAGTAAAAGACCGAAGAAAAAACCTCGGGGAATATTTTTAACGAGACCACCATTAATATGTTCGTTCTTATCATGTAATGTTATATTTGGGTTGAATGCATTACCTTTTTCTCTAAAAAAAGAAATAAAAATTATAATAAGAAAGAAAGAGACAAAGAAGCGTACAGAGAATTTGACCTTGACATTGACTATGGAGAATGTTGTAATATTGTCACCCACTTGTGTCGGCCATATGAAAATGAACCTGAAAAATGACTTTTTTTTTCTTCTTCTTTAAAGTCCTCATTTAGTAAGAAGCTCCTTTTTCTAATATATTAGTAATTTAGTATTTTGCATGTTTTTTTTTCCTTTTACTGTACCTCGTGGGTTTTATCGTTCTAATCTCGTTAATTATTTTTTCTCTTTTTATTAATTATAAATTTTTATTAGATAAACTTCAACAGTACAACCGAATACATTAACATAATATCTAAAATACTCATTTCAAGAAGACAACAAACTAACATATTAATCAAAATTAAAACGGACAAAAACCACACTAAAATCAAATATATATATATATATATATCTCATAAGTTTCAAATGACAAGTTGCCTTTAGACGCCATGAATGAGGTCAGCTTTTCATTTGGAGATGCATGGATTTGCCAAGTCACAATCATGTGGTCCCAAATTTATCAATTTTTCCAAATAAAACTACAAAAACCACGTTTTATTTCCATAATTTCTTTTTGTTTTATTGTGGTATGATTGAAAATATTCTTTTCACTTTTCATGAAATACAAAGTCTGTCACGCATGTCCTTTTCTTCAATCTTTCTTTACTCACCAAGTGAAGCATTTTAATTACAAAACTTGATTTAAATGGCTCATGTATTATACTGCAGCCGAAATAGGAACAGTGCCTGTAGTGACCTACAAAATTGTTTAATTTGCCCCAAGAAAGACGAGAAAAAATAGAAAAATAAATTAAATATGAAATTGCCACGGTCTTCTAAGTAGGAGTTGACTGAAGACTTTTGGAGTGTGTCGCAAATAAACTGCACGCTCACTTTGAAGACGTGGAACACAAGTTTTCAAGTGTATTGGCAATGAATCACATGTACACGTTTGGGTTTGACTTTACCTACACTACTTGTTAGAGATGGAATTTAGACTCTTGTTGGTACAAACGCACATGGAGTAAAGGTATGAACAAATTAATTAGACGGCATGGTCACGTTTGGATTAAATTGAATAGTTACACGATATTTTATGGGGATTATTGGAATTGATAAATTTCATTCATTCATAATTACTCTAACCCTAGACACCAAACTCGGCTTATTAGTCATATAGCGTGGAGACTTAAACCCTTATGCCTTGTTTGGTTTACGAAATGAATTTGAGGGGAAATCATTTCCCATGTCATTTCCCAAGAGATTGGAAATGGAAGATTCATTTATCACATTTGGAAATGCTGGGAAAGTAGAAATAAGCCCATCTCTCTGTGTAGAAAAAAGCCCACTCTTGAAGCATATAGTTTATATGTAATCTAATAAAATTATATCGTATGATTTAGGGTTTAGGTAAAAACTTTTGGGCATTGTTATATATGTTTTATTTTTGTAACTTGAATTATTAATTAGCATATATGATTTTTGGTGCCTAATATTTCTTGTTAGGATATCATGTCACATGATGATAAAGAGATCGGCAAAGAAGTGATAACGATAACAAGGATACACATTCTACATCTAATGTTGATACTTCAACTCCTAAAGAACTTACTCAACTCGGATCTCAAGTAGTTGAACATTGTGTTTGATTTGATATTTATTTATATTTCTTATTTCTTTGTGTTATATATGCTCGTAATGTTGTCAAGTTTGATTTACAAAATTTTATTTACATTTGTTTTTCAAGAGAAAAAAGACTTATAATATATCTCCTGTAAAAATTAAAATTTAGCCTACCGCTATAAAAATTCATGGATCTATCATTGGCTCTATGGCTCCCTTTGGGTTGCTCGAAAGATGTGGAGCGATGGTACTGCTTTAATTTGTTTATGTCTAATACTTCTTAAGAACTCAATAGGAAAAATTATTTATTCATTCATAAAAAAAAGTGGTAACGATAACAAGAATACACATTCTGCATTTGATGTGTGGTTTGTCTTAAGAACTCTTTAGGAGTTTCTTGTGGTTTGTCTTATCATAATGTTGTTTTATTTCTATTTAACTTTGACTTTAGATATGGATTTGTCGTTTCTACCGTTGCGCGGCAAACCTGTATTGCAGGTGTTGGCTGCGCAAATCTCACGGCCTGGTGCTCCGGGCTGAGGGGATGTGCGTTAACACGTGACGTCCTTCTTTTGGATGCGGTGCTGTTGTGTGCGGGCGTGCCAGCACGGTCTACCGTGCGTCGAGATGGTGATGAGGTTTGGATAGAAGATGGTTAAATGATGCGCCTGTTTTGAGTTCGACTCCTAATCAAACGATTGTGGCCGAGAAAGGAACTGACCTCGGCCGTCAGGTTCACGGCCTGAGCTACAAAGCCGTTTAGTAGTGGTGTTGGTGGCGGGTTTTAGGCGGTGCTCCGGCACGTTGCTCAAAGAGTTACGGTCGTATGATATATGGGGTGAATGAGATGATAACAGAGATGGTGCTTCGACGTCTTGAAAATCAAGGGTCGTATGATATATTGATAAATGTATTTTCCTTACAATCTACCACTACTCCTAGGAAAGCAAATAAAGGTATTGAAAGTGCATTACAGGAAAATATAATTTGCTCCGTGGGAGGCTTTTGTTTGGTGTTTGAACCCCTTGAATGTAGTCTTGAGCTTAGTATTTATAGGGGAAGTCCTGGAGGGACAATCGAGGCTGAAAAGATCTACATGGTGGAGCCTGATCGGGGCAAGTGGATAGTCAAATCGGCATTTGGGATCGTGAAGCATGGTGGTGTGACCCCTATAAATCCCGGTAAATCTCGGCCACCGCTCTGATCGTGGGTTCTACCCCCTTGGCCGTGGGAAAGCATTTAATGCCCTGGTCTGGTGGTTGGTGATCTGACCTCAAGTTGTAAGAACACTTGTGTGAATGTTTGTGCCTAACCACTCTGATTTCCATCACCAAATCCTAACTTCAGTCACTTCCCTTCTTCCCTCGTGTATTAAATGCTTCTTGCGACTAGTGGGTTTGCTGCGATAGTCAGAGGCATTACTTCATTAAATGGGGCGTGGGACCTTGAGGCCACGTAGTGATTTAACCACAGTATCTTCGGCTGTGTCTTTTACGGCCTTCGGCTTCGGCATACAATACCGCAGTCACGAAGCCGAGAGGATTCTACCTTTGCAGCTTTTCTTTTGTTTTCAGGAAGGCGAAATGCCTAACGAAACGTGGTCGTTTCAGTTCATGAGTAGGTGCTAGGGCCGAGAGGAAGTCCCTTCAGTCAGTTTATGACCGTGATTTATTAAGCACAAACAGCAGGTTTGAGTACATGTGCTTCTAGTTGATTAATCAAGGATTTTAGTCATCTTTGGGTTGTGTATGAGTCTCTCCAGATCAATTCAATGTATTGTTGCATTTTGGTCACTAAAGGAGATTTACCCATTTTGGGCACATCATTACATTGTACTTTTGTTTGATTATCAACAAAAAACTATCGCTTATTCTAAAAAAAATGTAATAGGAAATAGATATGTTTGGAACAAATGCCCTTTCATTTTTGGACGAAATACATCTCAATTTATTGACTAAATTTTGAGAATAATTGTATACTGTTTCCAAAAAAAATTTATCTTAGAAGAATTTTAGAATTGTTGCAAGTATCAAATATTACTAAATCCAAGTGGTTAAAATGAATGAACGGCTTGAATGCAATTAAAAATTGAGATATTTAGTAATATACCCATTCTTAGCACTAAAACTATAAATAAACCCTACATCATTTCATTTTTATAAACATACCCAAATAATGACAAATGGTACTATTAAATTTAATTTTAATTATTAAATTACTTTGATACCCTATTGAGTGTTTTGGGCTTTTTTATGAAATTTTGGGTTGGGTTTGTTTTAAGAAATCAATGGCAATTTTGTAATTTAAAAGAAGTTGAAAGCCTTTTTGTTATGTTATAAATGAGTTTTGGGTGTGTTTATAAATTCCATTTCATATAGGGTTTTTTTATAATTTGGGCTCCTATATTGGGTATATTAGTGAATTTCCCTTAAAAATTTGTATATTTGTACTCAAGCATACAAAAAGAGGAATTTCAAGGAAGACTTCAACCCCAAACCTACGCGGACTGATTAACTGGAATTTAGCAATTATGCAAAATAGTTCAATGAGGAAAGTGAGACAATTAATTGCAAAGAAGGTGGGGTGGGCGAAACTGGGTCAAATTAGTAAACCATGTCAAGACGGGTCACTTTTTTCGACTACGAATCCAGCCCCTCGCGCCCTCCGGATTCATGCAATTAAAACAATACCAACCGGGTCAACCGGGCCGGGTGGGGGCTTGAAAGACTTTGCCTTAATGACTTTGGTTGGGTCAAGTTTAAAACATGTAATACACTTTTTTTAGTTTGATTTATAGGGAAGGGAGACAGAAGACGAAAAGTCAAAATTTTGCTGTGAATACAATGTTTGTATACATGTTATAATATAGGTGTACGACATAGTTGATATTTCCCTCTTTTAGAGATTAATATCAATAAATATCAACTTGTATTATAAAACACGAATAAATTACACCCCGTTTATCTTCTTCTTTTTTTAAGACCTTTCAAACTCAAACCCATGAATTTTCTTAGACGAACAGTTACTTCAAACCACTACACTAGTAGGTCTTTTGCATGATATTTATTTTTAACACAGGTTAGCCTTTCGAAATTTAAAAACAAAACGTTGGCAATCCAACCACGCAATTGTATGCACATAGGAGAAATATTGCTTCTAAACCTCGAATCCAGTGTATTTAGTAGGTTGATCAAGTGCAAAGTTTGATTAAAATGTAGGTTGAATTGCAAGTGGATCTTGTTTGTGTCGTTATATATGTATATGCGTAGACTAAATATGCTTGGTACCAGAAAACACAAAAAAAGTTAAACATAGAAAACACGGAATTCAAGAAGAAGAAAACTTGGGTATGGCGATGGGCCATGGTGACCAGATCAGTATAAGCACAGGAAACGTGGCACGTGACGGTCAATATATCCATTGAACCTGTAAACGTTAGTCTTCCATGTTCTCATTCAACTGGTTTTTTTTTTTTTTTTTTTTTTTTTTTTTTTTTTTTTTTTTTCTTTTCTTTGATATCTGGTGATTATTATTATATATACGACCAAATTTACAAATACTAATCTAGGAGAGAGAAGAAGAACATATACGAACCAAATTAATGATTTGGTCTTCCTTCTTTGCACGTGTGTGAGACTGAGAATTCGGGAATTCTTCTCGCTTGGTTAGCTAGACTAGATAATTTTCCAAATTTTCCTGAAAACGACAATTAAATATTAATTTGTTTGGTTATTATGGTGGTAATTGCTTAATTCCAAAAAAACATAAATATGAGATTGGACTGGGAAATGACTGGAGACTATTCTCGTCAACATGTGAAAACTATAAAATGATTGATATACATGGCTCTCTCTATCTCTGTCTATATATATTGCCTGGAAGATAATCAAGGCTTTTGACTTTCTCATTTTTCTTTTACTAGACCCGATTTTATTTAGAGTCGGCTCAAGTTATTGGAAAAGTTTTTACTCATGTATGCCATATTGATAATGAGACGGCTCCTTTAAAGCCGTCTTTTGTTTTGTTTTATTTTTTTATGTTGATCTAATAAAATTCTATCGTATGTTTATAAATAAAAAACACTATATGATAAAATTCTTACGTCTTTTTAGCCCAATGATGATGGACTAATTATTTTCAGTCACAATAAGAAATGAAAAAAAATAGTGGATTTCAAACAAACCCAGCAGCCCACTGAAGAAAAATGTGGACTTTTGTTGAAACCTAAAGCGTTGTCGTGCCTTCTCTCATTTTAAAAGTTCGAAAAGCCCATGAAAGAGCTTATATCTGTTTTAGAACTCATCATTTTAATCTGAGGTTGGTTGGATTTTGCTTGGTTCTATCAAGCCATCCCCCAAACTTTATTCTGTTTAAGTACAAGTTGTCCACTATGAAGTATGAATCATATCATTTACACCAAACCGTCCTTGGTCGTATTCTTTGATCACGTGAGGAAAGAGATAGAGAATATTATACACGACGCTAAGAGATTACTTAAACTTAGTTGTTACCTTTTAGACAGGGAACCTTACACAAATTCTCCCAAATGAGACAATATTGACTACTTCAAAAGTGGAGGCACTTTAAGAAGTACCTTTCTCTAATTTTCTTAACCCTTTGAGCCCGCTATTATTGCATCCATAAATTTTTGGCCCACATATAGTTCTAACTCCTAACTTGCTTTACACTTCGGTTGCCATGCTTGATTTTTGAGGCAATAGGAACGTAGAAGTAATGATCACATTGGCCAATCAAACAACTTAAATTTACCTACTAATAAAAAAGTACTTCAACTAATAGTCTTGGTTCATCGCATCTTTATGTTTTAATGAAATGGTAAATTTCAGTATCTGACTCTTTCCAAAGAGATTGTTCTGTTTTGATAGCTACCTTTTAAAACTCTAATTCTTCTCATAAAAAAACATAATTAACTTTTAATAAATAGTCTCCAATATTTTTCAAGAGACAGAAAAAAACACAACAAATGCTACGAGCCTTTTTGGACATTTTATGATAACAAAAAAAATAACTAACTAAAAAAAAAAAAAAAAAAAAAAAAAAAAAAAAAAAAAGCTTATTTCATAAATAAGGTATGCTCTTTCCTTAAAACAAAATACCATTCGTTTTAAATCCTTCGAAAAAGCTTCCTTATCATAAGCATATATCTCAAGGATAACTTGGATAGTTTGCACCCAACTTTCTAGATAATTTTTTTTAATTAATTATGATAAGAAGACTTGCGTTGAAGATTATATTTGTAGCAATATTGTCCATGCAAGCCAATAGAGAAGTCAAGTAGGAGTGGGCACGCAAACCGGTGAGCTGGAAATCCAAGCCGAACCGCACCAAACCAAACTGGAAAAAAATCGAGTTGACCAAAAAGTCAACAACTTTTCAAAAACCGAACCAGACCGGTTTGGACCGATTTTGGATCTGGTTTCATGTCTTCAAAAATCAGACCGAGCCGAACTGAACCGGTCAAATTAAAAATATATATAATTTCAATATATATTTATATTTAATGCTATATTTTTAATTTAACAAAAAAAAATAATATTTATCCAAGTTCAATTTCAAAATATCTCTCTTTTCTAACTTTAATATTTATTTTTATATGAAATTGAATAATTTGTTAATTTTCAAGGAAAAATAATAATACTTCAGTTGAGAATTGTATTAAAAAATAATTTTTATAATCCGGTTCAAAACCGAACCGGACAGCAACCTGACCGAAATCGGTTCAACTCGAACTGGACAGTTTTTGAATTTTTTTTATTAAAATTGAACCAAACTGAACTGGATGAATAATATCGAATCGGTTCTAATTTGAGGCAAAAATCGATCCAACCCGAACCGTGTCCACCCCTAAAGTCAACCATCGAACCGTCATCTCCAAGCTTTGAAATGTTTAACATGACATGCTTTTATCAATGCGCAGTGGAATGTTATGACAATTTCCATCGGCCATCAATTGATTTCTCGGTTTGTCTTGGTGGTCTGTAAAATGTAATGCATTTATTTTGACAAGCCAGCTCGATGCACTACCCCTGCCATTGTTAGTAGTTGTTCTTTGGGTTGTATAGAGTCCAGCAGGGACAATCTTGAATATAATCTGGCAAAGATTTCCTCGCACCAATTTCTTCTTCCCTTGGGTGTGTTGTTGATTTTTCGCTTTGGGAAAGTAAAGTTTTGTCCAACGATATATGATGTTCTGAGTCTCTTCATACATTGTCAATTAATACTTTAGGTTGGATGTTCTAATTCTATGGTACTATTCAAAATTGTAATAAACAAACAAAATAAATCATGAAATCAAATGATCAGCTTACCTTGATTTTACCTTGGTTCCAGGTGCCATCGCTAGATTGAGATCTGCAGGGTGGCGAGGACTTCCATTGCCTTGTATTAGGTGCAGAGAAGGGGGTGGTAGGCTTAGTAGGATTCGAACCTACAATGTAACCGTTATGAGTGGTACGTTTCACTGTGGTGTGTGAAAAGTGTATATTAGTGTCGAACTGTAATTTGCAAATAAAACGTGCATTTTCTTAACAATACTTTAATATAAAGTAGGACCGTATGCTAACTTTCTATGCAGTTTTCAATAAATAAATAAATAGAAAGAACTTTATATGTGCACACAGGTGTTAGTTTAATAATATTCATTATTCTCGTATGAATCACAACCATCAGAAAAATCAGCATCATATTGAGAACGTGATATGCTTCACCAAGTATCATTTTCGTGACCAATAAAGGCATATATGTTGTGAAACAGTTTTTTTAAAGCATCCACACCAGCTTTTAACTCTATGGTTGTCACCATTGAAACAAATATCAAGATCAAAATATAAAATATTTGGTATTTTAGAAAAACAATTGCAATTTAAATTGAGATTGTGGAGGAAACTTAATGCCAACTGAAGGAGATTTGCTCACTTACTTGCTCACTTCTTCCGATGTTCAAACTAGATGTAAAAATTTCATTTTAATATAAAAGTTTATAGATGAAGGATTATCTTGTTTTATTTTCAATAAATCTTGACGGCACAAGAAGAATTTATTAATAGATAACGAGATACACCTCTAGCTTCTATTCAAACTCTAAAAATTAAATAATGTGCTTCATGTTTCTAAAATGGTAGCTGATCCTATTTCAGTTCATGAATTTTGATGGATCTGGTTTGTGTGCAGGAAAAGACAAGGCTAGTGTTGTTTGAAGGATGTAGCAACCAACAACAATATTGGAGGAACATGTTAGTTCAGAGTCCAGTGTGGATCTACCTCCTACTGCAATATACACGTATTTATAATTCACATATAATACTACTGACTATATGTGTCTGCAGTACTTGTGTGGTCTTATTACAATGTGTTTTTCTGTGCCCATTTTTGGCATTTTCAACTATTAAATATTTTCCTATTTTCAGACCAAATTCTCCACCATAAACCCTAAACGATAGTCCACAGTCCACATCCACCACCCAATTATCTCCGACCATGTTGCACAATTTTTCCGGGAAGGACCATGGCCATCTTTAGTCCTTCTAAGTTCTCAATTATCTCCAACAATAACCCTTTTTTTTTCAGGTAAAATTGTACATTTCTAAAATGGGTCTTGACCATTTTCAGCATAAACAAAATGTTCCCCAAATTCAAATTCTAGATTTTTTTTTTCTTTCCATCCCACACCGTTTTCCAGGAAAATCATAAATTCCATTTTTCCTGACCTGGGTCTTCGCCATCTCTACCATGCCCGAATGTTTCTTGGCCTAGACTGAGTCCTCTCAAATTTGTTTAATTTCTCATGTTCCCAAAAGAAATTCTTGAAAATATGCAGGAACAAGAGTTAGGGCAACAGCAGTGTCCCAAGTCACCAAGAAACATTCTATTTGACAAGTATGAGATGGGAAGGCTTCTAGGACTAGGCACCTTTGCTAAAGTCTACCATGGAAGAAACCTCATCACAAATGAAAGTGTAGCCATCAAAGTGATCAACAAAGACCACATAAAAAACGAAGGCCTCATGGAGCAAATACAGCGCGAAATTTGTATCATGCACTTAGTTCGCCACCCCCACATTGTTGAATTAAAAGAGGTTATGGCCACGAAAACCAAGATCTTCTTCGTTATGGAGCACGTAACGGGCGGTGAATTGTTCAACAATGTATTCGAAGGGAAACTCAAGGAAGACGTGGCTAAAAAGTACTTTCAACAACTTGTAAGCGCTATTGAATTTTGTCACAGTCGCGGTGTCTCACACCGCGACCTAAAGCCAGAAAACCTTCTTCTAGATGAAAATGGAGATCTGAAGGTCTCCGATTTCGGATTGTCAGCATTACCAGAGCATCATTGGAGCGACGGTATGCTTCACACGCAGTGTGGCACGCCGGCTTACGTGGCGCCTGAGATTTTGAGGAAAAAAGGGTATGATGGAGCAAAGGCAGACATATGGTCTTGTGGGGTTGTTCTCTTTGTTTTTCTTGCCGGCTACTTGCCATTTCTAGATGAGAATGTGATGAGAACTTATACGAAGGTTTTCAAAGCTGAGTATGAATTTCCACCTTGGATTTCAGGGGAGGCAAGGTTGTTGATAAAAAAGGTTTTGGTTGTTGACCCGGAAAAGAGAATTTCGTTTAAGGAGATAATGAGGGATCCTTGGTTTCAAAAGGGTTCAAATTTTCCTAGGCCAATTGGGGTTCCCAATTCCATTGAAAACGATCAAAACAAAAAGGATGATAGAATTGGAAATTTGGGTAGGTCAAGAATTGGTAGCATTACTACTAGTACTACAAAATATTCATCATCATCTCCACCATTTTTCAATGCTTTCGAATTCATATCGTCCATGTCATCCGGGTTTGACTTGTCGAACATGTTCGAGGACAAGAGGAAATCTGGGTCGATGTTCACGTCCAAGTGCTCTGCCTCCGAGATCATGGCGAAGCTGCGGGTGGTGGCGGAGAGGTTGAATTTTAGAGTGGTGTGTGAGAAGGAATTCAAGGTGAAATTGCAAGGGAAAAAGGATGGGAGGAAGGGGAAGTTGGCAGTGTCGGCGGAGTTCTTTCAGGTGGCGACGGAAGTGGAGGTGGTGAAGTTCTCAAAATTGGCCGGTGACACTCTTGAGTACACCAAGTTTTGTGAGGAGGACGTGAGGCCTGCACTTAAGGACATTGTTTGGACTTGGCAAGGTGAAGAAAATGAGTGTGAACTAAAAAAGGTTGAAAATCTTAACTGTCATTAACTGTATGGGTAAGTCCCTTCAAGATGGAGGTAAATATTTACTATCTAGGAAAACCCTTTTAGATCCCAATCCTAAGTCACTTTAAACAACTTTTATTCTATAATAGTCCTGGTCCTATACACTGTCTCTTTGTTGTCTCTGTAGTTTCCTCTTTATGCCTCTTAATGCAAGAAGGGGCTATTTTAGAATTGTGAAAAAAGGTTATTTTAGACAATTTTACTTTTGTTTTTATAGCTTAACTGTCATCAACTATATGGGTAAGTTCTACTGCAAGAATTTTGGAACTTTCTATAATGCATGTCATAAGTAATTAAATTCTAATGCACAAGACATTCGAAATAATTGATTACTTTTTATTTATTTATTTTATAATCAGTGACTATAATAGTTTAAGTTCCAAATTTAAGTTGTCTTGAGTTTAATTTCAGCCTAAACTTAAAGTTTATATACAATTGCCTTTTTTTTTGGTGGGCCTTGAGTCCTAGATCATGTTTAAGTACTCATTTTTAATTTTTGTTTTCTCAAAGTTATCAAAAGAACAGAAAGATATTAGCATCCTCATATATTATTAGGGCCAATAATTTCTCCATATAGTGATTATTGGACACTGTATTTAGTAGAATTAAAATCGGAGAGGTCGAATATCTGCTTACAACTTACATGCTTGATCAAAGCTCCCAACTCAGAGTTAGAACTCACATCAACAATTTTTAGGTGGAAAACTAATGAAACGGGTTTTTTTTTAAAGCAATGTGAGACCTCATGGGTGTTAGTGTGTAATTTCAAAAATATCAAGGGATTTTGTGACAACACCAAAAATCTTAAGAGGTGTTAGTGTAAATAATAATAATAATAATTATTATTATTATTTTGATAAGGAAAATGAATTACAACCGGAAACCACGCGGGCACGCAGGCCCTACCAAGTCAAAATAAAAAGGAACAGTACAGCTTAACGGTAAACCCCTATCCCACAACCGGGAGAGAGTAAGACTATGGCCTAAGCTAGCAACAGCATCAGCAGTAAAATTAGCCTCCCGAAAAATGTGCTTAAAAGAAATCTCTTCGCAATAAGAATTGAGCAACCGAATGTCATGCATAAGGATACTTATGCTCCAGGGAACCGAAACCAGATTATTAACACAATCAATGATAAGCTTTGAGTCACCTTCCACAAGCATCTTTCGCCAACCCTTATGAATAGCATGCGCTAGACCATCCCGAAGAGCCAAACACTCTGCGACTATAATAGAAACTTGACCAGAGTTTTTAGCCCCAGCTAAACGAACATTACCATTCCAGTCACGAATCACAAAACCAGTAGCAGCCAGATTCCCACGCACCGAACCATCAAAATTCACTTTAACCCAGTCCAGCGGCGGTGGCTCCCACTTGATGTTAACCTTTCCAGTAGATTTTTTAGGAGGGCAAGAGTTAATTTTCCAATAATCTAGCCCAATGCGACCAGCCACATTTAGCACTTTAACTGGGTGTGGATCGATGTCTTTAAAAATGCAGTTGTTCCTGGCTTCCCAGATCTGCCAGCATAGAAGAAGAGCTTTGGAAAGAGCATTTGGGCCATCGGCAGCCTTGGTATAAGGTAGCGAAGCCAGCCACTCAATGCCATCAAAATTTTGCTGAATATAATTAGGGAAAAAATACGTGCACCTCCAGATATTAACAGCAAACTGACACTCAAAAAATAAGTGGTTAATAGTCTCCATATGATTCTTACACAGAGGGCATTCTGGATTGATATTAGGTAAAAATTTGTAAAGATGGCTTCTAACTTGCAGTCTTTTCCGAATGAGAAGCTACGAGAATAGCTTAACTTTAGGGGGGAGAGTTATACTCCATATTTTCTTCAAAAGGGGGGCTTTTGGGTGACTTTGTTCATCCTGCAATTGTAAATTGTAAGCAGATTTTATAGAGAAATTCCCATTAGGGGTAGGCCCCCAGATCAATTTATCAGGAAGAGGAGATAAGGGCAAAGGAATTGTTAGAATTTTCTCTATAATATCATCATCAATTACTTGAGAAAGCTTGTCATAATTCCAAGTCTGATTCTGAATAAAGTCAGACACTTTAGCATTTAAATTAAGATTATTTCTAAGGAAGACATGAATTAGATCTAACAAAGGAAAAGGAAAAACCCAATTAGCAGTCCAGAAAGGAATGGATTGCCCATTACCAACAATCCACCTTATACCTTTGTTAAGCACAGAACGTGCCTCAAGGATGGCTTTCCAAGTCGAGGAATGTGAAGTTTTTTTAGCAGTCACAAGAAAACCCTCCTTCTTCAAGTACTTCTTCACCATAATTTGAGCCCACCAATTGGAGGAATCAGTTAAGCAGATCCAACCTAGTTTTGCTAAAGCCGCTTTGTTGAAAAGAGCAGCAGACCTGACCCCAAGGCCTCCCATACTTTGAGGCAAGCAAATGTCTTTCCAGGCCACAGGGGAAACTTTAATGTTGTTGCCCCAGAAGAAACGTCTACAGCTCGAATTCATTTCCTTACAGACTGCTTTAGGGCACTTGAAACACGACAAAGTGTGGTTGGGGACACCCGTAACACTAGCCTTGATTAAAGTGAGCCGGCCCGCCCTAGATAAAGTTTGGGCCTTCTAGCCGGCAAATTTGGATCGAATTCTATCCACCATCATCTTAGCATTAGCAGGATCTTTCCAAAAAATGATATTGTGTATTCCAAGGTAGCGACCAAGCGTGGTTTTATGCTGAATTTGCAAGAGGTTGCTTAGAGCATTTCGAGCTTGAGAATGAACATTACCAGAAAAATAAACAGTGGACTTATGTAGATTTCTTAGATCTAAGTTCTAGACGTTTAGCTGTCATTGGGTTTAGTCCTCGCGTTTTTGGTTTTAGATGTAGGTCTTTTGACATTTATTACTTTTTTTGTTGTGTCAATTTTACCTTTTGAGGTAAATAAGGAAAACACATTGAAAATCTAAATTTAATGCATTATTTCCTTGTAATTGAATTCCATAATTTAAATTTTAAATTCTTTCTTTGATAATATTCCTATGAGACAAGCACCCACATTAAATTATGTACATGACATACAGGTAAATAGTATTATTATTAGTGAAAAATACTTAGTGATAAATCGTGTTACCTATAAGTTAGGAACATAAATTAGAAGACTACCTATAAGTCAGATACAAAAAATAGACAAAATAAAATTGTATGTAAAAAAGGTACATAAAATACTATTACACATTGTCGAAAATATGAAAAAACATATATATATATATATATATATATATACCTATGCAATAGGCAATATAACATAAATGACTATTATCCAATTCAAATCACAAGGGGGTAACATTGGAACAAAAAATGATTTTAAAAAAAATAAAAAATTACATCATAAAATATTAAAAAAGGAATGTAATTCTATGTGGCACGAAAGTCAAAGGACTTGGATCAAAGTCACCAAATCCGAGGATTAAACCTAACTCCTCAATAGGAATTTGGATCAATATCAACTTTTCTATATTAATTAATTCTACATTGTGAAAAGTTGTATTAGAGCATCTACAATCATGCTACTATTTTTATATATTTAAATATAGTTTTTTTATTTTTTATTTTATCAAACGGTAGAGAGATTGCATTCATAAAGTACACCATAAGGGCAATACAAATATAATAGCAACTACAACTATCCACACAAAGTGATAAAAATCACCACCCACAAAGGAGTTACAACCAATATAGAGGGTTTCTTGACAACATCAAACTCATGTAGTATACCTCTACTCAAAGCCACATAGGGCCAAGGACAGTTCGGCATAAACGCCTGTCTGGAAAAACCAAGTGTAGTACCCCACAATGCAAACTACAAACAAAAACTATACTACATAAAGGTCACAAACAAGTATCAAACTCAAAAGCGTTGATGCGCTTATTCAACACCATAGTTCACACCCAAAAAAAGGTAACCCAAGCCCACAACTAAGACTTGGAAGAAGGCATACCTAAAAAGAAAAAAGAAAAAAAAATTAAAGGCTTGCCACCACTACCGTAGTCGCTCCTGCCGAAGTGTGGGGACATGGTATACGACCGAAAATGCTACAATCTAAAAACTTATGACAACAAACCAAAAACCCCTAGAAATTCAAAGAGAGAAAGAGAGAAAGGTTAAAAGGGAAGAGGGAAGAGGAGAAACGAAAAGGGTGAAGGAGGAAAGCGGGTAAGAGAGGAGGCGGAGAAGGGAGGAAGGGCATAAACGACATCCTCTGCTTGTTGCAGTGCTGAAGGGAGGCTAGGTTTTGGTTTCAGGTTTGAAAGTGTTTCAAAAAAACCTAGTTATCTCTATTAGTTAAAATTTAGCTAAAAACACTATAAAGTCTTTTTTAGTACAAGTGATAGCCTAAACTATAGAAGGATGTGTTTTCCCACACACACACAACCAAGAGGCCATGGGGGTTCGAACTTGAGATCTCTAGTTTACAAGTTAAGACCCTTTTCCACAGTGTTAGACCCTGTTGGCAAAAAAAAATAATAATAATAATATATATATATATATATAAAGTTATTTTAAGAGCTCTTTATAAAATTTCAACTCCAACTCTACTCCCTAATTTAAAGAGTCATAAATACTTTAATCATTTTTTAACTCATCCCTCTCTATATAAAAATAAAAATAAAGGTTAGCATTTAATAATTCTCTAAAGCATCATTTTTTTTACATGAAGGCAATAGTTTTTTATTGATGAAGATGAATGAAACAAGTACAAAAATCGAGTTGTATCCTAGAGGATTAGGCGAGTGTCTCCACACCAAATAGGTGTTGTGTTAACTCGCAATTGTACGGGACAATTAGTAGTATAGCAAGATAAGTACAAGGTCATACTCACGAGGACTGAGAAGTTCAGATTAATTATGTTCTTAGATTACCCAATTCTAGAAACAAGAAGTTAAGTCTAAAACTGATTTTAAAGTGGTATTGCGTTTCAAAACAAATGAAACAAAATGAAATTGCTTGTGATTATGAAAACAAATGAACAAAATGAAATTGCAAACAAAAACAAGTAAACAAGTGTAACAAAGAGTGGTCTTACGGCTTGGAAAACAGATTTTGAGACTAGGGCATTCGATTCACCTTAACAATCCAATTCTAGGTCATAAGGATTCAAGTGACTAGCCTAATTCAGATTCAAAGATTGATTCTAGCTAAAGTATGATTAAGCCATGGTGTCTGGTCCTAAACTTATATTCTTAATTCCCTAATTAAGTCCTTGTTGTCGAACTTAAATTAAGCATTAGAAATCCATTAAGCATAGAAGAATGTTTTAAACAACAATCATATATCTAATCCATGTTGTCGAATGTCCATACATACTCTTCCTATTCATAGTTCAATTCGAATTAAGGCATATGGTGTCTACTCTTAATTTCAACCAAGATACACAAATCTGAATGGTAGCTAGGCATTCCATTTAGCATATAGGCAAGTAGGCATAGTGAATAAGAACATGAATCATGAATCAAACTTAAAACTTGAAATTTATAAACCCAGAATTTCATGTTAGGTTACATCGAAGCCCTAGTTATGAATTTAGCTACTCAAAATGGGAAAGAAACTTAAACATAAATGAGAAAACATAATGAATGCAATAAGAGTAGAAAAACCATTTTCTGAAGTTCTTGTGGTGTCCAATGCTTCTTTAAGAGCTTCTCCACGTCTAATGCTTCTCCAAGAGCTTCCCCAAATCTAGAAGGAAGTATGAAGGTTAATGAGGTGATTTTGGATGAGTTTGGGTGAGTGGTGATGGCTGAGATAGAGGAAATTCATAGGGAAATGGAAGAGAGGCTTGCTGGGATAGTTTTGGTGATTTGGGGTTGTTTAGAGCTTTGGATTGATTGTTGGAGTGTTTGGGGTTGTGAGAGTGTTTGAGGGTGATTTCTGAAGGATGGATGAATTGTGGGAGTGTGAATCCCAAGATGTGGTTCATTTTGGTGGGAATGGAAGTGGTAATTATAGGGAGAAGGAAGTGATAAATCTGAACTGAGTACGACTTTCTCCTACAACACCCACTTCACCAACCTTACCTAACACACCAATGCAGTTGAAAATCAGTTTATTTTCTTATTTGGCTACTACACTTCACCAACAAATCCCACTATAAGCCATAGCTCATTCATAACTCATCATGACCAAGCAACAATTAGATCATCCTTAGGTCAAGATGACAAGCAACTTCATAGGCTCACGAATTGGGCTTCCCTTAAGCAACTGATGACTTTGAGCTGTCCATCTTGAAGTTCAAAATATCATCTTTCCAACCACATGTCATTTGGGTCAATCTAAGGTCAGAGGAAGGATTTAAGGTCGAAACAAATTTCTAGCTCAATTTGCACATTTTTGCACATTTTCCTGTCCAAAGCCACCATTGCTACCTAAATCTCAATTAACTGAATGATGAAGACAAAAGAGATTAAAAGCACAAGTTTAATTAAAAAAACATAACCAAATCATAAGTTAGAAGGGTCCAAAATGATATATAATTATGCACTGATCAATAGGCGTATGGTCGTCGGACTATCAAAATAGCTTACCCTCTCAATTGCAAGCGGGAGAAGGAACCTTGCCTCTTTTAGAGCACTCCCTCCCCCCCCCCCCCCCCCCCCCCCCCAATCCCCCCAAAAATCCCCATAAAATCATCGTAAAATACTATAAAATATACAATCCTCGAAAAGAACATCAGAGATTCAATCAGACGGTTCCTCAAACTAGAAAACCAAGGTACTCAAATGTAAAGCAAAATCATGATTGACTTCCCAAGTTCGGAGACGATCTGCAGAGAATCACTCTCAAAACAAATATTATTAAACCCCTTTGTACCGCAAAAACAAGTCTTTCCCTGGCTACTAGTGCCTCCACTTGTAAATCTAAGTAAACATTTTCAAATTGGACCACAAGGCCTACCACAAAAGCCCCATGAGAGTCACACACCACTATTCAGGCTCCCCCTACCTTTTCGTCTACTAGCCATGCTCCGTCGACATTCAGCTTAAATAGATTTGTAGTCGGTGGGCAACACTTTTTGATTTGGTGTGGGTGGTGATCTTGTCTTGGTTTAAAAGTAACTTACAAAAATTCCACCAAGCGTGATCTTGTATACTTAGTTGTCACACTTGGGTGGGTGTTTTTACATTTCCAGCTGAGAGTGTCATATGGACCAGCCACGCATCTTGATCTTTGCCAATTTCGATAGTTAAGGGCCTCTACAGTGGACAAAACCTAGTCCTGTGGAAACTAGGAGTGGTATGCTATAGAAGGCATCGGACTTTGCACGAGGTTTTGGCACAAGTGGTGTAGGGACAATCACATAGAATGTGAAGGATGGACTCGTGGGCACCTCCAAAAAAGAAGCACTGCCGATCAATAAGAATGTGTTTCCGCCACAAATTAGCATGAGGGGAAAGGATATTAAGTCAAACTCACCATCTAAAGAGCCGCACCTTCGCAGGGACTTGGGCTTTTCAAATGGCGGGCCATAACATCTGTTTGTACCTAATTTTGGTAAACGGACCAAAAATGGTCTCACGTTTTAAGAGAATATGTTAAAGATAAAGTTGGGCCCATTAGCATTTGTTTTTTCTTAGAGGGTCATCATTTTCCCAACTGGGCCTCTTTGAGTGAATCAATAAGAAGGCCCAAATCATAAGAGTCAGGCCTTTATCTCCCACTACAAGTTAAAAAATCGATAATCGTGTTTTCTAAGCCCACTTGGGAGGTTGAAGGGGATTATCACATTTAATGACGACTTGACCTCCTTATCTCCCAGCAAGAAAACAAGTCGTACTGAAGCCTCCAAAACCAGAAAAGATCAAAATTGACAGCTAGGTTTTCAAGTACAAAGAAGTCAAATCAAGAGAGCTTCACAAAGAAAACCGACGATTCCTGCCAAAAGTCCTCCATCATCCCCTCTATGAACTGGTTAAGATCAGCAAACTAGCAGCTGACCTTGAACCACAATCCAAAGGTCTTATTGCAGTTTCCATCATTACGGGTTCCCTCCACCTCTATAAATAAAGTATACTTCAGAAGATGGGGACTGTCTCTCCAAAACCAGACGCAACGTCTCAAAAAATGCATGAAAAACTCTCAAGACAACAATCTGCCTACTTTTTCTTTAGATAACCAGTTGACAACTCCTGTGTTTATCTCTTGTAGCTCTGCCATATCCATGGTATGATTTTCTTTTAAGAAGTATTTTGTTTCAGTTCATGTAATCGTTTGACTGGATTGAGAAATCTCCGATATCTTTTTCTTTACATTGTAATATGAATTCAAGGATAATTGGTGAATTAATTGAAGAATATTCTGTTATTTAATTTGAACTAAGAATAAATATAAGTTACAGAAGGATATGTACATGTAAAATTCACTTAATTATCTAAAAACGGATCACGGATTATTCTAATACATAAAAGTGGATTCCCGCCCTTGCCCCTAGTTTTGAAAGCCCAGAAAATCTAGCATTCGGGCCTGAAATGGAACAGGGGCCCGAAAGAAACAGTAAAAGAAAAAGGGATATGAAGTTGAGTTGGGCCCGAAATTGCACCACAGGGCCCGAATTAACTGTTAATTTAGCATGAGAATGAGAAAATATTGAAGCAGGTTAATAAAACCCAGGCAGGGTATTGCTAACCACGAACTCGGTCTTTTTCTCTTACCTGTACATGTACTGCTCATACTTGTCAGGTCGACGTTCACGAAGGAAAGAATATCGAAGTCCTCTTAATTGAGGCATAGAAAAGAATCAATCTAGGCCAGTACCCCCCTGGAGCACAATGGCTTGGTAAGAAGTCTAGAAAAAAGGTGCGAATTCCCTCAGCATTAGTCATTCACAAACATCCATACTAGATCGATTGGGTTGGTTATATACTCAATAGTGGTACGCCTACGCAACAACAAGGATCAGTACTGAGAAAAAGTTGACAGATAGGGCCTTGACCGGGCTTGTCCGCTTTTGGCAAATTGATTCAACTTTCAATTTTGTTCTGAAATTGAAGGAGTCCTCTTTGTGAGCCAAGAGACACCATCCGATTGGGGCATTGTTGTTGATCCAACAATCCTCTTCGCTCCTCAGAGCAGAGCCAGCCCCACGGACGACGAAAAGGAACGAAGGACGGAAAAAAGGACCAACAACATCTTCATAAAGTGGGTGGTAGAGGTGGATTTGACATGAGTGGCTAGGGTGAGCATTTGACGGGCCACGTGGTAACCACTCTTGGCAATAAAACAACCTCCCTTTTTTTAATCGTAGTGCCAAATCAAAACATCTTGGGTTCATCAATTACTTAGAGGAATGGCACGGATGAGCTCAACTTCTTTAGGTGAACATAGACCACGTAGTCTTGGGACATTCCAAGTAGAGGTGTCAAACGTGCCTGGCATATAAATTTGGGAAACCCAAGCCTTCTTCAATTTTGGGTCTACAAAGCTTATCCCAAGCTAGCCAATGGATTTTCTTCTTGTTGTTGGTATCATTCCACCATAATTCAGCCACTATCATGTTAAGATCATCACAAACAAATTTGGGTAGTAGAAAGCAACTCATAATATACAGAGGAATAGATTAAGCTACCACTTTTATGAGGATTTCTTTGCTTGCACTACTTGTTTTGTCTCTCACAATCGTCTCATTTCTTTTCCTTTCTTATCTTCATGTCACGTCACGACTAAAACTTTTTCTTTCTTTTACCAAAGTGCAAGAGGGAAATTAATTTTTTTTTTGTAAGTATAAATACTACTAGGGTAGGAAGGTACAAATTCACATGATTTTTTAGAGGTATAAAAGAGTTGGAATGAGATGTCTTAGGTTAAACTTCTAAGTATAAATATTCAAAGGTTACCTCATTTGTGGGGTAATTCAATGTCATCTAGAGTGTACTTTAAGAAAATTTTATTTGACAAAGGAGTGCGTGAATTAGTCATCAAATTAGACTTTTATTATAGTTTGGCCTAAAAAAAGAGTCTTAGAAATCCACCAAATCGATAAGGAAAGTTGGAATTGTTATGGCCTAAAATTCACAATGTATTTCCTTCAAAGTCAATAACTTTGTTAATACACTTGAATTTTATATGGTTTATACAAGTCACGATTAAATACACCTAAAACTTCAATTGGATACACATTCACATGGAATACCCCTCAAATAAGCTTCTTTAAGATTCATTAAAACCATGATTGAATACATCGTCAATTAGTTGGTGCGAAAAAGAAAAAAGTTAGAAAATTTCTTTATGATAATTATTTTTTAATCATTTTCTGGAGACTAGCCCCTTGGCACATGCATGTGCCAATTGGTTTTCTTTTTTCTTTTTTCTTTTACTTTTAGAATTAAGAAAAGATAATTTAGGTAGTTATCTATATATATAAAGCAAAAGGTAGAGAATGGTGAAACATTCAAAATACCAGAAAATGCCATTGGTTAATTCAAACATTAAGAATTGAAATTATTAATTAAATGAGGATAATATTGTAAATTCATATTTTAAAAAAAAATTAGATAATAGGTCATACTTTTACGGAACATAACTACCCATGTTATCTATTCTTAATTCTAAAAATAAAATAAAAAATAAAAAATAAAAAAGAAAACCAATTGGCACATGCGTGAGCATGTGTCAAAGGGCTAGTGTTTCATAAAAGTAGAACCTATTATCTGATTTTGTTTTTAATTTTAATTTTTTTAATACAAACAAAATGTGAATTTACCATATTACTCTCATTTAATTAATAATTTCAATTCTTAATATTTGAATTAACGAATGGTATTTTTTGGTATTTTGAATGTTTCACCATTTTCTATTTTTTGTTTTATATATATAGATAATAAAAAGGGAGATTCACTAATATACCCAATATAGGAGCCCAAATTATAAAAAAACCCTATATGAAATGGAATTTATAAATACACCCAAAGCCCATTTATAACATAACAAAAAAGCTTTTAACTTCTTTTAAATTACAAAATTGCCATTGATTTCTTAAAACAAACCCAACCCAAAATTTCATAAAAAAACCCAAAACACTCAATAGGGTATCAAAGTAATTTAATAATTAAAATTAAATTTAATAGTACCATTTGTCATTTTTTGGGTTTTTTTTGGGTATGTTTATAAAAATGAAATGATGTAGGGTTTATTTATAGTTTTAGTGCTAAGAATGGGTATATTACTAAATATCTCTAATAAAAATGGAAATAGTAGCATAAAGTAAAGAAACTTGGGAACGAAAGACACACACGTACTTCACTCTTTTTGGTGGGATCGGAAACAAACAAACAAAACAAAGTGTTTGTTAGAAGAGAATGTGTCTTTCTGACTATGCGTGAGAGAGATACAGAGATAGTGTAGCTACCAGCTTGCGTTCTTTAAGAAGAGCACTCGAGGGAAGAGCCATTCAGCAACTGACTCCATTTTCTCACAGAGAGAGAGAGAGAGAGAGAGAGAGAGAGAGTTGAGTTTCTGTTTGTGTAAGTTGAGGCCATCAGGGTTCTGCTGTATGTGATAACTGTTGTTTCTGCTCATTCTCTCGAAAAAAGACTTCAATCTAGGTTTGTGTAGCCTTCTCAATATGTCTATTCAGTTGTGCTTGGTTTCCCATCTCTCTATTTAGCTATACTTTGCTGCCCACGAAGTATTTGAAGAAAGGTGGATTTGAATATTAACGGCTTATCATTTTTTGGGATCCAAATTTTTAGTTTTGTTCCATCAAATGAGAGCTTTGGTTGCATAACCCATTTATTTTTTCTTTCATTTTCAACTGGGCATCAGCAGAATCCTGTCCTGGAAATTCATTCAAAGTTGGTTACTTTTCTTTCAGCTTTTTACCACCAAATAGAGGGTAGTTCCCATCATATCCCAGCTTTGTAATTAATACTTTATGCTAAGTTATCCCAGTTTGAAAGTGCTGTCATGAGTAAACAGATTCTCATTGTAATTTGAGTACCGGTGAACTGTAATGTGAGGTTTCTTCACTATAATAGAAGCTTTTGTCTTTCAGCAGTGCTAAAGTAGAGGGTGGAAAAGATGGCTGTGACGAGTTCGAATTCTGAGCAGCCACAGCTCATTGCAAGCACCGGAAACCGAAGCTTCCCAAATGCGCCGCTGATTGAGAACACAGATACAGATCAAATTGTTGTTCCTGATGTGAGTTTGATGTGCTAGTTGTCTTTTTTTTTTTTGGTTAAAGAAAAGATATGGCCACCAACTAACTCTTTGTCTAGTGGTATTTCTCTTCTTAATGTTGGAAGAAGATGTCTCAAGTTCGAATTTTCCCTCCCTGCTGGTCACAAAAAGAAAAAGAAAAAAGAATGAAGATATAGGCAAGATCAGGAGCTGACACACAGTGCTAACAAAATCCAAGTACAAGTGGAAAATCTGATCTGTGTTCCTTTGGGATGCAGAGAATTCACCACGGTACCTGCAGTGGGTGATAGACTGAATGGGTTACTGTACTCTATACTGTTTATATGAATAGCTAATTTTATTGAGTATTATTAACTGAACTCACTTCATCTCCTCTCTCTCTCTCTCTCTCTCTTATTTCGTTTAATTCTTTCTGCTCCACATTGTTAACTTTATCTACTTGTTACAGGCACAATCTGTTCCTCCACTCTGCATCGGTGCTCTCTAGGAAAATACCACCATCAAAGTAATACTTTTTCTTCGATAAACTAAGCTTGGCAACAGTCCCTAGTTTAATTGTCGCAGTTTTTGGTGGCTCTGCTGGGGCTGGAAAGCTGATTATTATTGCATCAGTAATGAATTGATGATTGTCTGATTGTATTTACATCTGTCAGGTTCCTCTGGATGTGCCCTGAAATCACTGAACACCTTTCTGATTCAGCATCTTGGCCCATTGGACATGTCGTTTGTCTTTGTCCAACACTCTTTTGCTATTCCACTCCCCATCCGTTCGATGTAGCCGTCCGATTCGTTCTCCAACTTGTGCCCGCACAAAATCTAATCTAAAGTTATAAACCGCACAACCAAAGTACATGGACGATGCTTTGGTAGACCCCACCAAATTTTATTCTTTTTTTTATTTATTCTTTAAACAGACCTTTAACTTAAACAAATACGTACAAAACTGACCCGTCGTTTCGCGATTCGTGGGCCTCGCACCATGCTTAAAACGCACGACGGCCACGGGCTAGGGGGCTTTATCGTAGATCTTCTCAAATAGTGGCACGTGGGGACTACATAAAATGGTGGCCGTTGGATTCACGTGGGAGCCACTTTGGAAAGACCCTTTTGACGGTCAAGATTCGTGGAGTCTTTGTCTAATTATAAAATCAAAAAAATTCTCTTTTGCAATAGGAAATTGAAATATGCGCTCTCATCTATTTGGGGATAATTAATTCTTAGTCCAAAGTCTACTTTACTAAAGCAAGGAGAAAATTGTGTTTAATATTCTTTAAATATTATTAAAAAAAGAAGATAATATAATTCTCACTTAATATTCTCCTCTTTCTACAACCATGAAATTCATAATAATATGTTGCATTTATTTTTTTCATTTGTTTTTAAAAGTTCATTCATTTTGTTCTGTCTCTCACAGTTGTCTCTTTTTTTTTCCTTTCTTCTCTTCACATCACGCCACGACTAAAAACTTTTTCTTTCTTTCACCAAAGTGCAAGAGAGAAATTTAAGAAAATATTTGTTAGTATAAATACTACTAGGGTAGGAAGGTACAAATTCACATGATTTTTAGAGGTAAAACAGTTGGTATGAGACGTCTTAGGTTAAACTTCTAAGTATAAATATTCAAAGGTTACCTCATTTGTGGGGTAATTCAATGTCATATAGAGTGTACTTTAAGAAAATTTTATTTGACAAAGGAGTGGGCGAATTAGTCATCAAATTAGACTCTTATTATAGTTTGGCCTAAAAAAAGAGTCTTACAAAACCAAATTGATAAAGAAAGTTGGAATTGTTATGGCCTAAAATTCATTATGTATTTCCTTCAAAGTCAATAACTTTTTTAATACACTTGAATCGTGAATGGTTTATACAAGTTACGATTAAATACACCTAAAACTTCAATTGGATACACATTCACATGGAATACCCCTCAAATTTTAAGCTTCTTTAAGATTTATTAAAACCATGATTGAATACACCGGTTAATTAGTTGGGGCGAAAAAAAAGAAGTTAGAAAATTTCTCTTTGAGAATTATTTTTTTAATAATTTTCTGGAGATAATAAAAATGGAAATAGTAGCATAAAGTAATGAAACTTGGGAACGAAAGAGACACACACGTACTTCACTCTTTTTGGTGGGATCGGAAACAAACAAACAAACAAAGTGTTTGTTAGAAGAGAATGTGTCTTTCTGACTATGCGTGAGAGAGATACAGAGATAGTGTAGCTACCAGCTTGCGTTCTTTAAGAAGAGCACTCGAGGAAAGAGCCATTCAGCAACTGACTCCATTTTCTCACAGAGAGAGAGAGAGAGAGAGAGAGAGAGAGAGAGGAGAGAGAGAGAGAGAGAGTTGAGTTTCTGTTTGTGTAAGTTGAGGCCATCAGGGTTCTGCTGTATGTGATAACTGTTGTTTCTGCTCATTCTCTCGAAAAAAGACTTCAATCTAGGTTTGTGTAGCCTTCTCAATATGTCTATTCAGTTGTGCTTGGTTCCCATCTTTCTCTATTTAGCTATACTTGGTTGCCCACAAAGTATTTGAAGAAAGGTGGATTTGAATATTAACGGCTTATCATTATTTGGGATCCAAATTTGTAGTTTTGTTCCATCAAATGAGCTTCGGTTGCATAACCCATTTCTCTTTTCTTTCATTTTCAACTGGGCAGCAGCAGAATCCTGTCCTGGAAATTCATTCAAAGTTGGTTACTTTTCTTTCAGCCTTGTACCACCAAATAGAGGGTAGTTCCCATCATATCCCAGCTTTGTAATTAATACTTTACGTGAAGTTATCCCAATTTGAAAGTGCTGTCATGAGTAAACAGATTCTCATTGTAATTTGAGTACCGGTGAACTGTAATGTGAGGTTTCTTCACTATAATAGAAGCTTTTGTCTTTCAGCAGTGCTAAAGTAGAGGGTGGAAAAGATGGCTGTGATGAGTTCGAATTCTGAGCAGCCACAGTTCATTGCAAGCACTGGAAACCGGAGCTTCTCAAATGCGCCGCTGATTGAGAACACAGATACAGATCAAATTGTTGTTCCTGATGTGAGTTTGATGTGCTAGTTGTCATATTTTATGCAATTTGTTTCAATCTTAGTATATTATCATTGTTTATGCCATTCAATGGGAAATATGGCCACAATTACAGAGTGGAAAGTGAAAGCAATTTTAACTCATAGTCAGACTAGGCTAGGGCGGAGATTGGTATATAGTCAAACCCAAATTGTTTGAAATAAGCATATTGGATTAAATGAAACATTTACTTCTTTGTATATTTTTATAAGAAATTCCATGATCTGTCCTGAGAATTTGTTTTCTTGTGTACTTTTTGGGTAATGATTTAACTATGCTGAGCAAATCAGGCCTAGAAGGTGAAATTTGATTAGGTCAAACAGAAACAGGAATCACGTTGTGTTTGGAAATGATGTAAGAATGACAAACTTAGGTGGTTTTCATTGATACATCACCTTGTAAGTGGAGAGGGCTGCAGGGGTGTTGGGGTTTCTTCTCCCTAAATTAATAATACGGTGAGATTGGGTGAAGTTGGAGAGGGTCTGAGAAATTGTAATGGTAACAAAAGATTGGTGGGATGACTGAAAACATTCTATAGAAAGAGGATGATTAACTGAAAACATTCTGTGAATAAATGTTTTTTGGTTAAAGAAAAGATATAGCCACCAACTAGCTCTTTGTCTAGTGGTATTTCTCTTCCTAATGTTGGAAGAAGAGGTCTCAAATTCCAATTTTCCCTCCTTGTTGGTCACAAAAAGAAAAAGAAAAAGGAAAGAAGATATAGGCAAGCTCAGGAGCTGAAACACAGTATTAACAAAATCCAAGTAAAAGTGGAAAATCTGATTTGTGTTACTTTGGGATGCAGAGAATTCACCATGGTACCTGCAGTGGGTGATAGACTGAATGGGTTACTGTACTCTATACTGTCCATATGCATAGCTAATTTTATTGAGTATTTTAAACTGAATTCACATCATCTCCTCTCTCTCTCTCTCTCTCTCTCTCTCTCTCTCTCTCACACACACACACACACACACACACGAATGATATGTCAGTCTATATCATCTGGATTTCAGCTCTGAACAAAATATGCCTATCTAACACTGTCTATTTATTAGTTTATTTTTCTTGATTATTGCTAATGTGAGGAATCTTGAGGGCAATAAATGTTCACTGGGAATTCTTTGATTGATGACCATTAACATTTCTTCATGCAGAAGACAAGCTGGAAAAACCTATTTGCCTATATGGGTCCGGGGTTTCTTGTTTCAATTGCTTATATAGATCCTGGAAATTGTGAGATTGTAACCTATTCATTTACTTTCTGCTTCTATTTTTATTTTGTTTTCTTTAACACACTCATCTTTTGTGGTTGGCTTGCAGTTGAGACGGACTTGCAGTCAGGGGCACAATACAAGTATGGGGTGTGTATTTCATCATCAATGAAGTTGTTTTACCTTTGAAATTAGACAATTTTAGCATCGCTCTGGACTGGAGCATCATGAAATGGCGTTTTGTTTTGTACCATGTCCTGAATTTCTGGACTGGAGTGTTGTCATTCTATGTCATCCACCTTATCAATCTACCAACTACATGATAATTATAGAGAGCATCTTATCGTGGATTAGTTATTCTCTCATAACGAGAGGATGAAATAGTGCATAGAATCGATGATAACACTCCAGAAAAATCTCTTTTTGCAGCTACTTTGGATAATATTAGTTGCTTCATGTGCTGCTCTCATCATTCAGTCCCTTGCAGCCAATCTCGGGGTAGTCACAGGCATGTGATTTTTTAAGTCAGTTACTTTTGTTTAATTTTATAACTAAACATTATTCTCCACATTATCATACAAAATGTTGTTTCAATTTGTAGGAAAGCATTTGGCAGAGCACTGTCGAGCTGAATATCCTAGAGTAACAAACTTCATCCTTTGGGTTCTTGCTGAGATTTCTATAGTTGCATGTGACATTCCTGAAGGTCAGTTTTTACTCTTCAAATGTTGGTATAAATTCAGACAGAAAGGAACCAGATAACGATTTTTAACCATGTTTAGAATCTTTTCTCTGGTACTCATGGTTCTGATGAAATTTAAAGCTACAACTAGTTTAGCTGTCCTGTTTCAGAGGAGGCTAGAGGCCTATTTGGAAGTGCTTATGTAGGAATCGATTTTTCTCAGTAGTACTATTGCTCATAAATGGTTTTGTTAGAAGTACATAAATATTCTTTTGCAGTGCTAAAAGGACTCCCATACACCATAGGTAAATTTTATTTTACATGCCGTGCACATACATTATGTGCGTGCGGGGCTAGTCCTAACTTTTCTTAGACATAATTTTCTTGAACAATTGCCCGTGCTGTGTTTACTTACCTTATAGTCAAATTGCACTAGGTTTTTTATATTGTAAATACAGGCTTTTGCAGCTGCGTGATTTTAATCTATATTTTGATGACTAATTATAAACAGAAAAACCCGAAAAACATATATGTTTGTTCATCTGCATGTGTAAATCCACAGTTTTCTTGATTCTAAATGATTTTGATTATTAAGACGAGATAGGAAGATAATGAGGTATCACATCTATCTTATATTAGTGCTGAATTGATCAGACACATATTTCTTCATTTTGTTCTAACTGCTCTTCCTTACCAGTGATTGGAACTGCCTTTGCATTGAACATGCTCTTCAACATACCCATATGGATTGGCGTTCTTCTGACAGGACTTAGTACATTGCTTCTTCTTGCATTACAACAATATGGGGTAACTCAATATGTTTCATATATTCCTTGATTCTTTGAGATCTTTGGTTTCCATGCCTACAGTTTAAAATGAGCTACCCAAAGATTTTTCCACTTACAGGTTAGGAAACTTGAATTCTGATTGCATTCCTTGTACTCACAATGCTGGATGCTTCTTTGCTGAGCTTGGCTACGCAATTTTTTTTTTTTTTTTTTTTTTTTTTTTTTTTTTTTTTTTTTTTTTTTTTTTTTTTTTTTTTTTTTTTTTTTTTTTTTTTTTTTTTTTTTTTTTTTTTTTTTTTTTTTTTTTTTTTTTTTTTTTTTTTTTTTTTTTTTTTTTTTTTTTTTTTTTTTTTTTTTTTTTTTTTTTTTTTTTTTTTTTTTTTTTTTTTTTTTTTTTTTTTTTTTTTTTTTTTTTTTTTTTTTTTTTTTTTTTTTTTTTTTTTTTTTTTTTTTTTTTTTTTTTTTTTTTTTTTTTTTTTTTTTTTTTTTTTTTTTTTTTTTTTTTTTTTTTTTTTTTTTTTTTTTTTTTTTTTTTTTTTTTTTTTTTTTTTTTTTTTTTTTTTTTTTTTTTTTTTTTTTTTTTTTTGTTTTTTTTGTTGGGTTAAGACAAGTATGGCACCAACGAACCTTGTCGAGTGTAGTGCCTCTGCTTAAGGGGGAGAAGAGGTCTGCAAGGCGAATGGGCCCGCCCTTCCACGGCCTGGTCCAAACAGCAAACGAAAAAAGATGTAGGGAGCTGTCATACGATCTGAGCTGGACACACAGTGCACCACACCACATACGAATGTGGAAATCTGATCTGTGTGTTCCTTTGGGGATCAGAGAAATTTCACCACGGGTACCGCATGGTGTGATAGGACTGAGAGCGGTTCTGTCCTCTAGTACATGTTTATCTGATACTCTATTTTTGATTGAGTATTATGACGGACACCTCACTTTCAGTTCTGCCGGCTCTCTCCGTCAAGCGCCCTCGCTCTTATTCGATTTAAATTCTGTTCTGCTTGCCCATGTTAAGCATTTAAGCTACTTGACTTTGTGTCCAAGGCCTGTCTTCCACTCCACCTGCTCGTGGCTCTCTAGAAAACCACCGATTCAAGTTATCCTTATAGTATCTGCGCATACTACGCCTTGGCAACAGTCCTATTGTATTGTCGCGTTTTTGTAGGTGTGGGCTCTGCGCGGGCTGGGAAACCTGAGTTTATTTTGCATCCGCGGAAGTGAGGATCTGGCTGACTATGGATTTCATCTGTCAGTTGGGGTTCGCTCTGCGGGTGTCGCCCGATGAAAGCATCTGCACTAGACCGATTGCGGATCTCAACATCTTGCCTCTTGGTCACATATCTTTGGGGTCTTTGCCCAGCACTATCTTTTTGCTAGTTTCCACTTCCGGCCATTACGCGTTCGAGTTCAGCCGTCCGAGTGTGTTCGTTTCGTCCAACTGTCCCTCCGCGAGATACTCGCGTCTAGGAGATTTATAAACCCCACAACCAAATACATGGGACGATGCTTGGTAGAGCCCCAATTTTATTTCTTTTTTTATTTATTCTTTAAACAGACCTTTCCTTAACAAATAACGTACAAAACTGACCCGTGTTTCGCGATTCGTGGCTCGCACCATGTGCTAAAAGCACACGGGCCACGGGCTAGGGGGCTTTATCAGAATCTTCTCAATAGTGGCACTTGGGGACTACATAAAAGTGGGCCGTTTGGATTCACGTGGGAGCCACTTTGGAAGACCCTTTTGAACGTCAAGATTTCGTGGGTCTTTGTCTCCTATAAAAATTCAAAAAAATTCTCTTTTGCAATAGGAAATTAAATATGCGCTTCTCATTTTGGGGTAATTAAATCTATCCAGTCTACTTTACTAAAGCAAGGAAAAATTGTTTTTAATATTTTTAAATATTATTAAAAAAAGAAGAGATATAATTCTCACTATATTCTCCTCTTTCTAAACCATGAAATTCTAATAATATGTTGCATTTATTTTTTTCATTTGTTTTTAAAAGTTCATCATTTTGTTCTGTCTCTCACAGTTGTCTCTTTTTCCTTTCTTCCTCTTCACATCCCGCCACGACTAAAACTTTCTTGTCTTTCTTTCACCAAAGTGCAGAGAGAAATTTAAGAAATATTTGTTAGTATAATACTACTAGGTAGAAGGTACAAATTCACATGATTTTTAGAGGTAAAACATGGTATGAGACGTCTTAGGTTAACCTTCTAAGTATAAATATTCAAAGGTTACCTCATTTGTGGGGTAATTCATGTCATATAGAGTGTACTTTAAGAAAATTTTATTTGACAAAGGAGTGGGCCGAATTAGTCATCAAATTAGACTCTTATTATAGTTTGGCCTAAAAAAAGAGTCTTACAAAACCAAATTGATAAAGAAAGTTGGAATTGTTATGGCCTAAAATTCATTATGTATTTCCTTCAAAGTCAATAACTTTTTTAATACACTTGAATCGTGAATGGTTTTATACAAGTTACGATTAAATACACCTAAAACTTCAATTGGATACACATTCACATGGAATACCCCTCAAATTTTAAGCTTCTTTAAGATTTATTAAAACCATGATTGAATACACCGGTTAATTAGTTGGGGCGAAAAAAAAAGAAGTTAGAAAATTTCTCTTTGAGAATTATTTTTTTAATAATTTTCTGGAGATAATAAAAATGGAAATAGTAGCATAAAGTAATGAAACTTGGGAACGAAAGAGACACACACGTACTTCACTCTTTTTGGTGGGATCGGAAACAAACAAACAAACAAAGTGTTTGTTAGAAGAGAATGTGTCTTTCTGACTATGCGTGAGAGAGATACAGAGATAGTGTAGCTACCAGCTTGCGTTCTTTAAGAAGAGCACTCGAGGAAAGAGCCATTCAGCAACTGACTCCATTTTCTCACAGAGAGAGAGAGAGAGAGAGAGAGAGAGAGAGAGGAGAGAGAGAGAGAGTTGAGTTTCTGTTTGTGTAAGTTGAGGCCATCAGGGTTCTGCTGTATGTGATAACTGTTGTTTCTGCTCATTCTCTCGAAAAAAGACTTCAATCTAGGTTTGTGTAGCCTTCTCAATATGTCTATTCAGTTGTGCTTGGTTCCCATCTTTCTCTATTTAGCTATACTTGGTTGCCCACAAAGTATTTGAAGAAAGGTGGATTTGAATATTAACGGCTTATCATTATTTGGGATCCAAATTTGTAGTTTTGTTCCATCAAATGAGCTTCGGTTGCATAACCCATTTCTCTTTTCTTTCATTTTCAACTGGGCAGCAGCAGAATCCTGTCCTGGAAATTCATTCAAAGTTGGTTACTTTTCTTTCAGCCTTGTACCACCAAATAGAGGGTAGTTCCCATCATATCCCAGCTTTGTAATTAATACTTTACGTGAAGTTATCCCAATTTGAAAGTGCTGTCATGAGTAAACAGATTCTCATTGTAATTTGAGTACCGGTGAACTGTAATGTGAGGTTTCTTCACTATAATAGAAGCTTTTGTCTTTCAGCAGTGCTAAAGTAGAGGGTGGAAAAGATGGCTGTGATGAGTTCGAATTCTGAGCAGCCACAGTTCATTGCAAGCACTGGAAACCGGAGCTTCTCAAATGCGCCGCTGATTGAGAACACAGATACAGATCAATTGTTGTTCCTGATGTGAGTTTGATGTGCTAGTTGTCATATTTTATGCAATTTGTTTCAATCTTAGTATATTATCATTGTTTATGCCATTCAATGGGAAATATGGCCACAATTACAGAGTGGAAAGTGAAAGCAATTTTAACTCATAGTCAGACTAGGCTAGGGCGGAGATTGGTATATAGTCAAACCCAAATTGTTTGAAATAAGCATATTGGATTAAATGAAACATTTACTTCTTTGTATATTTTTATAAGAAATTCCATGATCTGTCCTGAGAATTTGTTTTCTTGTGTACTTTTTGGGTAATGATTTAACTATGCTGAGCAAATCAGGCCTAGAAGGTGAAATTTGATTAGGTCAAACAGAAACAGGAATCACGTTGTGTTTGGAAATGATGTAAGAATGACAAACTTAGGTGGTTTTCATTGATACATCACCTTGTAAGTGGAGAGGGCTGCAGGGGTGTTGGGGTTTCTTCTCCCTAAATTAATAATACGGTGAGATTGGGTGAAGTTGGAGAGGGTCTGAGAAATTGTAATGGTAACAAAAGATTGGTGGGATGACTGAAAACATTCTATAGAAAGAGGATGATTAACTGAAAACATTCTGTGAATAAATGTTTTTTGGTTAAAGAAAAGATATAGCCACCAACTAGCTCTTTGTCTAGTGGTATTTCTCTTCCTAATGTTGGAAGAAGAGGTCTCAAATTCCAATTTTCCCTCCTTGTTGGTCACAAAAAGAAAAGAAAAAGGAAAGAAGATATAGGCAAGCTCAGGAGCTGAAACACAGTATTAACAAAATCCAAGTAAAAGTGGAAAATCTGATTTGTGTTACTTTGGGATGCAGAGAATTCACCATGGTACCTGCAGTGGGTGATAGACTGAATGGGTTACTGTACTCTATACTGTCCATATGCATAGCTAATTTTATTGAGTATTTTAAACTGAATTCACATCATCTCCTCTCTCTCTCTCTCTCTCTCTCTCTCTCTCTCTCTCACACACACACACACACACACACACGAATGATATGTCAGTCTATATCATCTGGATTTCAGCTCTGAACAAATATGCCTATCTAACACTGTCTATTTATTAGTTTATTTTTCTTGATTATTGCTAATGTGAGGAATCTTGAGGGCAATAAATGTTCACTGGGAATTCTTTGATTGATGACCATTAACATTTCTTCATGCAGAAGACAAGCTGGAAAAACCTATTTGCCTATATGGGTCCGGGGTTTCTTGTTTCAATTGCTTATATAGATCCTGGAAATTGTGAGATTGTAACCTATTCATTTACTTTCTGCTTCTATTTTTATTTTGTTTTCTTTAACACACTCATCTTTTGTGGTTGGCTTGCAGTTGAGACGGACTTGCAGTCAGGGGCACAATACAAGTATGGGGTGTGTATTTCATCATCAATGAAGTTGTTTTACCTTTGAAATTAGACAATTTTAGCATCGCTCTGGACTGGAGCATCATGAAATGGCGTTTTGTTTTGTACCATGTCCTGAATTTCTGGACTGGAGTGTTGTCATTCTATGTCATCCACCTTATCAATCTACCAACTACATGATAATTATAGAGAGCATCTTATCGTGGATTAGTTATTCTCTCATAACGAGAGGATGAAATAGTGCATAGAATCGATGATAACACTCCAGAAAAATCTCTTTTTGCAGCTACTTTGGATAATATTAGTTGCTTCATGTGCTGCTCTCATCATTCAGTCCCTTGCAGCCAATCTCGGGGTAGTCACAGGCATGTGATTTTTTAAGTCAGTTACTTTTGTTTAATTTTTATAACTAAACATTATTCTCCACATTATCATACAAAATGTTGTTTCAATTTGTAGGAAAGCATTTGGCAGAGCACTGTCGAGCTGAATATCCTAGAGTAACAAACTTCATCCTTTGGGTTCTTGCTGAGATTTCTATAGTTGCATGTGACATTCCTGAAGGTCAGTTTTTTACTCTTCAAATGTTGGTATAAATTCAGACAGAAAGGAACCAGATAACGATTTTTAACCATGTTTAGAATCTTTTCTCTGGTACTCATGGTTCTGATGAAATTTAAAGCTACAACTAGTTTAGCTGTCCTGTTTCAGAGGAGGCTAGAGGCCTATTTGGAAGTGCTTATGTAGGAATCGATTTTTCTCAGTAGTACTATTGCTCATAAATGGTTTTGTTAGAAGTACATAAATATTCTTTTGCAGTGCTAAAAGGACTCCCATACACCATAGGTAAATTTTATTTTACATGCCCGTGCACATACATTATGTGCGTGCGGGGCTAGTCCTAACTTTTCTTAGACATAATTTTCTTGAACAATTGCCCGTGCTGTGTTTACTTACCTTATAGTCAAATTGCACTAGGTTTTTTTATATTGTAAATACAGGCTTTTGCAGCTGCGTGATTTTAATCTATATTTTGATGACTAATTATAAACAGAAAAACCCGAAAAACATATATGTTTGTTCATCTGCATGTGTAAATCCACAGTTTTCTTGATTCTAAATGATTTTGATTATTAAGACGAGATAGGAAGATAATGAGGTATCACATCTATCTTATATTAGTGCTGAATTGATCAGACACATATTTCTTCATTTTGTTCTAACTGCTCTTCCTTACCAGTGATTGGAACTGCCTTTGCATTGAACATGCTCTTCAACATACCCATATGGATTGGCGTTCTTCTGACAGGACTTAGTACATTGCTTCTTCTTGCATTACAACAATATGGGGTAACTCAATATGTTTCATATATTCCTTGATTCTTTGAGATCTTTGGTTTCCATGCCTACAGTTTAAAATGAGCTACCCAAAGATTTTTCCACTTACAGGTTAGGAAACTTGAATTCTTGATTGCATTCCTTGTACTCACAATTGCTGGATGCTTCTTTGCTGAGCTTGGCTACGCAAAACCTGATGGCGCTGAAGTTTTGAAAGGGCTTTTTGTTCCTCAACTCAAAGGAAGTGGCGCTACTGGTCTTGCAATTTCACTTCTTGGTGCTATGGTTATGCCGTAGGTTTCTGTGGCTTCATATATTTCTGAGTTATTTCATTTAATTCTTTCTGCTCCACATTGTTAACTTTATCTACTTGTTACAGGCACAATCTCTTCCTTCACTCTGCATTGGTGCTCTCTAGGAAAATACCACGATCTGTCCGTGGCATCAAAGTAATACTTTTTCTTCAATAAACTAATCTTGAACTAAGTCTTTTTTCTAAAATAAAACTTCAATGTAAATATGTCTGAAAAATGGTTCCTTCTTGTCTATTATTCTTTAACTCTTGCCTCTTTGGCTATCCTCCTCACAAAGACAATATAAGTGAGTAATATGAATAACTGTTTATTGGTGGAACATATCCCTAGGTGGATGATTCATGAATGGCAAAGTTGTCCATTGCTATTTGTCCATCTTTGACATTCCTCTATCTCTTGAGCCTGCCTTAGCTCCATAATTTTCTAGAATTTTATTTAATTGGCAAGTTTAAGGTGCAGATGAAAGGCTTTGACAACGGGCACAGTTTTATTTATTATTATTATTTTAATTGTTTTGGAAATTATTATCTAAGGTCATATTGTTATCCAAATTACATCTTGTTCATACTAGATCATGTGTAGCTGGTGGTAGAGTCTAAATTGTCAAATGTTTTTGGGTGAAAAGCGAAATTTATTTCTGTTAGTGTTTCTAATTTATAGTGTGGTGAGAAGTTTGTTGTAAACTTTATTGAAAAATGAAAAATTAATAAGAAGAGTTCCAATCCCCAGTTGCTGCTCAGCCACTTCTATTATTCCCCTTTATTTATTGGCGCTTGGATATTTACTGAAATCACCTCTACAAAGACTTTGCAGACAAGATGATCTCAATTTGTCCCATAGCATAATGTTCTTGGAATATGGTTGAACATACTAAGGAGCTTTATCTGATAAAATTTCTTGTTTGCAGGAAGCATGCAGATTTTACATGATAGAAAGTGGCTTTGCTCTCATGGTGGCCTTCCTAATAAATGTATCCGTTATTTCTGTAAGTGGTGCAGTTTGCAATTCCGGGGATTTGAATGAAGAAGATCAGATGAACTGCCAGGACTTGGATTTGAATAAAGCTTCCTTTTTACTAAGAGTATGTAATGCATTGGTTTTCATATGCTATGCTGAAGTGGATTGTATCCTGAATTTCACAGAAAATTCACTTTCATTCTGATGTTTTATAATGGTTATTTACAGAATGTTTTAGGTAGTTGGAGTTCCAAACTTTTTGCTGTAGCATTGCTGGCATCAGGTCAAAGTTCTACTATAACAGGAACATATGCAGGGCAATATGTTATGCAGGTATCTTGCTAGAGAAATAAAACTCTTTCCCTTTAAAGCGCGGTCACTGTTTAAACAAAACTATTTTGATGTTACAAAATATACTTTGAAATAAGCCTAAATGTACTGCAGTACCAGCATTTTATTTTAATATTGCTAATTTTAATATTGATGACTGATTCCTGGACGACTTTCCTGTTTTTATTGAAGAGTTTAATTTGTTTCTAACTCAACATATCAGTATGCTGTGCATTAGTGCTCAAAGCATCTTAATGTTTTTCACCAATAACTAGATAGAGGTGTACATATTTATTGCTGCTTTGTATCTAGGAAAACGTTTCTCTACCACTGTTGAAATGTAAAACAGCACAATTATATTTCTTGTCTCATCATGTTTTGTTTTACTTTATGTTTCTTTATTTCTTGTTGAAGGGCTTTCTAGATTTACGACTGAAACCATGGCTTCGGAACTTCTTAACAAGATGCTTGGCAATAGTCCCTAGTTTAATTGTTGCAGTTATTGGTGGCTCTGCTGGGGCTGGAAAGCTGATTATTATTGCATCAGTAAGATAAAGTTGCCTGTAAATTATACTTTTACTTCCAAATCATGGGTTCTCTTTTTCTGAACATTGCCTTGTTTTCTTTTGAACACATACTTTTGGTTTGTATAATTTATGTGCGCAGAATATTAGTATGCTTGGAGTGCTTAAAGTTACTTCTTCCTTAGAAAACACATTAAATTGTGCTTTTAAGTTAATGACAGTGTTACGGACAAAATTGTGAGTATCAAATCACCAATATTCATGTCAGGAATCAGAATAATATGAACTGCTTCCTCTTGCTACTAAAGCAAATGGAACCAATATTGTCAAATATTGTTAAAGGAAATTAGCATTATTTTATGAAGTTCTTCACATGATCCAATGCTGATATGGGCGACCTTCAGAAATCACTTAACATTGACTCTGGCCCTTATATTCTTTTCACGTTTTCTCCAATGGTTGAGTAACTATATTAGTGCTGGAGATGTGCTTCGTAAAGCGCAAAGCTCTGTCAAAATGAAGTCAAGTTTTAATCTGAAAATGAATTGATGATTGTCTGATTTTATTTAGATCTGTTAGGTTCCTTTGGATGTGCCCTGAAATCACTAAACAGCTTTATGATTCAGCATATTGGCCAATTGGACATGTCGTTTGTCTGTGTCTAACACTCATTTAGAGATTTATTGTTTAGATTACATCATTTACCTTCATATTGTGCCTGGTTTGAGTAATATAATTTATTGCTAAGGAAATTGTGCATTGTTATTATTCTTTTTTGTTTGTTTTTGGAAATGGTATTATTGCATAGACACAGACCCTCAAACCTATTAAAAATTGAAAAAGTTATGCAGGTAAAATAGTTTATGTGTCTAGTAGCTTGTGTCATGTCACTAACCAAAAATCATATCTTACTTCTGATGTTGTTTCTGCAGATGATTCTATCGTTTGAGCTGCCTTTTGTTCTTATTCCGCTTCTCAAGTTCACCAGCAGCAAGACCAAGATGGGAGCTTATGCCAACTCTACTGCAGTAAGCTTTTGATTGAGTTATGTTGTTAGTCAATTATAACTGAAGAAATCTGTTTGCACCTTTAATTTGTTTGTTACAAGTTTTTTGAGATGCCAATTGTTGGATATATGTTCGCTCTCAGCATTGCATAGACGAAGCATTTACGAATTTCTGGAAAAATCGTTTTTTCCTATAATTAACTTAAATCATTGGACATAATACAGTAAAGTACACCAAACTGTAAGTTTACTGTATGCTCTTCACTTAGTTATTAATTGGATCTATCTCCAATTGCAGATTTCTGCTCTCACTTGGATCATTGGTTCTCTGCTCATGGCCATAAATGTATACTATTTGATTAATGGATTTATCAAGTTGCTTCTTCATAGCCACTTCAAAGTTCTGGCCGTTGTCTTTCTTGGAATTTTAGGATTCTCAGGTATGGGATTGTATTTGGCTGGAATTGCATATCTTGTTTTCCGTAAAAACAAAGAGGCTACGCATCTTTTGGCTTTAACAACACCTGAAAGCAGACAACTGGCAAATGAGCAGCAGGGTAATGCATCGATGTACTGTCTGGCAAGAGAAGACATCGTGAGCATGCAGCTCCCTCAAAGGAGGTCTACCGAAGATTTCGACTGATGAATACTTGTGTAAGCTAGATTAATAATGCAGCTTTTCTAGGAAATTTAGGCACCCCAAAGTTAAAATAATGATGCTAATTTCTAGAGACTCGTGTACCTTGAAAATAAGACAAGAAGTAAACGCTTAAGTTTTTATTTTCATATAGTCTGCTGCTCTAGTTTTCCCATTGTATATAATCCAGAATTTTGCACAAAATCTAGTGTTGTCAATGTTTTACCCTGGAGAAAAGCTGTTTGCACTCTCCATAAGCTACTTCCACTCCTTGTTTCAGTGCTTTAATAATATGATGGAATATTGATTTTGATGTGTAGAAGGATAAATAAGGAGTAGGTAGTATTCTTAAGCACAGGCCTGGTACACAGGGTGTGCGGGCTGGGCAACGGCCCCCAAAAAAATTGGGCCTCATACACACCTCTAGTCCAATAAATATACCATCAAAAAAGGCCTTTTTATATGTGAAACTAGTGCTTTTGGGGCTTTATTTTGAATAATTTTGGGCCTTTTTCTTTATCTTTCATATAATGGGCATGTTTTTACTTAAACTACCTTACTTACCACCTAAGTTTGAAACTTTTTATTATATTTTTTTTGTTCAAAATGAGGTAAGTGTTAAACGAAAAAGGCCTCATTTTTCATTTTTCCCTTGGAGCTCCAAAATCAATGGACCGGCACCCTGCTTAAGCATATCTAGCTTGATTGTGTTCATTGATTTGAGTGGTTAGTCATGCGTTTGCAAAGAAAATTTGGACGGGGATAGATTGGCTTTCCTATGTTTTCTGATACTTGGGTAAGATCAAATGATCAAGTAAACGGCTAGTGTCAATGGTGTGTGAATGCGACGCATTTTCAGCGGTTGATGAGTCATGCGTGGCGGCGGTACCAAGTTTCAGATTGTCAAATAGTTCATAGTTTTGTATTGACCTCTCTACCGCATCCTTTGCATCCTTTCTTTTACCAGGCTCTTTTGTAATGACAAGTTGCATGACAAAATCTGTGTCCGCTAAAGCAGGATGGTCAATTGAAGCAATCTATAGACAGACTATTATATTTCTCGAATGATTTCTTTAGCATTTGCATGAAAAACGTTTGTTTAGTTGAATAGTTAAATGTAAAGCTCTACCTTCTGTTACACGAACATGAATACAACGACACAGATACGCGACAAGGGGAAATAAGGAAATGGCAAATCTCAAATAACTACGATAGGGAGATGCGACAATTATTTTTTTAATTATATAATAATACTTATATATATTTTTAAAAAACAAAATATTGATGTTCATACTCCCATTTCACAATACCACATATAGTGAACGTCAAACTTTCCAAGTCTTTCAAATGTAGTTTATTAATTTTATATGAATTATAATTGAATTAACACATTAGTTGACCTTAGTATGAGTTGACTCGTGTCCAGAGAGTGTCTTGACCGTGTATAGGGAGTGTCTTGACCGTTGACGTAAAGTAACTATTGGACACGGGTGTTTGAAGAGTGTTCGAGTGTCCGACACTCCGACACTTAAGCTTAGTAGAGTGTCCGTGCAACATGGGCTCTACCGTTTCAGCTCTCGTAAGACTTTCTATTCGCTTATTTTATTTAGTCTTGAATTTTTGTCATAAATGATCTTTAAATTTGTTAAAAATCATTATTACAATCCTCAAACTTTCAATCAAACAATATAGTCGTTAATCTTTTGGTTCACACATCAATCTGATTTATGTCATTACATTCCATCCTTTTTAACCGTAGTGTTGACATTATTGCTCCATTTAAGCGTATTACTGAATACATCACAGTTAACCATAGCTCTAAAAAAATAATAATTTAGTCCTTTGTAAAATATGTAACATCCTGACAGTTTTGAGTGGAGTGATTATTATATAACAAATGATTAAAAGTGATTGACAAAACTTATCTCCTTTTAATTACCCACCCACCGCACTACTTGCTTTCTTCTGGGATCCGTGACTAATGGGTCATCTAAATATAGGCAGCTAAATATAAGGTTGTCCCTTTTCTAATATAATATACCAATTTATCTGCTTTCAATTAAAAGGAAAAGAAAATTATTTTTCTTTGGTTGCAAAGGGAGCCCAAAGTCTGGAGAGAGAAAGGACGAAAGTTGAAACTCTGGCTTCAACTGTGGAGCTACATATCCCGAGACTTAGAAAAACTTATTCCGAAAGGAAATATATGTATATTTTTTTTTAGACGAGCAAACTTACTAGAAAAGGAATTCGAATTTTAGTGTAAAGAAGCGGGTTGATTGACCTGACCAACTGTCATATCTTACACTATATTATGTGCACAATTTTTTAAATAAATGCGGTGGGTACATGTGGTTGAAACTTTGAAGAAAATAGCCAGTTCTATAATGGTGGGATGTTTGTTGAGCAACAGTTGCTACACAACTTTCTGAATTTTGAACCCTTCTACAGGACCAACATGGTCAAAATATGCACACTGTTCAGTGGACAGACCCCTTTACCTACCCTTTGCCATATAAGTCTATCTTAGAATGTTTCTTTCTCCACACCTATCATGTTATCTATGACAATGCTAATTGGACAGCTTTACATGCGCATGGCATTTTGAGTTGTGGTGGCTCAACTTTGCAATTAAATATTTCTAAACATAATATATTTGTATCACAATAGGGTTGGTGTAATGTAAGTCTACATTTTAAGCGCAAAACTTCCTGACTTCATATTGTTTTTGGGCAGTTTGGACACATGCATCACCAACCATGGTTGCTAAATTGGTCTTTTTTTTTCTTTTTTTTTAAAATATGGTAAATGCTCCTTGGTCGGTTGGTTACTTGTATCTTACCATTTGCACAGTGTTTCAACATGTGCCATCCAGGCTATTTGTAATTCGGAGCTTTGTTTTTTTATGTTTTTTATGTTTTGGGTTGTACAAGACCTACAGAGGCGCAGGTGCACATGCACCTCCTGTTGCCGGAAAAAACTATGGAGGTACTGGATTTACCCCTTTGTGCTTTGGCGTTTTAAAAGGTGCTAACAAGGCGCACCTTATGGAGTGCGTTGATCTGAGGTCTCTTAAAATCGCATCAAGGCTCCATTAGTTTGAAAAGTAACACGATTGAGGTATGCACAGTGATGCAAAAGGAGTTGCAGAGGCATGTTGCTTAGGGAGGCTCTGGTTCACGAATGAAGAAGACAACCCTTTTTTCAAGTTTCACAAACGACGTCATACTTAGGATTTAGGTTCAATGAAACGCATATTTCAATGAAGTTGTTTAAAAATCAAACTTTTCGGTTTTGGTGCACCCTAGATAACAACTGTTTCAAAATTCATTATTTTGCTTCAATTACTTGGTTATTATAATAAATATTTTATTATAATCTCACGCTTCCAATTTGAAAAAGCTCATCTAAACAAAGAAGAATCTTTGGACAGTGCTCTCACATCACAATTTGAATATTAGAGTTTTTGTTTAATTAGGATTTGATTGACACAACTTGTGTGTTGATATAATCTTTTTACCGTGGTAATATGTTTTTATTATTATTTTTTTATTACCGTGCTAATTAACTCTAAAATTATTTGAGGGTATAGTTCATTTTAAAATATGTTTTTTATTCAGTTCTTGGACAATACCAAAATCATTATTGCCCCTCTCCTGAAAAATTCATGGATCCGTCACTGCAACCACGTGCTTGATACAAACACATGAAAATAGGATCTCCATGGAAGTGGTATATTTGACCCTTGAAGTGGTTCTATACTACACCCAAATATGTATCACTCGGTTAATCATAATGATCCAACAATCGTGATATTTTCATGTGTTGATACTGAATATGAGATTGTACCGTAGCCATTCTCATGTGCATTGCTTTACCAAACGGACCATGTCGAGCTTTAAGGTAATCTCTCTTAGCAGTGTAGGCATTGGTTGAGTAAGTTTGCATTAAAAAAATGTAAAACCATTGAGATTAATGAGGCAAATCTAACTCCAATTTGATAATTATACAGCAAGGCATGGAAGTTCTTTCTGATCTCAAATATATCCTATGGCTTGTCACGGGGACTTGAATTTGAATCAAAATTTAACGATCAAAATGGCGGTGTGTGGTTGTACTCAAACTCATTGGATTGTAATTAAAACTTAGTAGATAAATCTCAAGATTTCGTCCAGTTTCCAGTGCCAGTTTTTTAGGTTGCCATGTTGTTTTGATCAAGGTTTTTTTTTCTTTTTCATTTTATATCCCATTGCCAATAGGTGATTACTTTATGGTATGTGTTGACGCTCGGTATATGCCGAGTTCACCTGCCCAATAAAAACAGAATACGTAGATTTTGCGTACCACTTGGCAGAAAATGACCAAATCACCTCCATCTCGGCCTAGGAGCTACCTTGGGGAAACTCGAAAGGATATGAATCAGCCATGTCGACGACAAAACCTCCCCTGACAATGGGTTCACTGCCTCTCATAAGAGCGCCCATGTCCTCTCCAAAGCCACGTGTAAACCAACTAATCCACCACCTGACCAGAAGGGACTATAGCTGCTCGATTGGCTACTCTGTTCCCACCCGCCCTCTAGTAAAGACGCGTGAAGTCATCATAAGAAGAGGACGTGGTTGAACCTCGACCGTCCTCCACCTAACAGCTTGGTGTGACACGAATGGCTCTGCTCCGAGCAGAGATAACTGGCTCGTAATTATGTTGTTAAAACTCCCTATAAATAGAACCTACCATTCGTGTAAGGGGGGATCTTTTGAGTCCAAAAAGAACTATATACAAGAAATTCATAGAGATAAAGTTCATTCCTTATACTTGTCAGTATCTCAAGATAGACCCAACCCAACGAACCAAATCTCCTCGCCTTTTCGTCTAAAATTTGTATAAAGTATTCGTATTTCATACGTTGGCCATAGGAATATTGAGGCTAAACAGTATGAAATCATCTTATGAGCTTTTAGAGTTCAGATTTATCTCTCTTTGCTCTGGGAAGGTTAAAACCTAAGCTGCATATGTGCAAGTCATCATAGTAAGAGGAAAATATAGAAAACATTACACTTGGATTCACCTGTGTTGTCAGTTGAAATCTTATATTGTCAAAATTTTGGACTTCTATGCAAATTAGAGATTGTATTTTATTATATTCAACTGTTGGTGTGAGATGAAATTTTATTTTGTCTGAATCTAAGATGTTTAATTGAATTGTGAAAAAAAAAAAAAAAAAAAAAAAAAAAAAAAAAAAAAACAAACAAACTTAACCTTTTTAAGCCTGATTTCAGCAGTGTGTTTTTCAAGTTGTGGGGGTGATATTTCTCTCAAATTTGAGATTCTTTTTCTAGACTTCACCAAATTAAAGATTTGAAATCCCATTTATTCTACCGGAGTCTCATATGGTTTTGAGACCCCTGTTTTTGGGGTAAAAAAAAAAGTACTTTTTCTATCTGTCTATTCACGTGACGAGAGATAAAAAGTGAGGTTACATAAACCCGTTTCATGCAAATTTTTCTCCCTATTTTGAGATCTCCCACTGCACATGCTATAACAGTTAACAGTTGCACCTTGAAAATTCCAAATTCTTTAGGAGGGGCATGATTTGATATATATGCAAGGTATACCAACTCAAATGCCAGTATGGATCAAGTTATCTAACTTTTTGCACAACAGCGTTGACTTGGATTTTCCCTTTGCTCAGTGAGGGAAGATTTTCTATGCTTTTATCAAATCCATTACTAGCTGGCAATTATGAAGGGAAATCATAAAAATCCATTCAAAGTTACTTGTGCTTCACAAGTTATAAAAATATTTTGGTTTATCTGAAATGTAACTGCAAATAACTCCTTCCAGAAAACCTTCCATTTAATATTAAAATACATTCATTTTAGCACCAAAATAATTGGATAAACAGTTAAGGGCTTCCAAATTTTGATTCTTCTTAATTGCTATAATTACCATGCAATAGTTTTCAGCCGGCGGCACCCAAAACACGATTAATTTAAGATTGAATTTTAATGGAATCTTCTTGTGGTTTAGGCACTGCAAGGTGGCCCTTCTCCTGCAAGCTCTTGACAGTGTCATATAGGCACTGTTTCACTGGCGTGAACTCCAAGCCCAAGTCTTGTAGCTTCTGGTTCGAGAACTTGTATGGTTTTACTCTGGGTTTGACTTCATCTGAGCACCTGTAAATGTATGGCAAACTAATTAATATAATCCCACAACAATTATTTTAAAAAAAGTTTATAAAAAAAAAAACAAATATGTGCATTAAAATATTTGACAATAGAAATCCATAAAAAATAAAATAAAAATGGCTGCACCATTTAAAATCTATATAAAAGAAAACGAATGATTAGCCAAATGTTTCTTTATTCTATAAAAAATAAATAAAGGACCATTTAGTCTCCATGCAGAAGACTAATAGATGCTGTCCTCCATGAACTTGTAGGCCTAGGGATCTATGGGTAGGTCAAAATTCACATATTCGAAGTATGAGAATGACATGTTGAAAAAGAAAGAAATTTTTTTTTATAAAAAAATGTCATGGTGAGGTGGAGTCTTGGAGTAGGTAAGGACTCATCTTCTCCACAAGTATTCTGATCCATTTTACAATTTCAACTTTTTGGGGCGTCTAGTCCTTCATACAGACAAGTCGTAGTTGGTGCACCTACTGCCCCACTTCTACAAGCAATCAAAAGCATACACATGATGTGTTCCATTCTATTCTAGTCTGGCATCAAATCATACAACTTTGGAAAGCAAAGAAAAAAAAACCTCATATCAAAAACATTTAAAGCAAAGTATGAAAAGTCCGACACTGTTAGCCACAAAATTCTAAACTTGAATCTTCTATCTTTAATTACTAATAATTACAAACAGCATCATTTGATGACTAAATTAAGGAAAATGCTAGGGAGACTAACTCTAGATACCAACTTGTGTACCATCTCTCTAATAGAGGGTGGGACCCATTGTATTGGTGGGCTCCACCTCGTTGGTATTTAAAGTTGGTCTCCCCAACATGACCCCTAAATTAATTTAGAAAACTTCCTACACTAGTTGTATACAAATTTATTGCCATTGTCTTGTATATTCAATTCAAGTGCACACATTTCGTGTATTTAATTTTGTTAGAGAGGAGGAATCCTGAACTTATTTGGTGACAGAAAGCTCTATATAAACTACTTCTGTCGCCTTCGATTCATTTTTTAAAACCCTTAAAAAAGTTGAGGTAAATTTCAATAGAATGAAAGTCTAGCTAACTGGTTAAAGTAAAACATGATAGAGATTGAGCTTTTTGGAGCAGAAAAACTTGAGTGCAACAGAGATGTTTATCCTCTCGTATCTATCTCTTTTTTAACATGACATTGCACGAGAGGGAATACTCCCACAACTGGGGCATAAAAAGCTCCATATCCTGATTCTACGATCCTATAAATGCCACATGATATAACCTATTAATATGGTCTGAAAATGTGATGTATTTAATATTTACTCAAGAAACTATAACTTAAAAAAAACTTGTTTGTCACTAGAGTTGAGAAGTAGTTTTCTTAGGTTAAATTTCTATTATCTGCTAAGTGATCCTACTCATTATAAGAATCGTGTCCTTGCAACTGTCCATAAATAATCCAAAAGGGCTTTGCCAATCATAGTCGTCCGCAAGTCCCACACTAGATTACTAACCTAGAGCTGTGTATGTATACATGGACTTAGCCGCCACTAAATCAATAATTTAGAGACTAAGAAGAAATTAAATCAATGACTTAGAGCCGTGTACGTATCCAAATCAATCACTTTGAGAGTGATCCAAGTGTACATGAATAAATGCATTTACCATTTTACTTATACCAAAATAGTTAAGAATGACAACGAGCCAGTTTGAAGTCGGGTATGGCAATATCATCCCCGTCCCCACACCCATCCCCATCTCGGTTGTTAACATGTAGCTCAGAAAACATCTTATTTGGACAATAAGTAAAGAAAACAAAATTGATGATGATGATGATGATGATGATGTACTTACTTGGTGGGAATTGGGTACTCTGGGAAGAACTTGGCTAGGATTTCCACCACATCTCCACGATGAAGCACACTCTCAGCACAGAGGTACCTTCCAGAGGCAGATGGAGTTTCATACACCAGAATGTGGGCCAGAGCCACGTCCCTAACATGCACATAGGCCTGCACAGAATTGGCATAAGTCTTGGCTGAGCCTGTGAGGTACTTGAGGACGTGGATGATGCTGGCGTTGATGGTTGGTTGCAGAAGTGGTCCAAGCACCAAAACCGGGTTCACCACCACCAAATCCACCCCTTTCGCCTTGGCCTCTTCCCATGCTGCCTGCTCTGCCACTGCTTTCCCATAACAGTACCAGTTCTGCATAATACGATTTTATATTTGTCAGATTCATTGTCAATTATAATTTGCAAAACACAAACTAGATTTTGATCATTTTTATTTGGATTTCAAAGACTATTTGATCTTCTGTGAAATGGGTTTTAATTGTTTTCGGTGACTTCGTCTTTGATTGATAAATTGAACTAAAGGTCAACTGAATAGGTTACTTTGGGATGTTAGCTAGGTGGGGCTTGTCATTAGTCATTACATGTTAACAACCAAGTTTTAATTGGTCGTTTTCAACTTTTCATCACAATGTATGTGCAAATTTCCTTCATTTACTTTTGTGCATCACCTTTAACAACTCTTTATATATGTTTAAGTTTTAACAAACAATTTTCTCTTTCCAATCATGTATTGGATCACACCTATGGTGTTGTATTGATTTAAAATGTTATCATCTCATTTAAAGTGTTTTTAACTTTAAATGTTTAGTTACATAGTCATTCTTAGAAATAGTGATATAAATAAAATCTACACAATTTAATTTCTATAAATAAACTGGAAAAAAAAAAAACTCAAAAAAGGACAGTTGGCCTTGTTGACTTTAATTTTTATTATTAAATTACTTTGATGTCATATTTAGTGTTTTGGGTTTTTTAACGAGCTTTTGGAGTTGGGCTTGTTTTAAGAAATTAATGGTAGTTTTGTAATTTATAGGAAATTCAAAACATCTTTGTTATATTATAAATGAGTTTTGGGTGTGTTTCTAAAGTCCATTTAATAAGGTTTTTATTTTTTATAATTTGGGCCTTTATATTGGGCAAAATAGTAAATCCATCTTTTAACTTGTTATATAAACTACATATTCTATAAAAACTTTTTTATTATTTTCAATCATGATTAGAATATAAATTTTCTATAGAGCTCCTAAAATAACTTTATAGTCATTCCAATTGAAATTTAACTTGAAAAAATAGACCATGATTGGAAATAACATCCATAGGTTCATTCTCTAATTAATTACTAGACAAAACAATTGTTCTTAATTATGGTAGACATGAATTAATCGAGTTGGTGAGAGCATTGAGCTTGTCTCCTTTCACCTAATTTCCAGTCCCCCTCTCTATAAATATTAAATTAATTTAAAATAGTTTGCACTAAATCTTGTATATAAAAAAAAACAATTCTATTTAATTATTAGACACAATGAGTGATAAACATATCAAACAATTGATGTAATTTTGTGTGCATCATGAGTCATCGTACTATATAAATTGGAGAGATAAAATAATAAAATAAATAATATTATGTCCTGACCTTGGTGTTCTTGCAGAATTCAAGATCACTCCAGCAAGACTCATCGACCACCACATCTGGGCCCCTGGTGGGGTCCATGTACACCGCACCAATTGACGACGTGAACACCACCCTTCTGACCTTAGCTTCTGCTGCCGCAACAATCACATTCTTTGTTCCATTCACCGCCGGCTCCACCATTTGTTCCTATATACACATTCATTGCCATTAAAAAATATCTATTTATCTATCTATATTAAAAAAAAAAAAAAAAAAAAAAAAAAAAAAAAAAAAAAAAAAAAAACCTCCAAAAAATATTTAATATTCATAGAGATGAGATGTTATAGTAGAAAATCATGAGCAAATTTTATTTTGAGTTAAATTACAATTGATTTTTCCTTCCAGGGATTTTGGTACGAGTTATATTTAGAGAAATTATTGTATGGTGCAGAAAAAAACAAAGTCACTATAACTTTCTTATAGGCCTTATAAAATGGGACATGAATTTAAAAGTATTATCCGTTACCAAAATATTCCTTCTTATCTTTTGTTTTTTTCCTTTTAAAGAGTAATAATATTTATTGGGTATTATGGGACTCGTAGAACAATTTTTGGAGGTCCACAAACATCACAATTGACAAACAGATCGATTTGGAATCTTAGGAACCCATGGTTTGTTATAGGGGGTTCGTAAAGACTACAGAGAAAAAAGGTGCATATTTTCCGGCATTTTCTCAGCAACCAAACAGGAAAAGGAAGAAACAAAGTAAGGAAACAGAGACCAAAAAAAAACTCACTGGGTCATCCGTAACCGGTGATGCCGTGTGAAAAACGCCATCACAGCCGTTGATGGCTTCTTTGAGGCTGTCATAGTCAAGAAGATCAGCTTTACGCAAACTTAACCTCTCTCGAGCTCCTTCAAGCTCCCTCAAATGAGCATTCTTTGGGTCATCTGTGATCAACCCAAAATAAGAAAAGCACCAAAAAGGAAAAAACATATCTATACAAGGGAGAATTATGTATCCCCATATATGTTACGTGTTACCTTGTCAAACTGTGAATAAGAACCGCAAATTCAGATATAATTCAAATGAATTAATGGCTGGTTCTAATTCACAGTCTCACTACATAACATAACATGTCGATACCCGAATGTAGGACAAAACAAACAACTCATAGGCCAAGAAGATAATGATTTGGACTGACCTGGGTTTCTCAAGGTTCCCCTAACAGTGTAGCCTCTTTCTAGCAATAGTTTGACAATCCAGGAAGCAATGAACCCTCCTGCTCCGGTGACACAAACAGTTTGGCCATGGCCTGAAACTGAAGAACTATCGGCAGGCATCTTAATACTTAGCTTGGTTTTTGGGGAATGATTTTTGTTTTGCTTTTTGGGTTGGTGGGATTGGAAGAGATCAAGTATAGACAAAGAGAGGAAGTTTGAAGTCTGTGTTTTGTATTGGAATAGCTGCTAGTGCGGCTTTATAAGGAGGAGAAGAGCCTACCAGACTCACCTACCGCCGGTAAAAAAAAATATTTGAGTAAAAAGATAAAGATATGTAAGGCTTTAACATTTTTTTTTTTTTTTTTTTTTTTTTTTTGGTTTTGGGCTTTAACAATTGCTTTGTCTAACAAGTTGGAAGAGAAATGTCACATGACTTTCTAGTTTTTTCTTTTCGTTGTAGAATAATGATATTTTAATTGGTGTTATTGGTGGGGTTTTAAATGAGTGGTTTATGAATTCTTACGTTTGAGTTTGGTTATAATATTTTATTCATAAGAGTACACAACAAATCAATCATCATCTCAATGACATTTTGATCAATTTTAGAAAATAATTTAAACACACTTTTTCTTTTTACCCACCCCCGCTATCTATACACTCCCACATTTATTTTGGTTTTTATCAGAACTAATCTCTAAACTTTTTTTAAGTCTTCATTTTAGTCCTCAAACTCTCAAATAAATCAAGCGGTCCTTCATCTTTGGATCGACACATCAATTTGGTATTTGTTGTTGCATTTTGACAAAATTTTCAATAAAAAAATGATTGTGTGTCATCGCATGAGCCACTTTAAAGGGATATTGTCATCTAATTGTAGTTCTTTTCAGTCCTAATACTCACATTTTTGCTCCATAGGCTCTATCTTACCAATTAAGATTTTACACTAGAGTCCATCAAGGAGAACAGATAGCCTTATTGAGTAAAATATGTGAGAATTACTTTGAGTCGTTGTTGGATAGGTTGTATTTGAATGAAAATAACCCTTCAAAGTTGGTTAAGTGACTAAATTTAAAAAAGATTTTGACAAATGTGATGAGAAGGACCAAATTGTGTGTGGATCAAAAGATTAAGAACCACATTGATTGATTTGAAAGTTTAAAGACTCAAATGAAGACTTATGAAAGTTATGGGACTATTAGTGATTAAAAAAAAACCTCCCCCCTTTTTTGTTTTAATACTGAGATATTGGGGAAAGGGGAATCGAACTGGGGTGCAGGGGTAAACTCCCATACATTTGTTAAAAAATAAAATAAAATAAAAATCTACTCATCTCATCCCCATTATTCCCAAAATATATCCCTTCATTCTTCTTCCCATTCAACTTCCACTTCCCTTTCTCCTAAATTTTGTTGTTGATATTTAAACTGCATTGCACTTGTAGCTCAAGTGGTTAAGAGGAGTTATTATGGTATCTAAGGTCATGTATTTGATTGCTTCATCCATCAATATCACTTGTACATATATATAAATAAATAAATAAGGCTTATTTGTTGAAATACCTCAAATGATTTCGAAATTGTCTCAAGTTGCCCCCTTAAATTTATAATGACTTAACATTCCTTTTGTTGAGGCCCAAAAAATCAAGATTTGGAGCACGCGAAAGTTCGTCATTCACGCTCACACGAGTCATGATCCACGTGCCGTGCCAAATAAATATGCAATATGTCACGCTAAGAGTTGAAATAAGGCTTCACAAGCCCATGCTAATTATCCCGTCAAACATCATATCCCTTTTTAAAGGCGACAAAATTCAAGCACGCCAAGCGACATGTAATGCCAAGCGAAAAATCATTATTATTACACCTAGCCACGCTACAAGCTTAAGTGGGCCCAAGCCACGCAAATGCCGGGGCTTGCTGAGTGGGTTGTGGTATGGATGGTAACGAGTTTTCATGAGGCCCATTGATGAGCTGAGAAATGGAAGTTTTAGGCTACTTGGTAGCCTTAAAACTCAAGCCTATTTCTTGAGCCCAAATATATGGGTGAGCATAAATGAGAGAAAAAAACCTAATACTCTAGAAGAGATAGCCCAATACCTTAGAAAAATTAGCTCATCACCTCAACCAAAATAACTAGGGGTGGCATTTTAAACCGAAAAACCGCAAAAACCAATCTATAATTTACCGCAATGAAACCGCAATCGCGGTAAACCGAACCGCATTTGCGGTTGCGGTTGCAGTATTTGATTTTCAAAACTTGCGGTTACCGCAAACCGCAAAGTATAGCCGCACGGATGATGATGTTTAATTCTACAAGGAAATGAAACATATGACAACTTGTAAGTAATTAGTTTATTTATGCTTCTTCTTATAATAAAATGTACTAAACTATGTTGTTTTATTTGTAGATAACATTGGTGCTCAAACAACACAACGAGGTTCTTCAAATCCACTCACCACCAACACTTGAGTTTGTAACTTTAGTTTGTAACATTGGTGCATTGCATTTTCTTTTTAATTTGTAACTTTAATTAACTTTGAATTGAATTTTTCTTTTTGGTTGTAACTTTAATTCATTTTGCTTTGCATTTTCCTTTTGATTTGTAACTTTAAAGGATTTGGAATTGGAATGCTTGAGAAGTTTAACTTTAATTGGAATGCTTTGAATTGTAACTTTAATTTTCTTAGGTTGTGAATGCTTGAGAAGTTGAGGAGATTGTGAATTTATATATGCTTGAGAAATTAAGGTTGTGTATTTATTTATTTAGGTTGTGAATTTATATTTTTGTGAATGCTTGAGAACTTGCGGTTTTAAACCGCAAAACGCGGTCGGTTTGCGGTTTCAAAAATCACCAAACCACAAATAGTCGGTCGGTTTGTGGTTTGAGTAAAAATTCGCGGTTATCGAACCGCAACCACCCCTAAAAATAACCAAACAATTGATGAAGTTAGCCCATTTACTTGATAAACCAACTTATTGTCCTAGAAGGACCAAACAACCTAAGAAAATATCTGCAAATCTCCATCACCTAGCTGAAAACAAAAGCCACGATAAAAGCCAAAATATCCATGTGTAAGTTGCTGGGAGGCTTTAGCACATGGGGTGAACGAATCCCAACGTAAGCCATCAGAAAAACCAAGGGATACTTGAGCAAAACACCATTCAAACTAGCATACATACCTATTTCTTTCCCCCCACCAGATCTAGCCATAGAAGAGGGAAGGAAAGAAGGAAAGGAGATGGCTGAAAATGGAAGTCCCCCACTAAAATAGCTGCGGGAAAGGCCTAGAGCACCCAAAAATTCCTATTCTTGTGCGATTGGGCATAGATGATTTCACCAAAATAGGATAAGTCAAGGGGAGAAAGGAGAAAGGAAGGGAAAAACTTAGCCAGATTGGATAGAAACCATTAGGGTTTCTTGGAAAAGAGGAGCTTCCAGCAGCTATAAATAAGGCCTCTCCTACCCAACAAAGGAGAAACAACATCCAGAGAGCAAGCTTTCTCTCTTACGTCCAAAACCCAACAATTTCGTGCTCAGTTCATTCTTCTCCCCCTTGTTTTTCCTCTTAGCAGATCATTCTGATATTTGACAGAACTTCTGTCGAGCTGCCGGAAAAACACTTAAGCTACCCATTGCCTAGCCTTTCTCCTCTTCTCAGCCAAAACCTCTGATAATCCTTTCATCCTTTTCCTTAGAACCCTTGTTTTTCATAGAAACTCACAGCTCTTTCCCTTTAAGGCTAAACTCATGACAACTTTGCTCCCATGCCACAATCCTCTCATGCCAAGCTAAGATTCTACCTGTAAGCACTAAGAATTCATTTGTAAGCTGTTGTTATTTTTGTTGGTGAAGGTAACCAAGGTGTTTCCTAAAGCCCTACTGTCCTTTCGAAGCATTCTTGGGGCTTGATTTTTGAACTCAGGAATAGGGGATAATTTCATCAGTTCGCTCCTTACGGCAGCCCAGCCCATTTGTAGTTGCTAGAAGAAAAGGCCCCTACACCCCTGAACTTCCATTATGTGACCAAAGTTGCCTCATTCCGTTAGTTTTCAGATAAAAATTGTTAATTTCGCTTACGCATGTGTAGTTTTAAAATAAATGTTTTTTATTTGAAAAAATTATTTTAAATGTTTAAAAATAAATTAACTTTTTAAAATATTTAAAAACCCAGCAGCCCTTCCCAACCCTCAACCCCTAGCAACCACCTTCTCCCTCCTCATTCTATTGCTTTAATGTCCCACCCCTTCCGCCACTCTTCTGAATGGCAAACAACTCTTAGACTACTTGATTCTCATAATCTGTTCTAAAAGTGAAGTGCTTTTGTCACACTTCACATGTATCTTCCTAAACTTCACGCTAATTGCCCATTAAATTCAGAAAAGAAGAAGAAAATGAAAAATCATGAACAACCCATTTCATCAATTCAAACAATTCTCTTAATCCATGATTCTACAAAAGAATAAAATAAAAGTCGATGATGATCAAGCAAATCAGCACAACCCCAACATTCCACAAATGAAAAGAAAGCAAGCAAGAGCTGGAGTAGTAAGAGTGCGGAAGAGGGACGCAGAGGAAGGTCTAAAGGCAGAGAGTGAGACAACCCAACTGCTGCAAAGAGAAGCAGAAGACATGATTTTTTTTATCCATCCTTACTGATCTCTCTTTCCCACTACTCCATAACCACAACCTCCACTCCACATTCCAACCTACCAACCATGCTGCTCCACCTTGGTTGAATGGATCTCGCATGGGAGCTGTGGTTGGGTTGGGATTTTGATGGAGGGTGGGGCGACCGGATCTCGCAAGACAAGGGTAAGTTTTGGGTTAAAACGACTGGAGACCAGAATTAGAAAAGCGGCAGATGGGTTTGTGTGGGAAGATCAGTTTGGTGGTTGTGGGCAGGAGGTGTGGGCGATTGCTGATGTGGTTGGGGTGTACAGTGGGATGGTGGTACGATGGAGCTGAAAAAGATGCATAACTTTGGGGCCGTGTTAATTTTTATTTGTTTTTTGTTTTTTAATTTTATGTTATTTAATTATTTTATATATTTGATTCCAAATAATTTCAAGCATTTTTTATATTTAATAGTTAAATTTATCAAAACACTCATGTCACGTTA